GCCTGGGATTGAACTTGTGCTGCAGTGGCTGCGGAGAGCTTCGCTTCATAGCGTGACTGAACCCTTTGCACCACCAAGGAAGCCCTCAACTTCCCTTTTGAAAATTCTTATAAATAGGGCCTCCCCTGGTGGCGCAGCGGTTGAGCGCTGGGCTGCAAAGCTGCCCACAGCCTCTTCAGCACCGGTTTGATCCCCGGCCACCCACATGGTGCGCAGACCTCTCCTGCCGCCTGCTGCTCCCCTCAGCAGTGTACTTCAGTCAGTCTGCCTGTTCTGTTCCCCGCTCTGGCTCTGGTGAATTCTCTCACCCTCCCGCGCACTTCTGACTGTACCCAGTGCTTGTATAAATAAATAAACAAATAAATCTTTTTAAAAAAATGCTTGTAAATAGTACCTATCCCATAGGATATGTAAGAATGAAAAGAGTTAATACACATAAAATACCCAATAATTGTTGATATTATCAAGACCCCAGGTTTTGTCTCTCCAATTCTTGGTTACTAAGAATTCATTAGTGGTTCTCTCTGTTTTTCTGTTCTGCCATTCTCGATATCTTCACTTTATCCCCAGTCTTGGGTCGACAGTAACTCTAGGCATCATATCCAAGTAACCAACAATGGAAGAATGAATAAAGAAGATGCAGTATATATACACAGTCGAATACTACTCAGTCAAAAAATAGATGAAATTTTGCCATTTGCAACAACATGGATGGACCTTGAGGGGATTATGCTCAGTGGAGTAAGTAAGAAGGAGAAAAACAAATACCATATGATTTCACTCACTTGTGGAATATAAAGAAAAGGGAACAAAAACAAACCCTTAGCTCTGACAATAGAATGGTGGTTATCAGAGGGGAAGAAGTGGGTAGAAGGGACCAAATGGCTGTTGGTGGATGGTTACTGGACATTTGGTGGTGGGCATGGTGAGAAAATGTAACTGTGGGACCTGACTGTTTTTGTAAACTAATGTTTTCTCAAAAAAAAAAAAAATAGTTCATCTTGATTAATGAGCAGGGGAATGCATATTAAATATTTTGTATTTTCACTATTTGACAATGATGGAAATGAATAATCATCTATGACCTAAATAAATAGAGAGATATATCATGTTCGTGAATAGGAAGACTCTATCTTAAATGTGTCAATTCTTCCAAAATTCATGTAGCAATTTAAAGTAATTCCAATGAAAATCTTCATAGTTTCTTTTTAAGGAATAGACAGTTATTTCTAAAACATTTATATAAAAGGACAAAGGCCATGAAGTGGTTAAGAAACTCTTAAAGAAAGGAACTTGAGAATTTTTCTTACCAGATAGCAGGAGTAAAAAAAAGACAATGTAATTAACATAATGAGATACTGATTTAGGGATAGGAAAATTTAGCAATGGAAGAAAAGAGAGATTCCCAAAAATAGACTCACACATTTTAGAAACTTGACATACTACAGTGGTAACATTGAGGAATCATGGGAGAAAGAAAGGAAAAAGAAAATAAAATTATCTCCCTACATAGAAAGTAATTCCAAATTATGTATAATTTAGAATGCTTAGAAGAAAATATAGGAGATTATCTTTATGACTTTGGATTAGGGAAAGATTTTTAAAAACCACAGAAGGCATTAACTATAAAAGACAAAGTTGATACTTGATACATTTGACCATATTAAAATCAAGAACTCTGTCCAAAGACATCTCAAATTGAGTAAAATGACACACCATAAAGAGAGGGAAGGTATTTGTAAGACAAATATCTGAAAAAAGTAGTATTCAGAATATATAAAGAACTTCTACAAATATATTAGAAAAATATTTTTTTAAAAGCCCAAAGAAAGTAGGCAAAAGACAAATAATTCGCAAAGGAGCCATAAAAAACCCACACGACCAATTACATGTGGAGTAAATAAACAACTTCATTAGTAATCAGGAAAGCAAATGAAGGTCTCAATGAAATACCTTTATATATCCACCTGAGTGTCCAAAAATAAAATAGTTGATGACATCAAGTGTTGGTAAGAATTTAAATCAGCTGGAAGCCTTTAAGTTTTGCTGGAGGGAGCATACATTGATTTAACAACTTTGGAAGGTTAGCACTATTTATAAAGTTGGATATTCACATAGCCTATGACCCAGCTGTTCCACTTACAGATATGCCAAAATATACAGCAGAATATTTATAGTTTATATTCACCCCCTCCAAGGGAAAAAAAAATTGGAAACAACCCAAATATCTACTGAAGGAAAAGGAATACATCAATTGCAGTAGAGTCACATGGTGAAATATTATGCTGTGGTGCAAATGAGAGAACTACACATACTTGTAACAACATGGATGAGTTTTAGAAATGTCATAGTGGGTGGAAAAGCAAGTTGCAGAAAGTTAAAATTCATTTGAAAAAACTCAAAATCAAGTAAAACTAAAATGTTGTTTAAGGATTATAAATATTAAAAAAGGATTATAAATATTATTTTATAAACCAAAGGAGTATCAAATTTAGTAGTTTAGTAGCTATCCCTGAATATGGGAGAAGGTTGGGAGAAGAAATAGAAATAGTACATAAACATTGATGTGATAGTATTGACATATTCTAAGGTTTTAAGTATGTGTATCATATTTTTTTTAAATTGTGGTCAAATACACATAGCATAAAAGTTACCATTTTAGTCCTTTTTAAGGGTACAGTTCAGCGGCATTAAGTATTTTTACATTATTGTGCAAAGTAAATGCATATCATCCTCTAGAATCCTTTTCATCTTGTAAAACCAAAACTCTATATCCAGGAAATAATATTCAGCTCTCCCTCTAATCCCTGCCACTACCATTCTACTTTCAGTGTCTGTGAATTTGAGAATGTGTTTTTTTCTTAAGATTTATTTATTTATGCATATAAGAACTGGGAAACAAGCCAGAGGTGTGGGTGGTGAGAGGACTCACCAGAGACAGAGTGGGGAACAGAACAGGCAGACTGACGAAATACACTGCCAAGGGGAGGAGTGGGTGAGTCAGGAGAGGTCTGCTGCGCCATGCGGGTTGCTCTCTGGCCGGGGATCGAACTCGTGCTGCAGTGACTGTGAATAGCTTCATAGGTTGCGTCTTGAACCATTTGCACCACCAGAGAGACCCAAGAATTTGTTTTTAAATTAAGAGTTGGATTCATGGATGTTCATTTTGCTGTCATGTTTCATATAAATACACACATGCATGTATCCTTTAGTATGAATAAAATAATATGTCCCTCATCTTTAATGGTCTGATATCTGGAAAAACAATGACAATATCCAAAATTGGCAAGAACCTGGTAAATGTTAACTATGATATAAACTGAAACAATTTTAAGACATCAAAATCAAACACAGTCAAAATTGACATATTTTATGATTAGGGGGAAATACTATGTTTTCAATGTTGGTTTCTGATTATTTATTACTAGTGTATAGGAATAGGATTAACCTGTGTGTGTTGACCTTGTATCCTCATTAAGTCAACCGATTAATTCTAGGTTTTTTGTTACTGTTGTTTGATTCTTTGGGATTTTCTAAGGAAACAGTCATGTCTTCCTTGAATAGATATGATTTTCTTTCTTTTCAGGCTGTATTTTTTTAAATTCTATTTTTCCTGCGTTATCGCACTAAATAGGACTGAGTTTGATGCTAAATAAGAGTGGTGAGAATGGAAATCCTTTCCTTGTTTCTGATCTTTTACCATTAAATATGATGTCAAGGTGTAGGGTTGAAGTTGAAGAAGTTCCCCTCTATTCTTAGTTTTCAGAGTCTTTAAAATTATGGATGGATGGTTGTTGAATTTGACAAATGTTTCTTGCATTAATTGATATGATCATTTAGTCTTAAAAGAGCTGCTTGCATTTTTAAGATAGTTAAGATTGTTGATTTTCAAATATTGAAACAGATTTACATTCCGGGTTTAAATTCTACTTGGTAATTACCTATTAAACTTTGTATGCATTGCTGGATTTGTTTTGCAAATAATTTGTTGCGATTTTTGCATGAAATAGATTCATTTGAGGGCTATTGGCCTGTAGCTTTCTTGTACTTTGTCAGATTTTGGTATTGTTGTAATCTTTTTGGAGGACAAATCTGTTAATTGTAACAAAGTCTTAAAAATGTGTGTGTCCAAGGACTCTACTTCTAAAAATTTATCTTCAGGAAATGGTTAGAGATTCTCATTACACACAGACTTTGCCATTAGCTAGACTTGGATTTAAACACGAACACAACCCTTTATTGCTTAAATTCGGTGGGTCTGTTTCTTAATCTGTAAAATGAGATCAAGAGGACTTATCTCCGAGTGGCATTTGATAAAAAATCCACACGCTAGGCACCCAACATCTAACGAGATTGAACTAAATGCTAGCTCTTGGAATTGCACTATACTCTCCAGCCTCTGGAGTTTGCCCACAGGAAAGGACATCATCTTTGCTCACATAACAGCACCCACTTCCAATCTTCTCATTAGTGGGCGTTCAGCCTCCTCATCCCTCCAATGTATATTAGAGCTGCTGGGCGTTGGGAATACAAAGCGAAAAAAGAGATGGTCCCTGCCCTCAGGAGCGGACCCTGACACAGAGACACAGATGCAACAGAGCAGCATTATAATGGGGCGTCGACCCAAAGGCCGGTGGCGCTGGGCGCACTTGGTGCCTGTGTCGGGAGACGAGGCGGGCACGGCGCAGGGGACGAGGCAGGAGGGCGGCCGCTTCTCCAGTTTCGCCTCAGGTCGTGGCGTAGTGACAGGCGTTTCCATAGCAACGGGTCCAGCCACCCTCTGGAGGCCTCACCGCAGTTCAGCGTCTAAGAGGACTTGAAGGCGGCTTCCGCCTCTCGCGCCAGTCGGCTTCGGGGCCGACGCGGTAACTGACGCCCTCGCGCTACGCGGGTCTGGTTGGGTGAGGACATGGAGGGGGCGGGGCCAGGCGGCGAGGGGCGGGGCCTTCGCCGCCCGCAGCGGCGTCCGTCTCCGAGAGCGGAAGTCGACCCCTCCCGCCCCGGAAGTGCAACCCGCGCGGGCGCGCCGGTGCGGGGCCTGCCGGCCGGCCCTCTCCTGTCGAGATGCCGGGAGCGGCGGCCAAGGGCTCGGAGTTGTCCGAGAGGATCGAGAGTTTTGTGGAGGCCCTGAAGAGGGGCGGCGGGCGCCGCAGCTCCGAGGACATGGCTCGGGAGACCTTGGGGCTGCTGTGCGGCATCATCAGGGACCACCGATGGATCAACGCGGGTGAGGCGGCCTTCGCGCCCCCGCGCCCCCGGCCACTTTCCGTTCCCGATCCCTGGCGGAAAGTGGCCCCGGCTTACCTGTGCGCTTGTCCTGCTCACCTGCTCTCTTTGGCCCGCAGCGGAGCTGATGGAGCTGATTCGCCGAGAGGGCCGGAGGATGGCGGCCGCGCAGCCCTCGGAGACCACGGTGGGCAACATGGTGCGGAGAGTGCTCAGGATCATCCGGGAGGAGTACGGCAGGTCAGGCCCGCGCCCGGGGCTGCGGGCTGGACCCAGGGATGCCTTCTGCAGGAGCCTTTCTCCCTGCTTGTAGCCCTCATTGGGTGTGAGCAGCTGGTCACTTAAATGACCTCGGCTTCTCCTCACCTCCCTCTTTGGTTCTTGCCTCTACAGGCTCCACGGACGCAGCGACGAGAGCGATCAGCAGGAGTCTCTGCACAAACTCTTAACTTCTGGAGACCCGAGGGATGATTTCAGCATCCATTATGCCCAACTGCAGTCCAACATCATTGAGGCAATCAATGAGCTGCTTGTGGAACTGGGTAAGGGCCCTGATCGCTGGGTGGATAGGATAGTCGCGGGCAGAGGAGGGGACAGAAGCCCCTGGAAGTTGTTGTTAGCAGAGTTGGGAGATAACCAGTCGCGTGGTTCTCAGAAGTTTTGTCCTCCATTTTGAGTAGAAAGGGGTTGGAGTAGGTGGCAGGACTAAGACAACCCTTTCTACATTACTTTACAGACCAACCTTTTATAGGCTGCAAGCCTCCTGCGTTAGAGAGACTGTGAGGATAGAGCTTTCCTCTTTTTAAAATTTTAATGTTTTTAGATCTTTTAAAGATGAAGTCTCCAAAACCTCAATTGATAGACCCTACTTCACTACGCGCCCTCTTGAATTTTGTACACGCCCGCCTCCATCCCCTGTCCTCATGGTGATTCAGGAGACCTGCAGATACTCACACAGTCAGTTCCCCGGAGGAGGAAGAAGCTGGGTTTGTCCTTGGCCCCTAGAGCTGCTGCTTACAAAATTCTTCCCATTTTTCTACTTTGACCTCCCTTTTTTAGGTGGAGGGGTTGTGGCCACATTTTGGAGGAGATGTTCCTTTTGGGGGGAAGCTTTGTTTATCCCACTCAGAACTTTTTTAGAATGGGCCACCTCTTGCTTGAATTCACTGTCTTCAAAATCAGTTATAAGAAGCTGGTGAAGGGGTGGGGAGAGGGCTACCTGAGGAGTAAGGGCTGAGGGCTTGGGAGATAGAAGGCCCCAGAGGAGTGGAGCTTTTAAGGAAATGTGGCGTTTGGCTTTAGATTCATTAACCTTGTGTTAACAGTCTGTGCTGGGCGGGCGGTCTGTGTGAAGGGCACACTCCCTTTCTGTGTGTACACAGCATCGCGTTTTGATATTTGCCTTGCAAAACTCTTCTTGCAGAAGGGACAACGGAGAACATTGCAGCCCAGGCTCTGGAGCACATCCACTCCAATGAGGTGATCATGACCATTGGCTTCTCCCGAACAGTAGAGGCCTTCCTCAAAGAGGCTGCCCGGAAGAGGAAATTCCATGTCATTGTGGCAGAGTGTGCACCTTTCTGCCAGGTAGGGGGACTGTGGACTTGCTAAGAAAAAGGAAAAGTAAGGAGGGATAGCTAGGGCTCGTGCCAACTTTGAATTGAAAAGTAAATCTTCAAGTTGTTCATTCTGTGAACATTCTTAATACACTGGTTTAAGAAAGTGGGGTGAACTACTGGGTCTAAGAAAAGATAAATATTCTTTCAGGAATCAAAATAGGGCAAATTACCTAGAGGGCGACTGATGTTTGGTTTTAGCTCATGAATCCCTAGGTAAATAATAGGTCTCAAAAAAGGAAATATGTATGTAAAGATGCAGGATGTTGTTAAAAATAATGAGCCAGGAGCTGTCTTGTCATCCATGTCCAATTATGCAAGCGAGTAGTATTTCCAGTTCGGTGGCCGTACTGGTGCTGCTGTGGAAGATTAAGTATTTATTAGCTTCCCTTGGCCTTCCCTGCAAGTTACCAGGGACGACCTACCATACGCAGAAAAATGAGTTGTTTGTTGAAAATGGGGTGTTGGGTACGTGTAGCATCACATGAATTCCCTAGATTCAACTATATCCAAGAGCTCTTTCACGGTCTCACTCTCCCAGCATCAGCCCCTCCTTCCTGTTGCAGGGTCATGAAATGGCAGTCAATTTGTCCAAAGCAGACATTGAGACAACTGTCATGACAGATGCTGCCATTTTTGCTGTTATGTCAAGAGTCAACAAGGTGAGTGTATTTGGAGTTAACGTTGAATTCATGAAGAATATACTTGCAAAGTACCTGTGTGTCGCCACCCACCCAATCCACCAACCCCCCGGCCCAACCTCCCACCTAATAAAAATCCATGAGGAGAGGAAAAAAGTTCCTAACACCTTTTGAAAGTACATATTTGGGCCTTTTTAATGTATTGATAGAATTTCTTTTTCCATTCTATATCATTATTCTTTACTTGGAGTAGCCTTGTTTTGTGTGTGTGGTGAATGCATTGAAAAGAATGAAGTTGGACTGAGCTAAGTGAGTTAGCTGCTAGGGATGCGGCAGAGGACTCCCTCCTTATGTCTGGAGAGCTTGACAGTGGCGGGTGGTGAATGAGAAAGACTCCCAGCTCCTCAGGAGGTGTGGTGTATAGATTTCCAGGAAAGGCAGGGCTGGGAGCAGTAGATACTGCCGCATCCTGTCCTGCACTGTATCCATTCTTTCCTTGAGAACCCACTTTATGCCCAGCCTGGGGTCCTGAGCCTCCAGTCCCTTGCCCTCTACTGGTGTGTGACCCCTCAGCATATTAAGACTGAGGCAGGAACATTCAGCCTGCTTTGCCCGGTGGCTTATTTAAGACCATCCCCAGGATGGCTCACTTTTTCTTTCCTGCGCCTCAGGTGATCATCGGCACAAAGACCATTCTGGCCAACGGCGCCCTGAGAGCTGTGACAGGAACTCACACTCTAGCCCTGGCAGCAAAGCACCATTCCACTCCGCTCATCGTCTGTGCTCCTATGTTCAAGCTTTCCCCCCAGGTATGTCTGTCTCCAGGTAGTCATCAGCAGAGGGAAGACAGCCAAAATGGAGGCACGTTGGCTGGAACTTTGCACCTTCAGCCTACTCACTCGGGAGGTTCTCCTCATCTGCACGGACTCGATGGATTCATCTCGGTGGAGGCTGGGGAAAGCCACAGAAGTCTTGATCCAGGAAAAACAATTGATAATTGTTTTTAGGAAAACAAAATTAGAAGGTCAAGACAATATGTCGTTGGTTTACATGGCTGCTCCTCCCATTGCCTGACCATTGCTGAAGTGCCAAGCAAGTTGAAACTAGTAATGGAGAATTGATTTTATGTGTCCTGGTTCCAGGGGGTGTTCTCTGTAGTCTGCACATAAGCAGTTACTAAGTGAAGAGCCATTTTGTCAGTGATAGAAACTATTCCTTTTGAGAATATTGACCTAGTCCATGGGTCTTTTTTTTCCAGTTGAGGTGAAATTCACATAACATGACCATTTAAAAACGCACAGCCCAGTAGCATTCACTACGGGCACAGCGTTATGCACCCACCACTCTTTAGTTTCAAACCTTTGTCATCACCCCAGAAAAACAGTTCATACCCTTTGAGTAATTGGCCCCTAGTTCCTCTTCTCCGCACCTCCTAGTGATCTCTGATCGGCCTTCTGTCTTTATGAGTTTGCCTATTTGGCTTTTTCATATAAAAGGAATGAAGTTTGTGCCCTTTTGTTTTTGGCTGCTTCTGCCTAGCACGTTTTCAGGGTTCATGTTGTGGTTTTCAGGGTTCACAGTTTCAAGGTTCACAGTGCTTTCTTCCCTTTTCTGACTGAATAACATTCCATCCTATGCATCGACCACAGAAGTTTCTCCTCTTGCCAGTGGAGGGGCAGTGGGATTGCTTCTACCTTTTGACTTCTGGGAATAATGCTGCTGTCAGCATTTGAGTACAAGTTTCTACGTGGACGTATTTTGTTGTTTCTTTTGGATATTGGACTTACAAGTGTAATTGCTAGATCCTTATTTCACTTTTCCAGTTCCCCAATGAAGAGGATTCATTTCACAAGTTTGTGGCTCCTGAAGATGTCCTGCCTTTCACAGAAGGTACAGATGTGTGTGTGCATACGTAAGCACATGTGCATGGATGTGTTTGGTTTTTTTTTATTTCTGGTCATTAGTCGGCGTGAACATTCTTCTTGTGGGGACTCTTCTCTTTAGCTGCTTGGAGTGCCTGGGGACTTGATTTAGTTCATGTTCTGTTGTTCTGAGACTGCTACATTTGAACTGAGTGGTTGAGGCAGTAGTGAGATCACCCAGCATGGACTGGGCTTGGCTTAGCCTGCTGTTGGAGACGCACAGAGCAACCCAGGGGCAAAATGTACTTGTTTTCAGTTGCTGTAGGGGGTCGTATTGGTGACACGGCTACAAGGGGAGGCAGGGTCTGAACTGTTCCAACTTGTGAGATTCACCTATAGCATGGACACCCATGTATTGGGGCCCTGTTCTCTGGCTAGTGAAGACAGCTACTTTCAGTGAGCTGCTGCCTCAGCACCAGCTGACATGGCCTTAAACCGCTGCTGGGAGCAAAACACAGTACTTACGGTGCTCATTCTTTTAGGACTTTTAATAACTCCATCCGTTTGTTCAAACATTTGTTCTTTCAAGAAATATTTACACCCATTGAGCACTTGCACTATAGCCAGCACTGTTCTAGGCACTAGGTGTATAACAAGGAACAACATAGCTAGCCTTGCTCCCCCCAGAACTTACTTTCTGTTGCAGAAGACAGACGAGAAATTGTCAGGTCGTGGGGCTGTTTTAGGAAGAAAGCAAATGACGCTGCTCTGATGGAAAGTGGCGAGGAGGCTGTTGTAGGTTAGGGGGAGGTCTTCATGAAAGGACATTTCAGATGAGCTCTGAGTGAACAGAGCCTGTCTTAGGAAGGTCAAGGAAGAGTTCCCAAGCTTTGTGGAAAGGGCCTGAGCTAGGATTTGCTCCACAGTTGGGGAAAGCTGGAGAATGAGGAGCAAGAGGGAGCGTGCTATAAATTATGACTAGTGTAGTGCATAGGAAGGCGCCAGAGATTGCAGGTTGCAATCCCAAGTTTGAATTGTACTGTAAGGGTTGGGGAAAGGCTTTGGAGAGTTTGAAGGAGGGAGTATGGTGAGGTGAAGTTACTTCTTCTGGTTTGCACTTCGCTGCAGCTTCCCTGCCTTGGGGTAGTGAGTAGACCTGCATTATTAAGTCTAGAGCTATATGCTACTTAATTGTTAGAGCAGGAGCCTCAATTTTATCTTTACCACATGTGATTGCCTTTCAGGGGACATTCTGGAAAAGGTCAGCGTCCATTGCCCTGTGTTTGACTATGTTCCCCCGGAGCTCATTACCCTGTTCATCTCCAACATTGGTGGGAACGCGCCTTCCTACATCTACCGCCTGATGAGTGAGCTCTACCATCCTGATGACCATGTCCTCTGACCTCCTTGTCCTGAGCAGATGCTGTTTCTGCAGATGCAGCATGGAAAGACTTCACTACTACAGCTGAGACGCGTCCTTGTAATGGGGAGTGAACTGGAGTTAAAAAAAACTTGGTACCGTTCCTTGCCTTTTTAGTCATCCCATGACAAGGGTGCATATCCAGGTCTGTTTCCTGTCTTTCAGGTCTTCACAGAGCAGCAGGGCTTGACCTATTGATTTGAAAACCACATAATGACCTGGGGCATCTGCTTCAGAAACTTAAACTTTATGCTTCAGTGGTGTGTTAAACATAACACTGAATACCTTGCTGGAATACAGGTTTTTGCTCCGAAATGGCCACCGCACTTTTTCCTAGGCTGTGCCAATAAAAGCTGCTCGAAGGTTCCAGAGTTGGTTTATTTATTGTTCTGCTCTGATTGAACTGCCTGAAACAGCAGCAGCAGAGACCTTTTTGTGTTTTCATGGAGGGCTGTGATTAGAGGTAATAGTCTAAAACAGAGAAATGCAAATGAAATTATTTGCAGTTTTCCTTTATAATTCACTGGAAATGATCCCAAACAACTTGTTAGTAATCTAAGACACTGGTTCCAAAACCTCTCTCATCATCAGAATTCTCCGGGAGCTTAAAAATGTTCAAAGTTTTCGGTTCCATCCCAGACCTACTGCGTCTCGTCTCTGGGTGGCACCTGGGAATCTGTGTGTGTAAACTCCCCAGAAAAGGACCCTTTCATGTACTGACAGCAGGTCTGTAAATTGGTACAACCTTTTCTGGGGCAATTTGGAACATGTACTTCTGGAGTTATTTGTACCAGCACACAAAGATATATACAAGAATACTCATTGCGGCGGCTGTAATGTCACAGCCTGAATGTCCAGAAACAGGAGAAAGGTTCAGTAAGTATGACGTGTGGAAACTAGATTCAGGGCAACGGAAGTTTCAAAAGGGTGGCTGGAGGACAGGGTTTGGATTGAAGACATTGTGGCTTATTCCCCCACCCAGTGTTTAATGAATTAGTTTACCAATATTTAAAAATGTGGAGATTGCACATTAAACAAGTTCAGGTTTGTTTTGCTTGAAAGCACACAAGATTTGGTGTTTCTATACACACATTCTCCAGTGGCAGCAGTTGGCTGTAGTTTGATAGCTTCTGATGCCATTAGATGCAAAACCTCCATTTTTTACAATTCCTCGTTTATGTTATTGCCTGATCCCTGCAGACATTTGAGTTGTGACCCTAGTGTTAAAGGAATGGGATAGATTTATGAGAAAGTTTGTTTTTCGGTAATTAAAAACAAGCTAGGAAAAAAACCAAACTGCAGAGCCTATGACCCTTCATTCAAATAAAACACTATGTACTCGCATAAAGTAAAAATCTGGAAGCATGCCATCAAGTGGTGTGCGGGGGACATCTAATTTTTATTCAGTATGTTTCTATATTGTTTCCATTTTTTATGTGGACTCCTTTAATAATGATAATTTTTGAAAAGACTGCTGGCAGTCCAAGTGATCGGCTGTATTTGGGGACTACGGATCCACAGCAGAGGTACAGGGAACCTCCGTGGTGCTTGCCACAAAGGCTGGCCTGGTAGGGCAGTGAGGAGGGGGTGGAGTGGAACACACTGGTCAGACGTGGGATGTGAGGAAGGAGCCTCTACTCTTTTCTACCTACTTGCCATAAATAGATCTTTGCCTCGGGGCCTTTGTCTTCCCTGAGAGGAATAAACAAGATTGAAGAGGGTCAGTCTAAATGAGTGACCTGAAACCTCTATGACTCAGAAGAGCCTGACTCATTCGGACCTCTGTCAGTTCTTTCTCAAAGTATCTACGACCCCGCGCTCTCCCAGTGAAGTGGCTTAAAGCTACCAATTAAGAGCAGTTGTCTCCTCTGAAGGCACCAATTCTAACAGCAATTCACTTGGGTACAATTGTGTGGTCTGGAGCCAGAGCAGCAGTGAGTCAAGGAACTTAAATATGTTTGTGATACTTGTTCTTTGTGCATCTTAGTCTCCGAGTCTAAAATTAGCAGCCGCATCCTTCCCAGGCGTATCTGAGATGGACGAAGTTTACGAGGGTGCAGGCTGCCTTCCATCAGCCCGCAAACAGGAAAGCTACACCAATGCAGGCTTTGGAATCTTTGGGGACTCGTAAGTCCCACGAAGCTATTTGCATACCTTGTTTTTATAGTTCCCTGGTGCCCTTTTCCTGTTTGAAAGGGGGAGCCTGACCTGAGCAGCGAGAAACTCGGGTGTGCCATGCCCACGTGACTGCCCGTCAGCTGTCGTGCCTGCCTTCCTCCCCTGCTTTTGCGGCAGGACCCAGAAACACAGAAAAAAAACTTGCATTTTGATGAAAAGTGATGGAAAGTGGATTGTCATCCCAAATAGGCCAAGCAAACCAAGTCAGATCACTTACTCCACAGATTGTAAAAAGACACTTTTTCCCACGGTTCGTATCTTCCAATTTGGGCGGAGGGCAGGAAGGCACAATTCTTGGAACTCGAATAAGGAACAGAAATTCCTAATTTAGCCTCAGAAGAGAAGTCTCTGAAAAATATTCTACCAAGAAAAACAAGGGAAAAGCGATACCTCGAATAAGGAAAAGCCGGTACCCTCAGGATCCGAAGTTTCACAAGTTCAAAACCGATTTCTGAAAGCAGTTTGTCGTGTCAGTCTCCGGGTCGCTGAAGGGTGCCGTGACTCTCCTAGCTACATGCGCGACCAGATCCATCAAAGCCACCTCAGCAGACAGGCCAGCTGGCGATGGGATTATTGTCAAGGCCACGTCCTGTCCCCTGTCCTTGCAAAAACTCCCGCTGCAGACATGCACCTGGTTGACACAAGGAGCTATTTTCAAGTGTGGCTTGGGCGTGTTTTATATCTGACCTGCTTTGCTTTGAATTATTCTTTCATTCGCCCAACAGCTGTTCTGGGATATTGTGCAATAGCTAAGCGATTCTTGAGAAAGAGCTGTGGTCCAAGCTCTTGCTAGAATTCTGTCTTCACAATGCTCACCATGACAGAACAGATTTGAGCCTAAGTGCACTTGAAATGGTGATTGTTTGATCTTGTTAAATCCTGTGCTGGGGGGGCCTCCCCGGTGGCACAGCGGTTGAGCGCTGGGTTGCGAAGCTGCCCGCAGCCGCTGTGGCGCCGGTTCGATCCCCGGCTGCTCCCCGGCCACCGGAGGAGGGTCCCACATGGCGCGCAGGCCTCCCCTGCTGCCCGCTGCTCCCCTCAGCAGTGTTCTTTGGTCCTTCTGCCTGCTCTGCTCCCCGCCCTGGCTCTGGTGAATTCTCTCACCCTCCCACGCTTCTGACTGTACCCAGTGCTTGTATAAATAAGTAAATAAATCTTAAAAAAGAAAAAGAAGTTTTAAAAAAAAATTAAATAAATAAATCCTGTGGTGGGGAGAGACATTCTTTTTTACTGGCATGTTACATTGAGAGTTCAGACCTGCTTGGAGAAGGAAGTGAATAAAAAACTTGATGAGGTTCCTAAGATTTGTATTTATGTGTAAAATTCTACAGTTACTGTGACAGAAGTGATGGCGTCAGTAATGCTAAACCATTACTAATAGTGCTTGCTAACTCGAACCACCTTTGGCCATCACTGGGTAGTCTTTGCTTTAGAAGTAAACAAGGGCAAGGTGTTTGGTCAGGCAGGTTGAAAGGATAGAGCGAGGCCAAGATAGCTTCTCCAGATGCCACGGAGTCACACTTGTTTCCTGGATTCATACGTTCCCAACATGTTAAGGCGCTCTCCACACACATTTTGATCCAGTGGCCTGGACTTCATTCGGTTTCTGGACTGTGACAATTGGGCATGGGGTAAAATGACCCAAGGGCTTGAAGATTTTTTTTTTTTTAAGATTTATTCATGCATACAAGAACCGGGGTACAGGCCAGATGCGCAGGAGGGTGAGAGGATTCGCCAGAGACAGAGCGGGGAACAGAACAGGCAGAGTGACGAAATACACTGCTGAGGGGAGCAGCAGGCGAGACAGGAGAGGCCTGCCACGCCATGTTGGATTCTCGCCGGCTGGCCAGGATCGAACCCGCGCTGCAGAGGCTGCGAACAGCTTCACGGTGCGGCGCTCAACCACCTGTGCCACCAGGGGAGGCCCTGAAGATCATTCTTGTGCCAGCAGCACCTGGTAGGTTCGCTATCAATTCCAGCAGATGGATGAAGGCAAGTCCCGGAGCCCTCCGTGGATTTTTCAGACTTTAATGCTCTTCAGGGAACCAGGTACACAGGCACAGGCCAGGCAGGCGGGCACTGGGAGTCAGGGGTCAGCCAGGCAACCGAGGCGCCCAGCACCTCCCCCCACCCCAAATCTTTGCACTTTCTTAGCTCTCTGGCATTCTCTCCTGGTCTCGCCCCGCCTGTAGTCACGCAGCTCCTCCTCTTGTGGCCGTCCCGCCGCAGCCACTTTCTTGCTGCTGTCCACCGAGTGATCTCGCCTTTAGCTAGCCCTGGCCTCTAGGCTCAGGTGTGCACACTTCGGCATGCCTGCACCCACGCTCCAGGTGTCCACAGTCACACTCCCGAAAGTTGGACGTGCTTCTGCATCAACACGATCAAGGCCGCAGGTGACAGCCACAGAGGCCAATGGTGTAAAAAGCTTGTTCAACTTCATTTACCACGGGGCAACTTTCTCTTGATGCTCCCCAAGTCCTCCGAGGTAATAGAGAATGACAAGCAGAGGGACGTAAGGAAGGGGGGGGTGGCGCTATTTGGTGCAGAGTATCCAGATTTTTGGCTTTGTAGGCTTCTTTTCCTCTCTTCTGAGCCGACCCTCACCGTCCAGCAGATTCAGCTGAGAAAGGGTGCAAACAGCCATTAGCATATAAAGTGGCTGACGTACCCCACACAGTCAGTCCTTGTTGTGAGCCAGATTTTGTAGAGGGTTTTGATGACTAGTGGCTACTCCGCGTGGAAAACAGGTAAGAGTATGGTTCTTTGTGCCAGGCACACGCTTCGCTTCGTCGGAACTGATGTGCTGCATCTGTTCTCACTTGGCCTGGCTTCCTCAGCCCCCTAAGATAGCTGCAACGTGGACTTGGCCCTTCTCCTGCTCTGCCTGGGTTGGCCCTTGGTTTTTTTCACTATTGGGCCCTGGTCCCAGCTATGTTTGTCCCTGACCCTTTGCCTTGCTCTGACCTCTGATGGCTGGAACTGCCACAGAGTCCAGGACCCCAGCTGGGTTCTGGACCTCGCCTGGCTCCCTCCCCAGTCCCTTCCTTCTAGCCTACTGTAGGGTAAAGAAAATGTCAGGCTTTTCTGCCCTCCCGCCATCAGGATAGACGATGGATCCTTGCGGTCCTGAATGCATGCCTGATGGCGGGCACCTGGAGTAGGGTGTGGGCATAGGACGATGGGATTCACCTGGGCTGAGACTAGGCTTTTAGGGCGGCGTCATGGGGATGCCAGCAGAAGCCAAGAAGCCGAGAACGAACAGAAGCCGAGAGAGACGCAGAGAAGGCCGGAGAGCCCAGATAGAGTGAAGACTTGCTGGGGGCTGGGAGGCCTGCCAGCCTCCCAGCCCCCCAGCACCCCTGCCTGCTGTGTACCTGGTAATCCCAATAAAGACCTGCAGAAAGCCACTGAGGACTCTGACTCCTCCTTACCCGCTCTGCTGGATCGGAAAACCTGCACCATGTCCATTCCTGACCTTACACCTACACTTGAAGCTGTGCATTAAGCTTGTCTGATACTCGCTCCTGTTGCCATTTATAGCCTTAATTCTGACCATGGAACTGTTCAATTCTCTTACCTCAATAATACAGAGTGATCCCTAAACCTAGAGGAAGTTACCGTATGCTGCCATCAGTTTCTTAGTCTCTCCCAGACTCAAGCTAAGCTTCTTGAAGGTAAAGACAGTTTTTTTTTAAAAAGATTTATTTATTTATGCATACAAGAGCTGGGGTACAGGCCAGAGGTATAGGGGGTGAGAGGATTCACCAGAGACAGAGCGGGGAACAGAACAGGCAGACTGACTGAAACACACTGCTGAGGGGAGCAGCGGGTGAGACAGGAGAGGTCTGCCGCGCCATGTGGGTTGCTCCCTGGCGGGCCGGGAATCAAACTCGTGCTGCAGTGGCTGCAGATTGCTTCACAGGTTGCGTCTTAACCCTTGCGCCACCAGGGAGGCCCCAGGTAAAGACAGTTTTATACACCTTTACTTCGCAATAAAATTTTGATGAATGTTCCTGTAGAGAAAATGGAGTATCTCAGGCTCTTTTCGCCTCCTGCTGCCAGCCTCCACAGCTGCCAGCAGGGGCTTTGCTTTCCTCCCAGATTTCATTGTCCACACGTGATAATGTGTTACTACAAAAAGTGCTTGGGAGCCGAGCATGGAGCATGCGTATATATATATGTTGGGTTGTCGGAAAAGTCCTGACATATTTTTTCTGTTTTTCAAGCAAAAATGCATCATGACTTTTCTGACAACGCAATAAATAGGGACACCTCGGCCGAGAAGTGGGCGTTGGGAGATAAAGAAGCCAGAGGGCTTGGAGATCACGGGGCCTGGGAGGCTGGGTTGCTGCCTGCCTCCCAGCCCCTGTCCCTGGTCTGCCTGTGCACCTGGTCCCTGGCCTCAGCACTAAAGGCCTGTCAGATCTACCTATGGCACCTTTATCCGAATTGAACCTGTCCAGTGAACCTGTCTAGTCTGGAACGGTTTCACGACGTTGCCCCCCAAAAAGGAATTCTCAAGAAGAGAGCTTCATGTCCCATCTCAAATCTCAAGTTTACCCTGAGGTTATGAAGTCTCCAACAACCAGAATCTAATAAAGTTGAACCAGGAAGTTTACAAACTGATAAATCCTGAATGCATTGAATAGGCCAGCATGGGGTAGTAACAAGAAGGGGTGTGCGACATGAAGTCACCAGACCGAGGTCCTCAGTGAGCTGGTGGCATCTCTGAGCCTCACAGTAAAAAGAGGGGACCAGCTTCCTGAGAGGACTTTGTGAGGATGAGAATAAGGTATACAAAGCACTTGATGCATAGTAAGGTCTCCATAAATATCCTCTATTATTCTTGTTACTGGAGCCAGAAAATTTGGATGCCACTCAGCTTTATCACGTAGCGGCAGTGTGATCTTAGGCAAATCACAATTTCAACCTGGTTTCCCTCTTTGTAAAAGGGAGGGTAATGGGCCTCCCCGGTGGCGCAGAGGTTGAGCGCTGGGTTGCGAGGCTGCCCGCGGCCTCGATCCCCGGCTGCTCCCCGGCCACCGGAGGAGGGTCCCACATGGCGCGCAGACCTCTCCTGCCGCCCGCTGCTCCCCTCGGCAGTGTACTTCGGTCCTTCTGCCTGCTCTGCTCCCCGCTCTGGCTCTGGTGAATTCTCTCACCCTCCCGCACTTCTGACTGTACCCAGTGCATGTATAAACAAAACAGACAAACCAGCAAACAAATAAATAAAGCATGCCTCTATTAAAAAAAAAAAAAAAAAAAAAAAAGGGAGGGTAATACTACCTTATCTCATGAGTTGCCAAGTTCAAATAAGAAAAGGTATGCAAAGGTAGAGGTATTAATGATTAATACTGTGTTAGAAATTTAAATGTATTTTTGCTCTTATGGCACCTGAGTTTAAAACAAAGATATCTAACAGTCAATAAAAGGTTAGATATTTTTGGCTAATAGGTTGGCTTTATGCTGATACATGCTACTGAGTTTATAAATTATTTAAATAGGATAATTATCTCACATTGCTTGAGTCAGACTAGCCAGGAAGATTGGTTACACAATTTATGGAGACAAGAAAACCAGTGGTTTGAGTTTATAGCAAAACCTGAAATTGCACCTTATCACCCCTAATAAAAGAGACAATGTAATGCTTTTTCATCCCACAAATTGGTCCAACTTAGGAAGATTTTTAAAACTTCCAGACAGCTGGCCTCCATGTTGCCCTGGAGAGCGGAGGCAGAAGTCCAGAGGCCACGGCACCTCACTGGGCTGCAAGCAGAGCCCCTGACGGCCTTGCACATCGCCTGAAAACGCCCTCCTTTCTCAGGTCATGTTTCTCAGTCCATGAAGCTGTTTATATGTATCTAGAAGAATAAAGGCAGGTTTTAGACAGTGGTGCCTATTCTTCGGGGTTCCGATTACATAATTCTGCAAGTCTCCCCATGAAAACCAGTGAAGGCTGAGCTTTTTCTGCGGCCCGTGCTAGTGAATGCAGACTCCATTGCCCCAGTAGATTCACTTCAGAGCTGCTGGCAAACGAGTTTTTCCTCCATGAGCACAAATTTGCTTCCTGTATTAAAAAATGGGGAAAATCACTCCATTGATAGAAAGGCCAATTTGAGCAGTCTGGTCAGGAAATACAAATGGAAATTCCCATTGCAACATCTTCCTCACTGCACACCATCCCCACTGCAACAGATGTAATTACAGCTGGTTTGTTGCTTTTTTTTTTTTTTTTTTACTTCATAAGACTTTAGTCTCTGAAGTCTTATTAACCAGAAATCAAATCACCTACAAGGTGGGGGAAATACAGATTAAGAGTGGCATAACAAGCATTTGCAGAAAGATCAGCCTGGTCCCAGATGAAATGTGCTGTTAAGAGAGGCAAGCAGTAATAAAACCCAGACATAATTTGAACAGAACCAAAAGAATTCTTGTCTCCTGAAAAAAATGTAGGAAAAAATATCTAGTTAGGTTGAAAGAATAAATGCACTTCAAAATGAAAACTGCGTTCACATAAAGAGATACTTTATAAAGTACAAAATATATTTTTTAAAACACAAGCATGTAGTACTGCCCCCTTTCCACTATTTTAGGATGTGAACAGCATCATTCGCTGAAAGTTTTTAGAGGCAATAAACCAACCAGGACCAGGACTTTAATTAAATTTTCTCTATTCTTGTCCTTATTTTTTTAAATCAACAGTTTTTAATGCTTAAATAATGTAACTAAAGGCCTGATGGAAGACTGCAGGGGATGTTTTCTTTGAGCATGGAGCAGCTCTTGAAGTCAGATCTAGCAGAGGGGGATGAAGAGGGCTGGGGTAGAGGTTGGGGAGGGGGAGTTGGGGCAACTGTGGGCCCTATAGGAAGGCAGACGTGATCCCTGGGACTTCAGCATCAGGTGAATTACATACATGCAAATTATGAAATTGGGAAATAATGCAAGACAAAACTGAAACACATCCCACCCCCACAATCAAGCAAACCAACCAGAAAATCAGGCAATTAATCATTAAATTTTATCCCTAAATAAGTTACAAAAAAATAAGGGCAACCTCCTGAGTTCATGGATGCAAATGAATAAACTGTCTTTAGGCTTGAATTCCATTGGACTATTTAATTAAAGGGATCATCCGCCCCAGGAAGACTGAGGTTGCTGGAATGCACCAGGCTGATGGGCTGGGCTGGGCTGGTGTCCGCAGCTCACCCTCTGCTCAGAGCACACAGTTAACATTCCTTGGGTTCCTTAGAGATCAGTAATTCAGTTCTCATGGTGGCTCACCAGGAGGCACAGATGCCTGCAAGCTTTGCTTTGTATCGCATCCTTCTGCTTGTCCAAAGAGATGCCAGGCTTGGGCCATTTTACGAAGTTTAGCGAGATTGGGTTTAATCTACAGGAAGAAAGAGAGTAACTCCAGTGAGCAATAAGAAAAGCTAAGTGGCATATAAATATTCCCCAACTGTGGCTATTTATTTATTTATTTTTTTATTTATTTTTAATAGAGGCATTTTATTTATTTGTTTGTTTTGTTTTGTTTATACATGCACTGGGTACAGTCAGAAGCGCAGGAGGGTGAAAGAATTCACCAGAGCCAGAGTGGGGAGCAGAGCAGGCAGAAGGACTGAAGTACACTGCTGAGGGGAGCAGCGGGCGGCAGGAGAGGTCTGCGCGCCATGTGGGACCCTCCTCCGGTGGCCAGGGAGCAGCCGGGGATCGAACCGGCGCCACAGAGGCCGCGGGCAGCTTCGCAACCCAGCGCTCAACCGCTGCGCCACCGGGGAGGCCCAACTGTGGCTATTTAAATCTGTTTCAAGTTCTCAGAAAAAATTGTAGATTTCCTTAGAATAAGTGGGACTGGAGAATTCAAGCATAGATTTCCATTCCTTGGGAATGGGGACAAAATTTTTTTCTTTTTTTTCTTTGTCAAGTGAAACAAAGTTTCTAATGGGGTATAATCTACTGGATGAGTGAGGAAACATAAGTTACCTGAGACTCCATATAAGAAAAGACTTTATAGCCCCCAGCAGGGAAGGTAAATGAAAGATTCTGCGGCAACGTGGACATTTCTATTATGCTCTCATGTTGTTTCATTTAAGATTACAACAAGGACAGAAAATGTTCTTTAATTCAAACCATTCTGTGCCTTTGCTGCATTATTCACATCACTGTTCCTGGACGGCTGAGGAAGCAGCCAAAACATGGAGCGCTCTCCTCGTTTGATTTCCTGCCTGGTGATCCCCATGTCATAACTCCAGAGGTCCTCGGGGGTAGCTACCATTTCCAGCAAGGCCCATCAAGCAGTGGGTGTTTAGGCTACATGTGCCAGCAGTGAATGTGCTGTGTTTCTACCAGTTTTCTGTAGCCCCAGAGGGAACTTCCGCATCTCATCAAGCCTAGAGCCGGTAGGTGGCAGATGCATAAGTCTGCACATGTGTTAAGCTTAAAAAATACAAAAGCTTCATATGTATAATCTGGCAGTTAAGCCTAAGCTCCACTTTGAATTTGAGCTAGATGATGAAATGATGAGGCTTTATATAAAAATTCCAAAGCATATTTTTCAAAACTCTTGTATTCTAGAAAGGATTAAGACAGATTACATTTGGAAAATAGGAGCTGGAAAAGAAAGATAAACCTTTCTCCCTCTTGTCCTGTTAGTCATTAGCGTACCTGTTTTTCCTGCCCCAAGTGGTCTATGTCTGCTAACGGCAGCATGGATGGCCTCCCGTGAGCACACTGGAACGGCAGCTGGCAGCGGGACAGGGCTTCCATAAGGCGACAACTCTCCTCTAGGCTCAGGCCATCATTAAACTTAATGGCCCCTGGATGAAAGACAGAAACAAGGTTATGTGTGTATGCCGGGACGCCCATGCTTATTCTGGGTCAGAGCCAAATCTCTGGGAAAAGTGAGATGTTTCTTAGGCTTCCTTAATGTAGCTTTAATACTACTTGAAATTGGCATGTACAACTGTGTATGACACTAACACTTCTGAATTGACCTGTCTTCTTAGCTTTTCTTTTTTTTTTTTTTTTAAAAAAAAGATTTATTTATGTATGCATACAAGAGCTGGGGTACAGGCCAGAGAAGCGGGGGGTGAGATGATTCACCAGAGACAGAGTGGGGAGCAGAACAAACAGATTGACCAAAGTACACTGCTGAGAGAAGCAGCGGGCGCGTCAGGAGAGGTCTGCTGCGCCATGTGGGTTGCTCCCTGGCTGGCCGGGGATCAAACTCGTGCTGCAGAGACTGCGGATTGCTTCACAGTGTGATGCTTAACCCCTTGCACCACCAGGGAGGCCCTCTTCTTAGCTTTTCTTTATGGACTAGCTGCCTTCCTAATCCTTGTAGGAGGCTGTCCTTCACTTGTTAGGATTTTTTTTCAGAGTTCTCAAAGGAGCAAGAACAATAGGTCCCCCTACTCCTCACAGGTGTGTGAAATAGAGGTCATCTTGTGTCCACAGTCTGTTAACCAAGATTTCTCACTGTTTCCTACTCATGTGCTTCTTTTTCCTGCTTCCATAATCTAAACTAAACTCGCATACTGTCAGGACCTGCCTTTATGCATACATTAATTCACTCAAATATTTATTAAATATATACTACTTTGCATTAGGAAATTTGCCAGGCAGTGAATGAAACAGATGGAGCCTATGGTCTAGTAGGTGAAATGAACATTAAACAATTCCACAAAAACTTAAACTATAAATATAGGTCTGATAAAATCTAGGGTATGAAAAAATATATAATAGGAAAACCAAGCCAAGTTAAGGAGGCCAGGGACGTTTTCCTGGCAAAATAATCTGAGACCTCAGGTTAAGGAAGAAGGGCTGCCCGGAGGAGCAGAAACGTATTTTCAGACAGAGGAGAAAGGCAAAGGGCAGAAGTTTAGCACACGAGCCCAAGCTCAAGGAGAAGGCTGCAGTGTAAACAGCCAGGTGGGGAGTGATGAGAGTTGAAACTAGGGAGGCAGGCAGTGGCCAGATCCTGAAACCCTCAAAGGCCAGGACAGAGAATAAAATTTTTCTCCTAAGAGCGATGGGTAGTCAAGGAAACACCTTAGCAGAATGGCATGCTCAGAGGAATGTTTCAAAAAGATTGCTGAGGGCCTCCCCGGTGGCGTAGCAGTTGAGCGCTGGCTTGCGAGGCTGCCCGCAGCCTCTGCAGCGCCAGTTCGATCCCCAGCTGCTCCCCGGCCACCGGAGAAGGGTCCCACATGGCGCGCAGACCTCTCCTGCCACCCGCTGCTCCCCTCAGCAGTGTATTTCGGTCCTTCTGCCTGCTCTGCTCTCCCCTCTGGCTCTGGTGAATTCTCTCACTCTCCCACGCGTCTGACTGTACCCAGTGCTTGTATAAATAAATAAATAAATCTTTAAAAAAAAAAAAGATTGCTGAGGGAAGAATGGCTTGAAGGGGCGCCAGAATGAACATGGGGAGACTAAGGGAGAGGAGTCAACAGCGGCAGAACTAGAGACGTGGGAGACACCACATCACACAGATTTAAGATACAGCCTGAAGGTAGATAGGATGAAACTGGGTGAGGCAATAGATATGAGGATAAAGATGAGATAAAGGGAGAAGGGAGAAGGTATTTGCAGGAGACAAATGAGGGGCTGAGGTTATTGAGCCAGAAAACAAAGGAAGAGAAGAGAAAGTAGATGGAGAAAATGGAGGGAGTGTGTCAGGGGACTGGAGACCCCGCTGTGACCAAGTAACTGTTGCCAGGGACCCTACAGGTCATGTTCCCTAAGTAAACTCCTCCAAAGCCATTTTCCGTATTTTTCATATTACCCTTCTCTGTAAAATCTAAAGGTTGTATTGTCACCTTTTTTTTTTTTTAAGATTTATTTATTTATGCATACAAGAGCTGTGGGGCAGCCCAAGGTGTGTGTGGGGCTGTGTGTGAGAGGATTCAAGAGACAGAGCGGGGAGCAGAACAAGTGGATCTCCCAAAATACACTGCTGAGGGGAGCAGCAGGCAAGACAGGTATACTGTCACCTTTAGCCTCTTCCTTACCAGCCTAGTTTCTTCATACTCATCAGTGTTCCTCATAGAATTAATCTCCTTCTGCCTTTGAGTAAATCGCACAGATTGTTTACTCCTCATGTAGTAATCCATGTTCCTCAGCTCATTTAAAACTTGACTCAAAATGCTTCTCCTGTAAGTTACTCCTCCACTCATATAAATCAGTCTATGTTTATGATCAAATACATATGTTGCTATTTTGCTTTGCAAAAATACTTTTTAAAATTCATTTTTTTTTTTTTTTTAGTAAGAGAACAGACAGATTTAGTAAAAGACAGATTTATTCATGTAGTGAGTGGGAGTTCACCAAAAAAAGTATGACTTTCATATTCATTTTAATTCAGTTTCTTGATCTAAATTTTATCCTTCATGAGCCAAGAAGCAAATGTGCTCTCTGCTTCTTTCCTAATTGCTGTACCCGCCAGTACTTAGCAGAGAGGCATCCAACAGCAGGTGTTTTACTTACCATGGCAGGCTTGGGATGCCAACACCCTCTGGACAGTCAGTGGCAAAGTCCCTTGGATGCCTCCCGTGGTCTGGAGTAGCTAATGCATAAATACATTTTTTATTAATGGAAGGAGATCAGACAATGAAGCCTTTTGTGTGGTGCCTCTGTGTGAAACCCAAAAGAAGAGAAAGGTTTACCTCCACTTGTTCACGAATAAATTCCTACAAAGCAAAAAGGAAAAGAAAGGTATTAGTCTATCATTATCTTATACTTGATAGTTCATAAAATACCCCAATTTTCTTCATTATATGCCTCCTGAAGGAGAGCTCTCTAGCAATACAACACTTAGGTGCAAAGAATTTGTTATAACGCACTTGGAATACGAAATACTAAGACAAGTGAATAGATTTCTTATTGAAGAGAGAATATATTTAGCTACTGAAACCTTCTTAAGTGATAGTTTATCAGCCTAGGGGGTTATGTAACTGGCAAGAGTAGCCTTGATGATTCAACGGATTCTAAATATCAGGGCGGCTTCTCACCAAGAGGCTGTCTGTATTTATAATTTTAGCCACAACAAGTGTAATATTACATACAAAGAGAATAAATACACAACAATCATCAACACAACTGTGCACTCAGAATAACACTTGCTTAAATATAATAAACAAAAGTAGTCTCTTTAGTTCCCATGGGCTTTTTCTTTTGACAATTCCCTTAGGGTCCAAAAGTTCATTTTCCTAGGCATTATTTTGTTAAGTTTCTCCGTACCAATATATCTCTGTCCCAGGGGCAGCCTTTCCAATAGTAATATCCCTCTATATGTTAATATTTACAAAAGGATTTTAAAGAAATTATTCACATGTTCAGTTTGTCTAACTTCTGAAGGTCAAAAAGACTGTACTAAAGATCAGTAAAACCAAGAGTCGGTTCTTCAAGAAGATAAACAAAACTGACAAACCTCCAGTTAGGCTCACAAAGAAGAGAGAAAACTTTATATATAATTAGAAATGAAAAAGGAAAAAACACAACAGATATAATAGAAATACAAAGGGTTATAGGTTATTATGAACAACTATATGCCAACAAATTTGAAAAATTTGAACAACTATATATATGCCAACAATCTTGAAGAAACAGATTCAGTGCTACAGTAATACAGCCTACCAAGAATGAACCAAGAAGAAACAGAAAACATGAATCAGAGTAATCACAATTATGAAAATTGGAACAGAAATCAAAAATCTTCCCAAAAAACAAAAGCCCAGGACTAGGTGGCTTTACAAGTAAATTTCATCAAACTTTAAAGAAATTTTGCCAATTTTGCTCAAGCTATTACAAATATTGAAGAAAGAATATTTACTAACACATTCTAAGATGACAACATTACAGTAAAACTAAAACCAGACAAAATGATTATAAATAAGCAAACACTGACAACCAAATTGAGGTTTCTGAGGTTAAGGGGCCTGCAGGGGAGGAAGGAAGGGTCAAAGAGCTATAAGGGATAGTGGTAGATCAAAAAAAGAAAACGTAATGGCAAGAAGTTATTTTTAAATATGGCACATTTAATAATTTCTTTACAAGAAAACACAGATTTCTTTACTCCTAGATATGGTGATATATAAATTCACTTTCTAAGATTACAACACGTAGATTTTCTTTTCAAATCAGATTCGGAAAATTCTCTTCCCTACCTCGCACATAATCTGAAGTCCAACAGGTTTATAAATGAGCATACTTAGCAAAAGCTAGTGGTAGGTACTATATATTTTTTAAAACTATGTATTCCTCCAAACAAACCTAAACAAAAAGATATTTCATAACACCTGACCCATTAAAAAGGCTTAGTGTAGATACAGATGAAACTGAACTTCGTTATCCTTTTTCATGCTTACATATTTGGTAAGGGGAAGATGAATCTCATCTTCTATTCATTTCATATTTCAGTAGTGCAGTTTATGGTGGATAATTTAAATAGCATTAAAAAGGCTCATCCATCAGGCTGATGGACAGAACTCTATAAAAAGACGTATCAGTGATCTTTCATCAGCTAGAATCCAAGCAGCTACCTCCTCTTCAAGACAGTTTTTGTTCCAGTTTTTTTTCCAGAGTCAACAAAATCTCTCTTGATCAGCCTGAGTTAACATAATCAAGATTTTCTGAAACCATAAGCTTTGTTTCAACTTGAAGTAAACTCCTTACCGTCAGGCTTTGAAGTCACTTTAAGAAAGCTTTTATTGTAATTTTCTGGTTAAATACTTAGGGATTGAATTACAATAAAAGATTCTGGCAGATCCTATCTTTTGGATTTAAGACAATTTGGAGGTGAAGCCTTAGAGAAAAAAGCTCTGTTGGTAGAAAAGGATGCTGCTGACAGCAAGGCAAAGTTTGACCACAGCACAATTTGGGAAGGGGTGAAAGCAAGGGAATCCCAAAGCTGGCACTGTTAACGGCCTCTTCATTACAAATGTCTCCTCATGCTTAGCCTACATATATGCTTAAATCTCTCCCACCTGAACACAAAAAAGATCTTTCCTGAACCTTGTATTCTGCCCCACACTTCCCAACCACTCCTGACCTTTCTCCATGTCTCTTCCGTGTGCAGCCAGAGTTCTTGAAAGAGCAGTCTGCTGAGCTCCAGTTGTCCCCTCTTCACACCCTCCCTGACCATCAAACCCTGTCTTCTGCCACCCCCCCGACCTCTGAAAATGATTCCACAAGGTAACTGAAGTCTGTCCTCATGACAGCCAAATGCAACTTTTCAGGCTTCACCCTGTGGCCATGGTTGACTTTCTTTAAAACTTCCTTGGCTTTAGCAGTGCTACTCTCCCCACGCCCCCTACCCCGACCAAATATTTTCAATCATCCTTTACAGTTTTTTCTTTTTGGCAGTAGCTTTCCAGACCTTTGCCAAAACATATACACCCTGAATGTTGGTGTTCCACAGCCTCTACTCTTTGCTCTCTAGTCTTCATATTTTCCCTGGACAATCTCACTTCCTCTAGAAGTTTCTGCTCCAGTTTCTGATATTATCAAAATATATAAGCTGTTAACTCCCAAATAGTTATGTAGAGGGCCCTTCTTTCCCAAGCACTAGGTCTGTCAGTCTGCCTCGCCTCTGGACATGCCTCTTGAAGGCACATTCATGTGTTTAAACCTGGGTACCTAAGCCGACTCTCAGCCAAGAGTACTCCTCAACCATGGCCTTTTTTCTGTCAATACCAACCCCACCCTTCTGCTCACCCACATTAGAACTCGCAGAATCATTGCTTGTATTACTCCCTTTATCCCTTTTATATTCTAGTGCTACCAGGTTCTCTTGATTCTACTTTCCAAATTATGTTTTAAGTTCTTCCTCTCCGTTCTTCCTCTCTTATATGAACCAGCGTGATGGCCTCCCAACTCCTCTCCCTACCTTAAATCTTTCTCATATCTACCTAGCCCACAATTTATCCACAAATCTGTTTTAATTTTTAGATATTACTAAAGTAATTCAGAAAATGGTAGACAAAATGGATGTGCATTTGTCTGTGCCCCAAGTAGAAAGAGCTAGAGAGTAAGAAACCATAATGGATAAAACAGACTGCTAAACAGATTTAAAAAGACAATATATATGTGATGATGCACCAAATAAAAAATATAGTCACTGAAATGAAAAACTCAGAGGACAAGTTAAACATCTAATTAAACCTCAGGTAAGGAGAAAATTTAATTTAGTTCACTGGAAAACAAATGAGGAAATTTCCCAGAATGCATCAAAGGGAGATAAAATAAAGGGAAAAATAAAAGACATGAAGAATAGAAAGAGAAGGTTCAGTAGACATCTGACAGGATTTCTAGTAGTCAAAATAAAATATGGGACGAAGACGCAATGCCTGAAATGATAACAACTCTACATTTTTCAATTGTAGAACACCAGAGACAGAGGAGAAAATCTTAAAAAGCAAACAACCAGAGAGAAAATCAGACTACCTACAAAATAATAATTAGCTAGACAATGGATTTCAATGGCAAAAATAGAATGTCAAAAGTAACGGAATAGGGCCTCCCCAGTGGCGCAGCGGTTGAGCGCTGGGTTGCGAAGCTGCCCGCAGCCTTTGCACTGCTGGTTCGATCCCCGGCTGATCCCCGGCTGCTCCCCGGCTGCTCCCCGGCCACCGGAGAAGGGTCCCACATGGCGCGCAGACCTCTCCTGCCGCCTGCTGCTCCCCTCAGCAGTGTACTTCGGTCCTTCTGCCTGCTCTGCTCCCCACTCTGGCTCTGGTGAATTCTCTCACCCTCCCACGCTTCTGACTGTACCCAGTGCTTGTATGTATGTATGTATGTATAAATAAATAAATAAATAAATCTTTAAAAAAAAAAGTAATGGAATATTTTCAAAATACTATAGAATAACTGACAACACAGAATTATATTTTTAGCTAAACAATCAGGTAAATGTGAAGGTAAAATAAAGATATTTTCAAAGGTAGTTTATCATTCATGGACTCTTATTTTTTAAAAGATTTTATTTATTAATTTTTGCATAGAACTGGGGTATAGCTCAGAGGTGTGGAGGGTGAGAGGATTCACCAGAGACAGAGTGGGGAGCAGAACAGGCAGATCTACTGAAATACACTGCTGAGGAGAGCAGCACACGAGACAGGAGAGGTCTGCTGCGCCATGTGGGTCACCTCCCTGGCCAGGGATTGAACTCAGGCCACTGCTGTGATAGCGCTGAGACTTACCCCTAAGCCACCAGGGAGGCCCATTCATGGACTCTTGGTAAAAGAACTTTTAAGAGATTTACTTCAGTATAAAACTGAAGACAAGGAATAAGTATGGTAAAAGAAGCAATGTGAACAAAGACTCTTGGTTAATTTAAATAAACAGTGACTATAAAATCAATGACTACCAAGAGGATAAAGAACAAGTTAGAATTGAAATAGGAAACAATGCAGAAGATGGAAGAGTGCCGGAAGCTAAGTATTGTAAGGTTTGTGTGCAGTTTAGGAAGAGAATGGAGAAAAATATATAAACTTTAATCTTTGGTAAGTATGTGGCTACAATTCAACTTCTAAACCAGTAGAAGGAAAAAAGAGAAATCAAGAAAACTAACAGAAAATTAAAAAGGAGGACTAAAAAGCAACAAAGACAAAATAAATTATGTCTGTTGTTAAAAAAAAAAGAAACCCAAGAAAGAAGTAACGGTCCTCTTCAACTCATCATGCCACACCTCAGCAGGCCTTTCTCAATGAAGTCTATACAGTAATCATATTTAAAATGCAAAGCTAAAATGCATCTGATTCCTCTTCACTGGCTGCCTACAGGATAAAGGCTAACCACTTAGCAGAATATGTTAAATCGCTTTATCATTTGGCCATGACAACCTATCAAGTCCCTCATCTGGTGCCACCACTACCCTGGATACCTCTAGAAATTAGAGCCATATAATTTTGGTAGATATCAGATCCACTCAGGTCTCTGTTATCTGTTGCTGTCTAGAATGCCCTTCTGTCCTCTTCTGTACTTGGCAGGCTCCTATTGCTCTGTAAGACTTTCCCTAAAAAACAACTACAAAACAGCTTTTCTGTGGCAGCTTCCTTAATCTCTACCTCCCTGGACACCGTTACCATTCTGTTGGTCCACAGCACTTTTGAACATACCTTGACACATTTCACCGTATTATAATTATTTATATGTTCTTCCTCGCCTTGAGCTAATCCATCTTTGAATCTCTAGCACCTGGTACACAGGAGCTAATCACAGATACTTACTGAATAAAAGCTGACTATAGAGAGAACCGCTGAATAAACCACGAGGTCACTTAGCCATCTCCTCAACCTCTGCAGCTCTGTCTTACCTCCACGATACTCTTGGTCACAGTAGATCTTCCTCTTCGAAGTTCACTGGCTTCTCTTTCCACAAAACAGAGTGGTACTTTTCCTACAAGGACCAGAGAATTACTGGTATCTGGAAATATAATTTCAAGGCCCAGATCTTCCAGATTTTTGTGGTAACACCTAAAAAGATAACCTCAAATGTAAAAGTGTTACTTCATTCATGTTTCATTACCACATCCAAAAACTTAATAGTTTCTCAAAAGCTGCCACAAGCTTTAAAAGTTATACTGTTTAGGGCCTCCCGGGTGGCGCAAGAGGTTAAGTCTCAGCACTCTGAATCTATCTACATCCACTGCAGCACAAGTTTGATCCCCAGCCAGGGAGCTAACCCACATAGCTCAGCAGACCTCTCCTGTCTTGCCTGCTGCTCCCCTCAGCAGTGTATTTCAGCAGATCCGCCCATTCTGCTCCCTACGCTGTCTCTGGTGAATCTTCTCACCCCTCACACCTCTGGCCTACACCCCAGTTCTTATATGTATAAATAAATAAAAATAAATCTTTTAAAAAAAAAGTTGTACTGTTTTTCTCTCACACACTATTTTTAGGATTTTACTATCAAATTTCCTTTTTGAATTACAGTAATCTTCATTTACTTTTCCCTCTTTTCCATTGAGAAGATCAATTTGTTTCTAAGTTTTTATTCTTCACTGAGGAATTGCCAACTTCTCCTTGTTGCTGGCACTTAAAGAAGTTTGGCACAAACCAAACAGCTGAGAATGTTTTGAATCAGCATTAAAGCAGGGAGGTAATTAACAGCCTCAGGAACTGAGAAGTCCTGATTAACGGGATGTAAATATATGGATCTGCCTCTAATATAATTTATGCTCCAGGGGAAAAGATTTATTGGCAGTAGCATTGTCCCAAACCTGAAAATAATTCACAGACAATTCTCCCTTTTTCATTTCCAATCAACTGTGCTTCCCAGAGTGGGAAAACATCCTATCTGGTGACTCACTATGTGATTTGCTCCTTGTGGCCCAGTGTTTTACTTTCTTCCCAATATGATTATGGTAATGAAAACTAAGATTCTAGAATGCACCAAGGCAAAGCAGAATGGAAGCAATTACTGCAGTAACTTTGCTCTCAGAAACAGCACAGCATAAACACTCACTATTCCAAGAAATGGTAATAGTGTTCTAAGCCAACCGCTGGAAAAAATTATGAAGGAAACTCCATCCTACACTCAACAGATGTGCTATAGTGGAAACAACAAAATTTGGAGTCAGAAAACCTATATCTGAGTGCCGGTGCCACCACTTCACAGTTGTTATCACCGTGAATGAGTCATGTAACCTCTCTTGGTCTCACTTGTCTCTTCTGAAAAAATAGAACACTATGTCTGCTTATTCCTTACAGAATTATTGTTAGAATTTACACTACCAATGTCACACTCTCTTGGTGGTACTAACCGTAAGAGTCTTCTTTGTTCTTCTGTGACTGTTATCTCCAGAGGAGGACTTATAGTGGAAGACAGTAATTTCTTCCGACCAGAGCCTTGTGACTGCTGCTTCTCATAGGAATCTGTTGGAAGAAAGAGGATCAGGTGAAGAGTAGGAAGGAAAGTCTCTTAGAGTCAGCTAAAAATGAAGCATAGTAAGGCAGAACTATGTTAATCATTACACTGCCTAGCAGGTTGTTCAATATTCACTTTCAGGCTTTGAATTTCCATTATTAAAGTCCAACTAGAAAGTGTGCAGTCCATTTATTTATTTTAGCAGTTATTTTCCAAAATAAGAAATATTAAGACTTAAACCTTACAGTCAATTGAAGCAGGCAATGTTGCAATATTCCGGTAGTCAATAAACGTGGTTTCAGTAACAGAAGTGAATAATGCAGAAATATAACTGGGGAAATACAACAAGGGCTCACTATATAATTCTATAGTTCAAGAAGACTTCCCAATGCCTTCAGAAGGGTTTCCCAGGCTTTGGAGAGAATTAATTACTACTAATCTCAAGTGGTCCAGAGTCTATAGCAAGTAAGTTTTTCTAAGACTGTCTTGACTAGATCTTTCCCAACAATTAGGTCTTCATTTTATAAGGGAAAGTGAACATGAAAGTAATATCACTGCCACTGGTACATGACACATCTCCCTGGGTCCTCAGCTAATTCTTTTTTTTCCCCCCCAAAGATTTATTTATTTATTTATTTATTTACACAAGCACTAGGTACAGTCAGAAGCGCAGGAGGGTGAGAGAATTCACCAGAGCCAGAGCGGGGAGCAGAGCAGGCAGAAGGACCGAAGTACACTGCTGAGGGGAGCAGCGGGCAGCAGGAGAGGTCTGCGCGCCATGTAGGACCCTCCTCCGGTGGCCGGGGAGCAGCAGGGGATCGAACCGGTGCCGCAGAGGCTGCGGGCAGCTTCGCAACCCAGCGCTCAACCACTGCGCCACCGGGGAGGCCCCCTCAGCGAATTCTTTGTCACAGGATTTTTCACTACTTGAGCACAGTCAAGATTTTCCCGGTATTTTACCATTTGGGGCTGAGAAAAATGGTCAGAGATTAAAAAGCACATATTGCCTTGGGAAGGACACATAACCAACTGGTATGGTTGTCCCTGGAAAAGAAATGAGGTGGGGTGAGGGATGGGGTAGAAAGGAGACTTTATTAAATTCCCTTTGGAAACTTTCAAGCCTGACCCTATTTTAATATGACCTATTCAAAAACAAATTAAATTTTAAAATAAAAACAAATAGTGTGCTGGTGGTCCCTGCCTGGTGAGCTGTGAAGAAGGCCAGACGGGCATGGGCTACGAGGGCCTATCTTTGTGCTGGATGTCGTCATAAAGCAGCCTGATCCTTATGTCTCAATCTTCAGGGTTGATGACAAATACATACAAATATGCTTCTGACCATGTGAGACCCACATGTTTGAATCAGAAAGGAGAACCACATTCTTTCAATTACAAAAGAAGCCAAACCAAAGGCTTTAGCTAAAATTTTTAAACATACAATTCAGCTTTTCTTACAACAGCCACAGTTAGAAAAACTCGTTTACATGTTCTGTTTTTTTTCTTATTTACTTTGACACATATTCTGATTCTGATGGGGAGTCTCAAATCCTTTCTAGTCCCAAAGATCCTTACCAATAATAAGCTGCTCCAAACGGACACGTTCATGGGCAGCATGCTGGTCCACCAAGACTAGCAAGTTCCCACCTAGAAGAACAGCAACAATTGCTGAAGTTTCCAATTCTCAGATCAATATTAAAATAATCATGGTGTGTTGAGGGAGAAAAAGGTTAAACAATTTAACAACTTGAGGATAAAAGAAACATACATACTGATTAGTAAAAATTATAGCCTTTATTTCCTAAAAAATTATGGGGAAAACGACAACAAATTTAACCCTGATGAAAAACTCTATTTCTAAAACAAGGTTAAAACCCTGTTTAAACACTGGTTTTACGTTATTAATTAAAATTTGATACAGTGCAGGATTGTTGAAAGATACATTATTAAAATCAGCTGAACTTGATTTGTAAGCTACAACCCACAATGAATGAAATTCTAGTACAATTCGGATCAGAGGCCAGCATATTTTTTTTCTGTGACAGGCCAGATAGAAAATATTTTAGACTTTTTAGACCCATAGCTTCTGTCACAGCTCTTCAACCATTCATTTTGAAGCGAACTAGCCATAGACAATATGTGATTATAGCTGTGTTCCAATAAGACTTTATTTATGAACACTGAAATATTAAGTTCATATAATTTTAATGTGTTATGAAATATTCTCTTGCTGTTTCCCCAATTATTTAAAAATATAAAAACCATTCTTCTATCCCTGAATAGAGAAAAACAGGTGAGCCTGAATTTGGCCATTTGGTCACAGTTTACCTGGCTTTAGATTCAGGCCTCTCAAACTGTAAGATGCATAGAAACCACCTTGGCATTTTATTAATACACAGATTCTGATTCAGTAAGTTAAGGGTAGGATACAAGATTCTACAATTTTAACAAACACTCAAGTGCTATTCATAGACCTTGATAGTGAGTAACAAGACGTTAGACTCTGAGATGCAAGAGAGGAGGCAAAATGTCAGGACCCAAAAAGCCAATTTTCACTGGCAGGTGGACTGATTTCTCTAGTACCTATATACATCTTTTTAGCTTGTATGTTTACTTCTTTTGGCCAAAAGGTTAAGGCTTATTGCATTGATAACAGTGAAAGAAAAATTCTCTTGAATTTGATAAAAGTAAACAATGCCTATGTAGGGGAACAAAAAATCTGCCAACCCCAAACATGTCGTTTGGCAAAAACTTGATTTCAGGGAGGGGCTTGGAAGGCTGGGTTAAGTCTTTTTCTGATTTTTATATCTAAAGTTCTCTCTGTAACAGGTCTATTCCAGGAAGACCTAATTCCCTATCTCCTTCAGAAGAAGACAGAAAAATCGCTTTGTTTTCCCCCACCAAACACCTTGACTTCCCTTCTCTTCCCCCAACCTCCCCTGATAAGCTATTTAAGATGGCATCTGAAGCCACGTGTGAGTTACTCAGTCATGCTGGGTCTCACCCATGTACACAGAAACCATACATATTATTATTATATGGCTTTTTAAAAATCAATCTGATACTTGTTTCATTCTAAGCTACCTAGAAGAACCCAGAGGGGTGAAGGGTGATTTCCTTTGCTTCTCAACAACTTTACGCCCTAAGTATCTTTCCAATACATTTGCTTCTCTCTAGGCTGCACCGGTCCCAGATAACTATCATTTCCTAGAGATCACACCTTCCCAACAGTCTCTTTGCTGCTACTGGGCCTGCACCCCCACACCTAATCCATTCTACACACTACAACCAGAACATTATTTTTGAGATGCACACGTGATGACACAGGCCACTGCAAAAGCAGTATCAGAAAAACAACAATAACACAAAAGAAAAAAAAAGTTATCCACTGCTTCCAATTGGTGCTGGGACAAAGACAAAGCTCGTAACCGGCATCGAAAACCTGGCTCCAATCTGCTTCTCTTGTCCCAGGTCCTTATTCTCATTCCAGAGGCATTGCCTGGACTCCCCTCCCTAAGGGAGAGGAGATCACAATTACACCTTATTCCCTCTGCCCAGCATATACCTCCCCTCTCTCAATCTCATTAATTCAAGCTAATACTTCAGATATCATTTACCAGGGAAGGCTTCTCTGACTAAATCAAATCTCCCAATACAGGTTCTTACAACAGCTCAGTTCTCAACTCCATATCACTAGTTAGAGTTTAAATTTTAACATGTGTTAAATTAATTAATTATCTCTTTCCCCTGCATATATCTTTTTTCCCACTATTGGTGGGCCTAATACTGTCAGTCCCTGGCATACAATAAACATTTGATCAATATCTGTTGAATAAATTACTACTACCGATAATCTTGTAAGTGCAATGTATTTATATTTGTAATATCTTACAATAATAACTACTAATAGTACTTACAAACTATTTTTGTTTTATTAAAGCAGGTTACCAAGATACTGTATGTAACTCTTGATAAACCTAACAGTTCATTTCATAAATTTTCTATTATTATAAAGGGAATACATTAAGATATTATTTAAAAGTCACATAATATATTTTTTTTTTTTACAAAATATTTTAAAGAGAAAGAGATAAAATATCCCCTTGGCCCACCTCCATTCTCAGTTGCAAAGGAACTATTGTTAATAGTTGAACACATACTTTATAGATATATGTTTATGTGTATGTCTCTCGAAACAAAATGTACTTTAAAACTACTGTTTCATAATGGCAACTTAGATTGGTTTTCTCTCATCTGTCCAAGTCATTGCAACTGATTGTGTAATAAAAAATAACCGTTGAAGGAGGCTAGTAGAAGAGAAGATGGTTACTAATCCGAGGCTAAACGTCAGCCTTACCTGCCTCTCCATTCTCTTCAGTCTTAGTGCTCATTACACAGGCAATAAACTTGTTATCCACTTGCTGGAGAACCTGCCACACATTCAAATAAACGGTATAAAACTAAATAAAAATGAACAAAGATTTATCTGCATAGAAGGAGACAGAACTATACTTAATTGAGTGTAATTTGTAGTATGCTATACATAGTTAAGACTGACGTGAGGTGCTGAAGAACTGAGGAGCCATTAGGACGGGGGAGAGACCAGCAAGTAGAGTGAACACAGACATAAAAGGAAGGAGACCACAAGGCAGCTAAGATGGATGTGTTAACAGCAAATGTCAGAGCAGACCCAAGGTGTTTCCAACAGAATGACTCTTAGTAATAATGTATTATGATCAGAGAGCTTTTAAAGCCCTTTGCTTTTCCTCTTGATGCTAAAACCTCCAGAGAGATTTCAAAGTATATGTGGCTTGACAAGGGTGGTCTGTATCATTAATCCAATATCACAAAAATTAATCTAGCTTAGGTCTTACAGATTTTTTTAAAATAAGATTTTAAAGTCAATCTTTTACCTGCATTGAATGAATCATTTCTTTGGTAAAACGATAGGGAAACAAGATGTTGTGGATCTTAACTGCCAAGCTCTCAGCCTGGCCACTGCTCACATCAACAGCAACCTAAAAAGACGAACACAAACATCATTTAATATTTAATTTTTTATGTCTGCAGAACTGTTTTGCCAAAAATCTCAAAGTGCTTTAAAAATACTCATTTTGGGCCTCCCTGATGACCTAGGGGTTAAGTCTCAGCACTATCACCACTATGACCTGAGTTCAATCCCTGGCCAGGGAACTAACCCACATATTGCACAGCAGACCTCTCCTATCTTGCCCGCTGCTCCACTCTGCAGTGTATTTCAGTAAATCCTTCTGTTCTGCTACCACTTTGTCTCTGGTGAATCCTCTCACCCCTCAGACCTCTGGCCTGTACCCTAGTTCTTTTGCGCAAAAAAAGAAGAAAAAAAGCTCATTTTTACAGAACGTAGAGGTGGCTTGAATTCAGGGTATTTACAGAGATTCAAAAGACTATGAATTATTACTCAAATGATAATTTTTGTTTATAAACAAAATTACTGGCAAACCCAATACTGTTGCAACAACTATTTGTCTATGCTCCATGATCAATTTCTTAAAGACATCTTAATTGAAGAATTAGTAATCAAATGCTCAACAATTATGCATCCTCATTACTACACACAAAGTACATTCTGTGATAACACACCGAGAACATCCACTCAGGTCCAGTGATGAACTGTCCCTTTTGTAGAAGATTCCCTGAAGTTAATCTTTATCTAATGAAAACAGTTTTTTACTATCACCATCCTAAATACTTTGCCAAAGGTGCAAGTGAGGGTTTTTAAGAGTGGCAAGCACTCACTATCCACACACTGATAATACATGTTTAATCCAAAATGTGTGAGTTCCCAAGATGCTATGAATTCTGATTCCTTCTCTCTACATTAAATATTAATTTCCAAATAAATTATTTGGAAACATGCCTACTTCACATTCAAAATTACAAATCAGTACAGTGATTCACGCTAATATTCAGCTTAAAATTTTAAAGTAGCAGGTAAAGAAAAATTGTTGCAGACCCACCTCTGGAAAACGGGCAAATACTGGATTGTTCCATTCTGAGAACAAAGACTCAAGCGATTCTCTACCAAGAGCATCACCCATAGTATCTAGGACAAAAGGGGACAAGTATAAAGTTAGCATCAAAAGCCTCAGGGAAAAGGGTGAATGGCATCTCCTATTTGTTGTGGTGCAGCCTCAAAACCAAAGATCAGATGTACTATTCCCACACTCACAAATGCTCAGTATTTGCTGTGTCTCTAAGTTACTTTCACCTGTTGCTTTTTAAACTAGCGTTGATAACTCTATCTTCTGGCATTGTAAATTTTTCTCCCAACTCTTTACAAAGATTTTTCAAAATAAAAGCCCTGAAGAAACAGGATCAAATTAGTAGTCTCACTTCCTTTAGATAAAAAATATACCTTATCTATTTCCAGAAGCAAAGAAAAAGTCAATAAATGTTCATAGCTTTTATGAATCTAAGAATTTTATGTAAAAACCATTGCAATATGGAGTGCAACTCCAATCATGAAAAATAAGAAACATTTTCTCAATCATAATACACAACAAACTGTGCATAGTCACCCAGTATTGACCTCAAGTCTGGAAAAGTAATTTCTGATCTAAATGCATGCACTGAACTACTTAGTTCTGCTGTTAAATAGGACCGTGGGGAATTTCTGGTTCCAGTAAGGCACAGCTGGCACTGATCAAGCTTAATAATAAAACGCTTCTTGTTTGTTTTTTTTTTTAATTAGGTGGCACGGTATGTACCAGGTAGTTGTACTGGCAATCTCTGTGATTGCCCCTACCTCTGTTATTCCGTATCATCATAATCCTGTCTTCCCGAGCTCTAGGAAGGAAAGGAAGAACAAGGCTGCTTCTAAAAGGATGACACCTGTACTGAGATCCTAAATATAAAAACAAACAAACAAACAAGAAAAAACTAGACATTTGAACTCAAATATAAACAACTTACTTAAAAATTAAGTTACATAAAATCTTTTTGCATAAACTGAATCAAAACACAAGCAGACTATGGAACACTAGATTGATAGTCAGAGGTTCTTTCATAAAATAATTGTACTAATTTAAAAATCTACCTCCTCCCTGGAGGTGCAAGGGGTTAAGCACCGCACTATGAAGCGATCCACAGCATAAGTTTGATCCCTGTCAGGGCCAGGGAGCAGCCCACATGGTGCAGCAGACCTCTCCTGTCTCGCCCACTGCTCCCCTCACAGCAGTGTTTTTCAGTCAGTCTGCCTGTTCTGTTCCCCACTCTGTCTCTGGTGAATCTTCTCACCCCCCGCATCTCTGGCCTGTACCCCAGCTCTTATATGAACAAATAATTCAATCTTTTAAAAAAAATCTACAGTAATGCTTAGTCCCATTATACATATAAACCCAACAGAATGACTAACCTGAAATAGATCACTGAGTCTCAACACAGGAGATTTTGCATCTGGAACATTTAGACCATGTATTGAGATACTTTGGTTGTTACAACTTCAGTGAGGAGTGCTACTGACACTTAGCAGACAGAGGTTAGGAGTTCTGCTAAATAAACTAAAATGGGTAAGACAAACCCTACAACAACGAATTATCTAATCTGAAACTTCTTCAGTGCTGCTGTTGAAAAACTGTATTAGACATATGGTCATACTTAATTGTCATCCTTTGCTGCCTGGTGCAGCTATCACAAACCTCTCATTAATAGGTCTCGTCTCCCCAGCGTAAATCTCTATTGTAACGTTTACTTCATTGTAGTATAATTATGTTTGGTTAGCTGTCTTAACTAATAGACCAAACTCCTGAAAGCAAAGTCAATTAATCTGCAATGTGACAGCATCTAGCAGAGGATGAAGAGTCAACAATTGAGTGAGTAAATTGAGATGAATGAATGGAAAGTTCTCAATTTAAACTCCAAAGTCTAGACGTATGGGGCCCAAATTCTCCCCTCCTCTCGAAAATATGACCAGCTCTAAGTTTTAGAAACAACACTGAATTTGACTCTTTTTGAACAGGAACAAAACATGACAAAACTATTATTTAAAATATATATATATTTGTTGAACCAAAATTAGAGAGAGATGGATTCAGAATGACAAAATTAAAGATATTTTAAAGAAAAAACTGCCCGGATTTAGACACTACTCCTTCAAATTACTTTTACAGATCCTCTCCTCTGTACAATTAAGATCACCTCTTAATAATTTAACTTATGTAACATTGTTATGCCTGGTTCAACAATTTCCCACTATAGTAATTTCCAGAAAGGTAACATTCCTTGTGAATGGAGGGTGCTTAGCAGTCATCTACTTGTTCTGTACCCCAAATACTTGATTTTCCACTATGAAGCTTTGGGTTTAACATGACCCTCAAGGGCCTCCCCGGTGGCGCAGCGGTTGAGCGCTGGCTTGCGAAGCTGCCCGCAGCCTCTGTGGCACCGGTTCGATCCCCGGCTGCTCCCCGACCACAGGAGGAGGGTCCCACATGGCGCACAGACCTCTCCTGCCGCCCTCAGCTCCCCTCAGCAGTGTACTTCGGTCCCTCTGCCTGCTCTGCTCCCCGCTCTGGCTCTGGTGAATTCTCTCACCCTCCCTCACTTCTGACTGTACCCAGTGCATGTATAAACAAAACAAACAAACAAACAAATAAATAAAACATGCCTCTATAAAAAAAAAAATGACCCTCAAAAAGTTCATTACAATACTTTCTAACCCTGAAAGTTAAGTAGGCTGAAGTGTTTTAAACATCTAGATTTATTTAACAGGAGCCTGTTTATGTTCAGCGCAGTAGGCAACATTCTCCCTCTGTTTTAGCAATAGACTTCTCAGATTAATATAATCCAGTTATTTTTTTTTTAAGATTTATTTATTTTATACAAGAACCAGCGTACAGGCTGGTGCGCGGGAGGGTGAGAGAATTCACCAGCAACAGAGCGGGGAACAGAACAGGCAGACAGACGAAACACACTGCTGAGGGGAGCAGTAGGTGAGACAGGAGAGGTCTGTTGCGCCATGTGGGACCCTCGCCGGTGGCTGGGGATCGAACCGGCGCTGCAGAGGCTGTGGGCAGCTTCGCAGCCCAGCGCTCAACCGCTGCATCACCAGGGGAGGCCCTCCAGTTATTTATTTATTTTTTGTCACCACATCAGAAGTAGTTGTATTTCAGGAAGATGAGGTGCAGTGCCTTAGATTTACCTCTGATAAGTATTCCGTATAAATCAGGACACAGACTGAAAAACACGTGTGTCTTTAAGAGCAACCTGATAGTCTCAGGAGCAGTACTGAAAGGAAAGGGTTTTCTCCTATTTAATATTTTGAGAGTTACTACAGTACTTTTTTTTTTTACAGCCAAAAAAAGAAAAAAGATCCGATATAACCTTAAATAGAGCTTCCTGCAAAAGAGATTAATTTGTGATTACATTCACCAATTTACATTATTTTGTAGCACTCAAGACTTTCACTGTGGCTGTACATTTAATGTTTACCCTCCTGATGTAAAACCAAGATTAGAGCCAGATGGAAATCAGCTTTACCATCTCCCAACATCTGGTTCTCAACACCTGCCAAAACAAAGTCACCTTTAATGTTGCATGAGACCTGAGAACTGAAAGTCCTAGTCTAGGCTCTCATATAATTCTGTGTTATGATCTAAAAGCCACTTTACTGTCTTCCTAAATGACAGTTTCTTATGCCATAAACAGATCAAGTGGATTAGCATATATATTATAATAAAGCACATTTGAAAAGTATAGCTATGAAAGTACATATTGAACCTATATTCCAAAAAATTTATGGTCAACCTAGGAAAAAAGTTCATAAATATAGTGTTGGACGGAGCCATAGGTTTTACTGGGAGACCAAGGATGATTACAGGCTCATTCTGGCCCTTAAACTGGGAGTCACAGAGAGCAACTTCCCAAAAAATTACCGCACTGCCATTACAAGTGCCTTGGAGACACATTTCCAGGAGAGCTGTCTATATGGTGTGGGGGGTGGCCGAGGAGGGGGACTGTGCCATGGTGAACAGCACCACGGTACTATTAATAGTACCATTTTCATAAAAATTTGTCTTGTCCTCCCCTGCAAACACCTCCACAGACACATATACATACACTTCTGCATCGGTCTTTCATCGTATTTCCAGATTTAAATAGTATTGATGCTTCATAATTAAAATTCAAAATGTTCTCTAAGTGCTGAGATAATCTCAACAATGACGATTCTACCCCTTGACATTATTCCTATTTCAAAAGCATTTCATGCCAGTGAATACTGTGCACATACCGTTCTCAAGCACGACATCCACGGCCACAGTTGTCAGGTCTTTAGTACAAGCAGCCTGAGCATCTTCTGTAGGTGCAGTGAACGAGCTAAGACCGGTGATCTTGTTAATATAGACCATCCTTCCCAGGGCTACATCAAAATGCTGCTGCCAATCCAAAGAACGTGTGTTTGGCTCTTCATTTTCAGAACAAGTTCTTGCTGCCGATTCCTGACTCTGAAAACAAGTTCCGTTGGGCGCCACTGTGGAGTCCTCCATGTGACTCAGTAGCATTCTATTAGAGGGGTCAGGACTTCCTATCTGTTGTTGTGAGGCTATAAGAACATTTGAATCTTGATTGGTAACTGGAGAATTATCATAAGGGGGTATCAAAGGAGTTTCTGGCATCACAGAGTTCTCTATTGTAACATTGTTAGAATATGTTTCAACATCTTTATTGGAGGAGTGATCCTGTGCCACCCAGTCTGATGTTGGGAGGATGCCACCCTCTATTTTTGTAGGTTCATTTTTCAGTAACTTGTAAGAGTCTTGGGTTAACCCACTGTACAAATTACCATCTTTCTTACTGGAATCTGGTTGTGGAAGTTTGTTAAAATGATTCATCATCTCCACTGTGCACATCTCTCTTTCAGAATCTTTCATTCTGGATAATTTAGAAGCTAACGATGCAGGTGACTTCTCAATGCTCAAAGGTTTTTCATTTATATGAGGTAACTCCTGTAGAGTTATAGGACTGTCTCTTAAGCAAGGCATCTGTTCCAAACAATCTTCTTCCTGGGAGAATGGAAACTTCTCAGAATAAAGGATGCGACTTACTAGCTGACAGCTACTATTTGAATCATTATGTTTCAGAGTGGTGATGTCACAAATGTCAGAGTTATCAATGTGGTTTTTGTCTTTCTGTGGAATGTCAGGTTCAACCTGAGGGCTGAGATTGGTAATGATTTCACAATTATTATTTTCTTCTTCTTCTGTATTCAGAGGATTTTTCACCCTCCCATATTGCCTCTTAAACTTCTCTAAAGATCCTAATTGCAAACTTAAGCATAGCTTCTTATGTGCTATGGGTTTAGAGGAACTGATTAATTTCTTTGTTTTCTTACTACCACTTGAAACATGTCTACACCAAGGGAAAGAGGTTGTGTTAGGTAATAAGCACCCTGTGTGTGGTTTTTCACTGTGTTCCTGGAAAACAGCAGAATTTTTGTAAGCTGCTACAGGCTTGCTCTCTATCCCATAACTTCTACTTGCTCTGCTCAATTTTTTGTTGGGCAGCTGAGGGAATTCTTTACTTAACGTGTGGGTGTGGGTTAAATCTTAGATATTTGGAGCCTCAACTGAAAGGCATGTTCTATTTCCAAATGCTTCTTTGGCACTCACAGGACCAGACTGAACACAATTTTTAAATAAAAGCTCTGTTTCTGTCGATTTAGCCTGCTGACTTTGTACCACATGAGTTATGAAGCCAGTGGAAGATAATTTAACTTGTCCATAACTAAAAACATTTATTCTTCCACAATTACTAGGTTCTTCCTTTCTGTTTTCTTCTTCTCTATGAGCACCACGTGCTCTTAATAATGTTGTCTCAAAAGGCAGAGGTTGGCATTCCACTTCAGTAGCCTCTTTAAATCTCTCTACTTGATTTTGAATTTGATTGTTCATCAGGATGTTGGAAGCCATGTCTTTAAGAGCAGTACTAACTTTCCGTATTTCTAGGTCTTCTCCACTCTCCTCCAAGTGATGTGATGTTTGAGAAGGGCTTGCAAACATTTCTGAACTTGTTGCAGGTGGATTTTCTGAAGAGTTAAGTTCTAAGCAAGATTTTTTATGCTTCTTACTTTCTCCTGATTCTGATACTTCAGCTGTTTCTTGTTCTATGAGCCTTAATTCTAAGCAAGAGCGCTCTTTGTTTTGCAAGGGTGACTCTGTCATTTTACTATGGCTTGGGCTATCTGATTCTTGAGTATACAAAAATGAGTCATTTGTCTTTTTTCTGATAACCTCTGGATCCCTAAAATTTTCTGTGTTTATGTTTTCTCTAGTAGCTTTTCTTTTCACAGCTTTGGATTGCAAATTAAACATTTCATAGGAATCTAAAATATTAGTACATGCTTCTTGGAAACAGACCTCGTCACACTTTTCATCAGTGGACACCTGCTTGTGAAGAGTAGCACTAAATACACTAAAATCATTATCTTCACTAAATTCTCTAATGTCTTCACCTGATAATTCCACAAATAATTTTTCTTTCTTTAAAAACATTTTTACTCCTTCCTGGATGCAAACCGAGAGAGTATCCCAGTTCTGAAACTCAATCAGAGTTTTCGCTGGCTCTATGCACACATCATACTCACAGAACTGGCACTGCACGTTGATTACATAGATTCCATGGAGTTCTGGGTTAGACCGATGCCGAGGACTTGAATTCATTTGCCTACTGGCAGAGCCATTCTTTGGCTTGCATATAATACTTTCTTTCCTTAATAAAAAGTCAATGAGTTTATGCAACTTTGTCTTTAAAACTAGCCTTTTGTTCACAAACAAAAACTGCATATTCTTATTATAATGTGCTTCAGAGCTGATATAGCCACTAAGCTCAAACTCCTTGTATTTAAATTTTATTTCTTTTAACTTTTGGGACTTACCCAGTCCATAAATTTGACAAAATCGGGAACATATGTCTTTGGTTTTGGGGAGCTGAAGAACCATGGAACCAGAAACATCATTTCTCAAAGAGAAGGAAACGGAAGGGTGCATGAGTGCTAGTGCTTCTATCCTCTGCCTCACTTTCTCAAACTCCAGTCTGGGATCCATGCATTTCCTCCTTACAGGTAACTGGTAAAATAGATTATATACTGTTACTGTTGTCCCGGTGCTTGGTCTGTTCAATTCAGCTTCACAAGCTTTCAGGGCTTTTCCATTCTGAAAGAGTTTCACAAAAGTTTTCATTGTCCTGTTTCTCTTGGATGAAATTTCCACAGCACTGGCCATGTCAGCTATACTTGCCAAGGCCTCCCCACGGAAACCATAAAACCTTGGATTTTCCAAGTCCTGTAGCGAGTTGCATTTACTAGTGAAGTAACGATTTCCCACCTTGTCTACATCATCACTCCCCATTCCCGATCCATTGTCTATGACTTGAACTTGGAATGTTTCCAGATTCACCCTGACAGCCACACATTTTGCTTCAGCATCAATACTGTTGAGGGCAAGCTCCTCAACACACTGGCCCAAGGAGCATATAGCCAGACCAGAACGCAATTTGGCTTGCACTTCAGTTGACAAGCTCTTGATCATGGCAGGTTGAAAGCTGGTGAGAGAGGCAGGCACTTGTTTCCTTCTCGGACTGGGAAGAATTGCCTATGGGAGGGGGAAACAAACACTATCAAAGCTTCAGAGTTACATAGCATTACCCATTTCTCACGCGCATTATGAAGAATTATCATTTGAGGTAAATAATAAAATCGCTTATTAAACCACCTTGTAAAACAAAACAAAACAAAACAAACTGTAGTTCTGATCTCTAGGCAGACTACACAGCTCATGCTTGGTGCAATGGATTTAATATCCAAAGCAACCGTCATAATTTCATCATTTTCACTGCCCCTTTTTAAATCCCACATGCCCCAAAGTGAACTCATAATCACACTTGAAGTTGACTCGTAAAGAGTGTTCAAAATTCAATCACTTTACCAAAAACAGATGCATCAACTAAATTCAGCTAAGAAATGTTAGCTAGAAATTACTTATGAAAAAAAGTCCAAGTTTCATAACATTGGTACATTACACAATATCATGACTTTTAGAAAAAAAAAAAACAAAACAGTGAAGTGTAAAGAGCCTGTAATAAGGAGAGTAATAAACAAGAGGAAAGAATTTTAACTCTAATTGTATCAAGAAGACATAAAGAGATTTATCATCATCACCACCGTCATTATTGGTGGTAGTGGTTCAATGCAGTTGCCTCGAAGGAAAGAAACTGAAAATGGCAACGGTCAAGGCAGGAAAATTCCTTTTCATCCTAAGGACATTAGCATCGTTTGATTTGAAAATCTTGTTCTTGTATGACTTTGACAAAGTTTTCAAAAGTCTTTAGTAACATTCTTTTGCATTAATACTATTTTGGTCACTGGCAATAACAATGATGGCAAAGGGTGTCGCAACTTGACTTTTAAGTTTTCTTGCAGGGAAAGGAAACAGCCTTGGGGTGTAATGACAGGTCGCCCCCCTCCCCGCAGGCGGGCGGGGCCTCTCGGGAGACGCGGCTTCGAACCCCAGCGCTCCGAGCGCAGCTCCCCTGTTTTCCGAAATAATGGGATTTGCAGTCGGCAGCGAGTGAGAGGTAAACGTTAACTAAGCATTGCAGCGACGCCCCACCCAGCCTCTTCCTGAGTACACCCCTGTCCTGTCAGGGTCCCAGCTCCTGGGACAAAGGGGCGCTCGGCTCCCGGCCGGGGGGGGGGGGGGGGCGGCGGCGCAGGCGCAGTAGCCACCCCGACCCCCAGCCGCCCGCCCGCCCGGCCGCGCTCCCGGCCCGGAGGCCGCCGCAGCCGGCGCGCAGGCGGAGCCCCGGGGCCCTTCTGGCATCAGCTCCTGGGTCATGCGTCCGTGGCCTGCTCTCCCCACGTCACCTCGAGTCCGGTGTCACCAGCTCCCCGACACTAACCGTCTAGGCCGCCGGACACGCGCACGGTGGCGCACGAGGGTCGTGCCCGCGCGAGCCCACGCGCATGCGCTTTGGGGGAGACGCCGGGCGACTGCGTCCAGACGCGGCCCGAGGCGCATGCGCCACCGTGGCCGCTGGCGCGCTCCCGCGTGCCTTGGGCTCTCCGCACCGAACGCCCCCGCCTCTCGCTTAACCGGCGGGAGGCGCCGCTTCTAGCGGTCAGACGGTTGTTTTTCCTGTCTCCCATTTTTTCTTTGCGCTTACTAACCGCATAATCAGTGTGTGTTTTCTCTGTTCACTGTCTTCCCTCGAGTGTCAGCTCTCTGAAGGTGTTGTGTTCACCGCACCGGCCTCCGTCCGTCCCAGGCATGCGGCCGGGCCGCCGTCGGGCACTGGAGAACACAGAGCCTCCCATGTGAGGAAATGAGCTGGAAAAGACAGTATATCAAGCTCTTCTCTAAATTTACAGATGAGGACACCAAGCCCCTTCATTGGCTTTTTTCGGTGTCTTCCCAAGCCTCTGCAGCTTCTTTCATGAGAGCAGATTGCGCAAGAACACTGAGAATAGGTGTTTGGGAAACTGTCTCATTTTCACTGAAACACTACATTAAAAAAATGTATGACAAATCAAATTTGTCTAATGCAGGAAGATTTAGATATCAGTTTAATGGCTAACCAAACCACATCAGACTGGTGGTGCTGATGAAGTAAAATCCTGTTTGTATTAGTTTGCTAGGGTTGCCATAACAAAAATACCACAGACTGGGCGGCTTAAACAACAGAAATTAATTTTGTCATAGTCCTGAAGGCTGGAACTCTGCTATGAAGGTGTAGACACATGATTGATTCCTTCTGAGGTCTCCTTGATGTGTTGGCTGTCTTCATATAGTCCTTTGTGCACACACAGATTCTGCCCAACTTTTCTCTTTTTGTAAATACACTGGAGCATATTGGATTAGGGCCCACTCTAATGACCTCATTTAATCTTTAATCTCTTTAAAGGCCCTATCTCTGACTACAGTCACATTCTAAGGTATGGGGTGTTAGGACTTAACTAACATCTGAATTGGAGGGGGGGAGCAGACATAATTGAGCCATAACATTGTTTTATGTGAATTCCTTACTCAGAGGAAAGGAATGACAGTAGAAACTCCAGAAAACTAAAAATTAGTCCAAAGGATCATTTAAACAGCTAACAAATTGAACTTGTGATGTTTGTTGTTATTAACATGAAATTTCCTGAAAAAAACTTCATGGAAACCTTTTAATGACTCAAAGTAACTGCTAACTTTTCTTTCAGATCTCTTTAAATAACTTCAAAATTCTCTTCCCACAGATGTCTTTGGAATAAATACCCCCTATTTTGTCTAAAATGTAATTCACCAAAAAATAAAAGTACCCCACGCAGAAGGTTCCAATGTGTTTTTATTGATTAGAATTGTGTCCAACTGTAATTCCTCCATCATATAAGATACAGTAACATTCAAATGTCTGGTGTATACTAAAATAACTTAAATAAATTCTAACATTGAACACAGAATAGTTTTATCTCCTACATTAAAGAACAACCACCTATTTTATCCTGAAAAATTATATTCAGGCCACTATTTCACAATTTGGAAATCTGAGTAATCCAACGTTAAGATAACTTTCTCGTTACTGAAGTTTGCTCTGTCGATGTGTGACTTGGGACTTCCTTTTGTCCTAAGCCATTCCTGCATATGACGCACTTTGGAGATGGGACCTTGCAACTGTCCTTGCACTGTGCCCTGGTCAGTGTTCTGGACCCAGCCTACCAATCCCAGCTTTTTACTCTCAGCCTAAAGGAAAGAAAGAAAAAAAGAAATTCAATAAAGTTGAGCAAAACAAAGTGAGACTACATCTGTTGCCAGAGTCTTGCCCAGGACTAAGCCACTGAAACTAATTTGATATTGTCTAGATCAAAACAGAAGGACAGCAAGGAGACTCTCACAATCATGCCAACATGAATATTGGCACCTGACTCCATTTCCTCCTTCTACCCTATAAAACCAGGCACTAGAAATTTTCACGATGTAGTCAATTTGGTTTGAACTAAAGACTTAAGTAAGACCAAATTAGACACTTTCAAAAGAATGCCCTAAGACTGACTGTTAGGATACTGGCTGTATCTTTTTCCATTCTCCTAATCAAGAATCTATTGGGTGTATTAAATAGAAAAAGCATGAAATTCTCTGTCTTTAATCAGGGCCACACCTAAACAAATCCAGATGAATAAGTGTCCATTATATCTTTAAAGATCATTACAGAGTGTTTCACAATTTCCTGGGCAAATCATTCCATTGTTCTCACTGTAGAGAAACTAACTCAAGGTTTTCATCTTCCATTCAAAACTCACTTTTCTGTCATCTCCTGGAGAAGAAAAAAGCAGCTTGTGATTTAGCCTCTGACCCCAAAGTTTCATGAAACTACATAACTATTAGGTTTTCACTTTCTTTCCTTCTGCCTAAATAATCACAATAGCTTTAAAGTTGAATAAGCTTATGAAGACCAACTAATCATTGTATTGTTTTCTTAGTTTTTCAATGTTCTTTCCTTTAAATTATTAAACTGTGGAAAGACTGAAAATGGGAAATGGTAGCAATATTTTAGAGGTAACTTAATATTTCTATAAATATACAATTAGGAATAATATAAGTTACTGATTATTAAAGCTATCTAATCTAAGAGGAGTGTCAGATTACAAAAGAAAATGGGAATTAACGTTATTGCATGTCCAAATGCCAGAGCAGTGATTGACTAAATGTGGGAAGTTGCCGGAGTTGGCCAAGGAAAATATTCTGTGCAGCACAATATTTTTGATGAGGAAATGACGTATCCACCAAATCAGATATGTTCAAAACAGGACATATTTGTAGACTGAACAAAAATGGTCAAATAAATACAACTTAAGGAATACAGAAGAAACTAATAAAGAAAAACAGGAGATACCTACAACATGCATTAAATGCTGAAAGTAGTTATAGAAAATAAAGAGAATTGATATTCTAACTCCACACCCAAGTGACTCTGTGTAACCACTGTACTCTTCTGCTTCAAATTTACTTAGAGTTGGCTATCCACAGTTCTTTAGCATTGCCTTATATGTTTAACTACCTATAAGAATGAATGTGTTGAGGACCTACCTGGTGGCCTAAGGGTCTTAGCACTGTGACCATATTATCTATGGCGCAGCAGATGAGACGACCTCTCCTGTTTCACCTGCTGCTCCCATTAGCAGTGTATTTCAGTAGATCTTGCTGTTCTGCTCCCCATTCTGTCTCTGGTGAATCCTCTCCTCCCCCCTCCTCACCCCCTCCCCCACCTCTAGCTTACACCCCAGTGCTTCTATGCAAAAAAAAAAAAAAACTAATAAAAATTTTTTAAAAAAGAATGAGTGGGGGGGGGCCCTCCCCGGTGGAGCAGCAGTTGAGCGCTGGGTTGCGAAGCTGCCCGCAGCCTCTGCGGCGCCGGTTCAATCCCCGGCTGCTCCCCGGCCACCGCAGGAGGGTCCCACATGGCGCGCAGACCTCTCCTGCCGCCCGCTGCTCCCCTCAGCAGTGTACTTCGGTCCTTCTGCCTGCTCTGCTCCCCGCTCTGGCTCTGGTGAATTCTCTCACCCTCCCGCGCTTCTGTGTGTACCCAGTGCTCGTATAAATAAATAAATATATCTTAAAAAAAAGAATGAGTATGGGGCCTCCCCTGGTGGTGCAGTGGTTGAGTGCTGGGCTGCGAGGCTGCCCGCAGCCTCTGCAGCGCCGGTTTGTTCCCTGGCCGCCGGCGAGGGTCCCACAAAAAAAAAAAAAAGAATGAGTATGTTGAGTTTTGAGCAGGAGGTAACAGTCAAATAAATCTTTATATTTCAATTTATCTAAACTCCTGAAGGTTAATAAAAATTTCTAAACTTGACTGGAGTTAGAAATGGGAAGTACCCACAGGTTGTGTGTGTGGGGGGTGAGTGGATGTGCGCATGCACGCATGCATGTATTCAATTCTGTTCTTATTTTTTAAATGATAGTATCATGTTGCTAGCTCATGTTCAGTTTTGAATACCTAAATAAACATTTTTTTCCTAAGAAAATTCCAAAAAGCTAATTCTCCATGAGGTTAGTTCTGGTTAGAGTCATCTGAAATGACCAACTCTAGTCTAGATCTAAAAAGAAGTCCCCTCAACCAATAATTTAGACCTCCACCTTAGGAAACTAGAAAAACGAGAACAATCTAACTCAAAATAAGCAAAAAAAGGAAGTAATAAGTATTAAAACAGGAGTTAGTACATAATAGGAAAAAAAATCAATAAAACCAAGTTTGTTCTTGGAAAAGATCAACAAAATTGTCACATCTTTAGATACAATGACCAAGAAAAAAGAGAAGGCTCAAAAAAATCAGAAAAACCAGAAATGAAGTGAACATTACCACCAACCTCACAAAAATTCTATGCACAATCGTGTGTCAGCAAATTAGATAAAGGCAGGTTACTAGTAAAACACAAACTACAGAGACTGAAACAAGAAAAGAAATCATGTGAATGGACAAGCAGAGCGACTGACTTAGAAGCCAAAAACTTTCCACAAAGAAAAACTGAGGCTTCACAGGCGAATTCTACCAAATGTTTAAAGAAGCCTTTAACAGTCCTTCAAAAACTCTCTCCCCACAACAGAGGAAATCATTCTATTAAGTCAGTGTTATCCTCAGACCAAAACCAGACAGATCATGTGAACTGCATGTGAATATCTCTTATGAATATAGATACAAGAATCTGCAACAAAATACTGGCAAAGCAGCAACATATGAAAGGATTATATACCATGAAAAATGGAGTTATCCCACGAATACAAGTTTGGTTCAACATACAAAAACTACTATGCCATTCTATAACTACACCATAATGATTAAAAAAACAAACCAGATTATCATCTCTATAGATAAAGAAAAAACATTTTATAAAATACAAAATGTTTTTATGATAAAAACACTCCATAAACTCCTCAAGAGGAGAGGCAAAGTATTGAGAAAGGAGATTTCTTTCCTAAAATGAAATGACAAGGAGGCACTACCCTGCAAGGCAAAGCCAAACCCTCAGAAAAGGGAGCAGGAGGCTCAAGAGACCCACAGACACTAGGAGGCCCATTCTGTTTTACCCAATAATGAAAAATGTCAACACTTATTATTTACTATGTATTGAAAAAAAAAAAAAGGCTATAAGACCTGCAGGTGCTTCATCTCTACAGCCCTCTGGTGTAGGTATTCGCATACCAATCTTTAAAAAAACTCAGAAGTATTTCAGGCTACACAGAAGTGTTTGAGGCTACACAGCTTGTTAATAGCGTCACTGGGATCTAAACCTAGGTCTGCTTGACTGTAGCGCCCCCTACTCTTGTTTCCCCTCAGCACCATCCCTTACATGTCCTTTCACCCTTTCTCCCATCTCTTCTTACTCACACTTGAATTTTAAGTACAACTGTCCCAGGAATATGACATTTGGAAAGTTCTTCGGTCTTAACTCATTATCTTTGGGGTTGGAGATACACTGGGAAGGTAATTGCTTCATAACTCTCCCACACTCCCAAGACACCACCCCCCCCACACACACACACAAGACAGAAGGGAAATTGAGATTGCACTTGTGTGTGCATACTGAGGGAAGATCAGTGACACTGAGAAAGGGGGCAGAGGCTCTCAGGAGTTTATTCATCCCCTTAACTACTCTCTGTTACTCTAGTAGGAGTACAGGCCCCATGTCCAGTGTTCCCATTGCTTGTTCTGGAATGAATATTTTCATTAGAAAATCTTCCTCCGGAAAAGGTAATTGTTCTTTCAAAGCCAAAATGAGAATAAATCAATTAAGTGGGGGAATGGGGTAAGGTTAAAGGAGTAAAAGCATTCTAAAAAAATTGGCAGCAGTAGTGAATTAGAAAAATGTGGTCTATAAACACAATGGAATAGTACTCAGCTATAAAAAATAAAAGATTGATGCTTGCTATTTGCAACAAAATGGATGGAGAGGATAATGCCAAGTGAAGTAAGTGGAAAGGAGAAAGATAAATAACAGACGATTTAGCTCACATGTGGAATACAGAGAAACAAAGAGTCAGGCAAAACCAAACCAGTAACAAACCCTAGAAATCTGTGGAATTGAGTCTACAAGAGGGAAGGGGACATAATGGATGACAGTGGAGGGCTGAGGATGCCAGGGCAGTGGTGTGGTGTGGGGACATGCCAAAACCAGTGTAAAGGAATGAAGTGGGGAGTCTGGAGAGGGGTGATCCAATGCTTTTCAATCACATACAGTGTTGTAAACCACTGATACCTCAATAAAAAAGACAGTGGCAGCAGCTACAGAGGAAGCAATGACATAAATTACACAAATGTCATGAATTCATTTAAATGTCATCTCTTCCATCAATGTTAGCCTTCCCACAAAAGTTGTGACTTGATTTGGTGACAGCACAACAGAGGGGGGTGGGGGTGGGGGGATATTCTTCACTGAAGAGAGCAGCTCACTAATATGTGTCAGGTAGTCAGGGAGCACTGTCAGAAAAGACCAATCAGAACAGAAGACGAATCTTCCACGTACACTGGTTACCCATCGCAAAGCATGTTCAACATGTCCTACAACTCACGTCTGTGCCATGCAGCTACCAAATAACCAGCTTCTTCCAGCTCACATCTGTCGGGAATGTGTCTCTAGCTCCCATGCTCACAACCTTGGCACGTCCCCAACACCTGGAGGGCCACATACCTGCGTGTACTTGCGGAAAAACACCCCTTGCACCTTCCCAAAAACTTCATAATCCACTGATATCAGGGTGTCCCCTTCTGCCATGCTCAAGCCTGTCAGAGACCAGGAAAGCAAAAAGCAGGTGCCTCGTTATCCTAGTCAGGACCCCCAGCCCGGGGACTAATAGGGGCACACCCCCACCTCTCCAGCCTGGATCTCTGCGACCTCTCCCTGACCGTAAGGTCCCCGGCTTCAGAGCAGGGGCGCGGTCGAGTGCAAGCGCGGGATGTGAGGTAACAGGAGCCACCTGGGCGTCCCCGGGGGGTAATCACCTGCTCACCCCAGGACCCGCCTACACCCTCCCTCTCGGGCCCCCGCCTCCATGCCTTCATCCTCCCGCCGCCCTGACCTCCACGCGGCTACCAGGGCTAACATTTCTTTCCTGGGCTAACCGAACCGATAGGCACGCCCCGGGGCCCGACCCGGCTCACCTTCCTCTTCCGCCCAGGCGTCCCGGATCCCACCTGCAGCCGCCAGGCCAACGGCTCCCCCCAACGTAACCAGCGCGCCCGGAACTTAGAGCGCAGCCCCTCCTTCGCTGGTTCTCATGCCAATCACCTCCCTGACCAATCAAGAATCTCGCTCTCGGCCCAAAGCCCGCCTAGAGGGTGGGATTTCGGGACGCGGTAGTCTGGGAGAGGGAGCGGGCCGGGGTTGCGGTTCTGTGGTTGGGGTTTTGGACGCTGGCTTCGCGACGGAGCCCTCACCCTGCCTCAGCTACTAGCGGCAGCCTTTTCCTCATTTTCTCACGGGGAGAAAGACAGACGAAGGAGTACTTGAGATAAATTATTAGGAGTACTTGAGATAAATAGTACCGAGAGGCTACTATATGCCAAGCACAGTTTTAGGGAGTGGGCACACATGAAGGACCCCTGGCTTGAGGACCTTAAGTTCTGGAGGTGGGAGATGATAAACATTAAATATAACAGGGGCCTCCCCTGGTGGCGCAGGCGGTTGAGTGCAGCGCTGTGAGACTGTCCGCAGCTTCTGCAGCCCGAGTTCGATCCCCGCCAGCGGGTGAGATACCCACATGGCGCAGCAGACCTCTCCTGTCGTGCCCGCTGCTCCCCTCAGCAGTGTATTTCAGTCAGTCTGCCTGTTCTGCTCCCCACTCTGTCTCTAGTGAATCCTCTCACCCTCCCGCGCATCTGTCCCATACCCCGTTCTTGTATGCATGAATAAATAAATCTTAAAAAACAATTAAATATCATAAGTAAATAAATTGAATACAACAACTACAACCTTTCTGCCCTGTCCTTTTCTTTCAGTTTCCTTCAAATTCTGGGTCATGCCCAAGTCTGAAACGGGTAGCAGGAAGATAAGTATATAGGAGTTCCCATTAGAGATTATTCTTCTGGGTGTTGATAAGCTGCCCAGGAAAGTAAACCTTACTAAGAGAGTTTCAAATAATACTTGTATGTGTCAGTCAGTAGCAAGCAAAATAACCCAAGGACCCAGAATTACAGTTGAATCAGCCAAAATGACCTAGTTGTATGATTTTCTAAGGAATTGTTAGGAGGGGCTGTGGGTGATGATTGTTAAAAGTAGGGTTGCCTTGCTGGCATTTGAATCCCAACTACCCTTATGATGAAGAATATGTACAGGTGGCCTCCCCTGGTGGCGCATTGGTTTCGCGCTGGGTTGCGAGGCTGCCCTCAGCTTCTGCAGCCCGCAGCTTCTGCAGCGCCAGTTCGATCCCCAGCCACCAGCAAGGGTCCCACAAAAAAAAAAAAAAGAATATGTATGAAGGAAAACTGACGTGTTTATTTTCCTCTTTGGATTGCTTAGATATATAACATCCCTTCATAACATAAGTTACCATAACATTGGCAGACTTGGCAAGGTGGGATGAATTTACAATAGATCCAGATCCTGGAAAATCATACAACCTTAGTGCTGGGGTGTGTGGAGGGTGGAGGTGGGGAGTTAGATTGAATGTTGTGCTTGACAATATTTGAAAACAATGATAGAGTGCCTGGATGATATTTCTCTCTCAAACTAATTTTTAACTAGTTTCTCTATAGAATTAAAAATTGATTGCATACCTAGCATATGAGATGATATAAGACATGCAAATGATAAAATTATTTGTCCTCAAATAATGTTTAGTGTAAGGGACAAATATGTATGTAAATAATGACAATACAATGTACCACACAGTAATTTGCATGAACATCCACTGAGAGGTCATCACAAACAAGCCCTGTACTATACCAGGGGCAGAAAATATTATGAGAGCACAAAGGAACAAAGAGATTCATCATGACTGGGAAGAATGGAAAAGGACTCTGGAGGAAACAGTATTTCATTCAAGGTTACACAACCATTAAGAGATGGAATTGGGATTTAGATCCAGGTAGTCTGAGTGCAGAACCCACATCCACAAATGCTATGTTCTACCACCTCCCAGTATGTGGAGTTGGGGTAAAGGTAGCACCACTGAGGTAAGAAAGTGCAAGTAATCAGTTGTGGCTACACCAGGGGTTCTCAACCTTGGCTACACACCAGGCCTCGGGAAAAGCTTTTGAAAATACCAATACTGGGCTTCCCTGGTGGCACAAGGGGTTAAGACGCAACCTATGAAGCTATCTGCAGCCACTGCAGCATGAGTTCAATCCCCAGCCAGGGAGCTACCCACATGGTGCGGCAGACCTCTCCTGTCTCACCCGCTGCTACCCTAAGCAGTGTATTTCAGTCAACCTGCCTGTTCTGCTCCCCACTCTGTCTCTGGTGAATCCTCTCACCCCCTCCCACACCTCTGGCCTGTACCGCAGTTCTTGTATGCATAAAGAAACAAATCTTAAAAAAAAATCCAAAATAAAAATACCAACACCCAGGTTTCACCTCCAGATATAACTTTCCGGAGAGTCCTAAGGTGCAGTCAGAGTTTAAATCTACTGGGTTAGATGCTGAGAAGGCAAGGCTGGAAAGGTAGGTTAGATGTAATCTGGCAAATTGAAATACCATGATAAACTATATATTTCAACTTTATAGATAAATAGGAATCCACTGGGTAGAAGAATGAAAGATCAGAAGTCACAAGGATAATTAGGCACTAGCACGAAGGATAGGATTTGGGAGCAGATGCTGAAGGCAAGAATAGAAGTTAGAAGTGATGCCATCCCAAAAAGAAGTGAGGAACTCACTGAGAGTAGTAGACGTATTAAGAAGGGATCATATATGAGTGACATTGCAGAAGTAAATTCAACTGTCTGCTGGCCAGTTAGAGGAGAGGGCCAACAAACAGGAATAGAAGATGGTGGATTCTTTTTTTTTTTTTTAGATTTATTTTTTTATTTATTTATACAAGCACTGGGTACAGTCAGAAGCACGGGAGGGTGAGAGAATTCACCAGAGCCAGAGTGGGGAGCAGAGCAGGCAGACTGAGGTACACTGCTGAGGGGAGCAGCAGGTGGCAGGAGAGGTCTGCGCGCCGTGTGGGATCCTCCTCTGGTGGCCTGGGAGCAGCCGGGGATCAAACCAGCGCTGCAGAGGCTGCGGGCAGCTTCGCAACCCAGTGCTCAACCGCTGCGCCACCGGGGAGGCCCAGATGGTAGATTCTTTGAGCATGAGTAGGAACACTGGAGAAGTGCACTGGGGAATGTGAGATGATTATGAATTTGGTTTCTTCCCAGTCATGATGAATCTCTTTGTTCATACAGAGCTTGAAGTTTCTAAGGAACATTTATGGGTAAGTACTAACTGGGCAGTTGGAAATTTGAGCCTGTAACCAAGGAGAGAGAACTGAACTGGATATCATTTAAACATAGGTGAGATCTGAAATCTCAGAATTTGGTTGAAATCATTAAGAAGAGACTAGAAGAATGTCTGGAAATGCACACATATGAAATAAGAGGGACTTTGGAGAACACCTACATCATTTAATAGGGGCAGGCATGAGAAAGATATAAATGCCAGAGGCCTAGAAAAAGGAGGAGCAAGGACATGACAGAAGAAATCAGGTAGGCACAGGAGCAAGTAGGAGGAGAGTGCCAAGGAGCTAAAAAAGTCAAATGAGAAGGCTGAAGAAGTACCAGTTTTGGGCTATGTCTCTGGAAGGTCACTGGTAGTCTTGCAGTTAAATAAAATGGAAAGGATGAAAGTCAGACCAAATGGACTGGACAATGAGGGGGAGATGTAGAAGTGGGGCAGCAAATGCATAAAGCGTTCTATTAAGAAGTGAAGAAATGATTGGGACTCTAACGTGACAGGCGCCATGGCAGGTCAAGGGAAGTAAGATTTGTTTTGAAGGGGAAAGTTAAACAGCTTAAAACCCAAGAGAAGGAGTATGCGGACAGATAAAACTTGAAGTTAACAAACTGGAGGAGTGAAGGGGTAGAGTCAGTTCCTGGAGGGCATAACAGGACTAATGAGAGAGAGACGGGTGGGTGGGCCTCCACGGTTGATGACAGGGAGGCCCATTGCTGAGATTAATTGGGATCTTGAGAAACTGGAAATGTCTGAACTTCACACACCCAGAAGTCAACTGGAGAAGGAAAAAAAGGAAGAGAATTCGGACAGCCTTGGAAGGCCCAAGGAGCAATTTCTTCATACCATGGAAAAGCTGTAAGATGACATGTTGAGGTATTAACACTGACTACTGCTGTCTATATTACTTTCCATGGGCATAAATCTTTGGAGTAATTACAGGAAAAAAGTAAGCTGACCGGTCCAAACAGTTTACACAAATGAACTGAAGCATGAAGACAAACTCTCTTCTGATGTTAACAAGTTATAGAGTATCACTCAGTGTTGAAACCAGGTTATAATGATTATTTTTGACCTGGTAGTTAACTTTGTTATCATTACATTTGGCTGAGTCATGGGCCCTAAGAAGAGGGGGCCAGGGTTACCAAAGTAAAACATCATGTCAAAATAACTAGATCGGCTACAAAACGACACCGAAAAAGACACTGCGTAGCAAAACCAAGCCCAGTCGCTAACATTTGACAGCAAGTACCAAACTATTGGCGAGCAGGAGCGCGGAAAGACAGCCGTACCTGAGGCCAGCACAAAGCAGCCGAGCGTGCTAACCGCGGCTATCAGCAGCCCCACTTGCGTCCAGTGAGCGGACCTCGGAATCCTGCTGCAGAATGCCTTGAGGCATGTTTAGGGGCTCGTGCTTTGCCAGAGGACACACCCCAGGGCCCGGGAGGGAGCATATTCTCAGAAAAACACAAGTTCTTTGACGGAGCCCCAGAGAAGCCTCTCCTGCCCCTCCCGCGTTCCCCCGGTGCAAGGCTGGGCCGAGCTGCGGAGCTGGGGGGCTCCCGCACCAGCGCCGCGCGGGCCGGCTGCACCCCCCTCTGCGGGCGGCTCCCGGGCCCGCGCGCGGACTGCGCATGCGCCCTCCCGGGTGGACGCGGGAGGGGGCGCTGGTCTCCAGGCAACGGGAATAACAGAGGCCTGCGGGGAGCGCCCGCGCGGTGGTCGGTTGGGCGGGTGTCGGGTCGGGAAAACTAGGTCCTGGGGTGTCCCCTGAACAAGAGCTGTCCGCGAGAGTCTCAGGTACGCGGAAGGGTGGGGACACACGGGAACACAGCACCCTCAATCTCCTGGGGACCCGATGGACGGGAAAACGAGAGGTTGTCCCCAAAGCGAAGTCCCTAGGGGGGCGCCCTGATTGACCCCCAGGACAGAACTTCACTTCTGAGTCCCGAATTAATTAATTAATTAATTTTTTAAGCTGAAGATTTTTTATTTATATATTTTTTACATCATTGTTCATTTTTTAAAAAATTTTTATCTTTTTCAACAATATTTGCTTCCCCCAACTCACTCAGGTGTAGTCCCCATAGAATTTCCTTCCCCAAGGCACCCGTGCACCATCACCTCAGTCCCCTGTGCTCCTCCCTCCCTCCCTCTGATCCCTCTCCCTCCTCCTCCCCTGCAGGATGTCTCTGATTCATAATTGTCCATTTTTGATTTGTTGTGTTTTGTACTGTTATTATTTTTTTACACTGATGTCTTATTGGGTTCCCCTATATTCCTGCTATAAGTGAAACCATCCGATATTTTTCTTTTTCCTTCTGGCTTATTTCACGGAGCATAATTCCTTCTAGCTCCATCCACATTGCTGAGAATGGCATGAGTTTATCTTTTTAATTGCCGAATAATATTCCATTGTGTATATATACCACATCTTCTTGATCCAGTCATCTATTTTGGGGCATTTGGGTTGTTTCCAGGTTTCACCTATTGTAAACAGTGCTGCAATAAACATAGGTGTACAGGTGTTCTTTTGAATCAATGTTTTTGTGTCCTTTGGGTAGATCCCTAGCAGTGGAATTTAAACCCACACTGCTAGGTCAGGTGGACTCCAGTTCTTAGATTACAGACCCTCCACCCTCCATGCCCACCGAGATAGTTGAGGGGACTGCTAGGGTGAGATTTTGACAGCCAGACACCTGTAGCAGGCCCTGGGCGGCCTCTGAGGTCTTTGGAGTCAGCAGGAAGAAAGCCCCGAGAGCTCTTTATGCCATATACCTGTAAAATGTTGGTGGGCAGAAGGGGGGGGGGCAGGGTTGACATGAGCCTAAGTCCATTTCAGTTCAGGTGAAGAAACTGGAGCCAGCCAGGGGAAGTTGCCTGGCCTTGCCACAGGCCTTATACCTGACTTTCAATCCAACAGCTCTTTCCACTGACTACAGAGGACACTGTAATGTGGCAGGGGCAGTTCCTGTGTGTGGCAGAGGCTGGTGACAGGGACACTAATATTCCATTCATTTTTTCATCCTCGGGACCTAACACGGTCCTTGGCACATGGTCAGCACTCACCAAATGCTGATTGAAAGAGAGCTCTGACAGACCCAGCACCACTGTCTCTAGAAAAATTTAGGGGGAAATATATGGATAGGAAAAATGTAGTAATAGTCTACTTCTGCAGTAGAGGTGAACCCCAAACTTCTTACAAATATCTGATTTACATCTCTCCTAGGCTTCAGTCAGGCCCTGAATGGCTGGTCTCCAGTTGGCGCCACGTCTGCCTATGGATGTTATGCTCCCTTATAATAAAGCAGAAGCTCCAGGACTCCACTCAATCAAACAAGACCCCTATGAACGAGGTGACTCTTCTCAGAAGTCCTCAGTGATGCATCTGAGGGACAATTTCCAGCAAAAGCTTTTGAGTAACAAAGAACTGACACGGGACAATCTCTATACTCACCCCAAATGGACCGCCTGCCAGAAAGTCCAGAGCCACTCCTATCCCCACTGTGCTGGAATCAGTCAACAAGATTCAGGAAGCAATCCCCAGGGACAAGCAAAGTGTTTTTTTTACTCATCCAGCCCTCAATCCTTGTTTCCCGAAACAAATAACCAGGACTTCATCCCCTTTACAAAGAAGAGAGTGGGAGTGGACCGGGCGTACCCACTGAAACCTGTGTTCCATCGGAAGTCTCGAAGTACAGGTGAGGCTGGCACATCCGGGGACCAAAATGTCTCCTCAAAACTCACTGAGCCAAGAGAGTTTTCATCCAGCAGTTTTGACTCAAGGAACTGGACTAATTCATCTGTGTTTGGTACTGTTCTTGCTGCCACAGACAGGGAGAGCGCCATGGCAAGCTACCATAGGACCGAGTGGGTGCAAATCCAGAGACTAGAGGCTGAAGGGGAGAGCCTAGAGGAGGAAATCCGAAGAAAAGAGACCCTCTTGAAGGAAAAGCTGAAGAAGACAGAGGAGGAACTCAGAAGGATCCAGAGGGAAAAAGAAGAGGCTGAGGAAAATGAGAAAAGAGAGCTACAGAGAGTGACACACCCCAGGAGGAGAGCTAAAGGGAATAACAACGCCACAAACAGGCCTGCCTTCTCCCCAGAACCCGGGTCTGAGGAAGTGTACAGCAGAGACAGGAGAGAGGATAAAACTTGGAGACAATCTCAAGAAAATTCTAGTCCATTCCAGTTCTCTGATTATGGAATACAGAAGCTCAAAAGGGAAAGACTGGTGGCAAGCAATAACAAAATGCACAACCGTGTCTCCGGGCCACTGACAGACAAGACTTCTCAGTCTCCAGAAGCTCCAGGCAGTCCTTTGCGGGGATACACCAGCAATTCTAGCTTGTCCAGACCACCGGACTCCTCAGGTTCCAGCTGTTCCGCTGAAGAGCCGGAGCTGGGCGAGTGCAGCCATTGTGGACGCAAGTTTCTCTTGCTCAGGCTGGAGAAACACTCCAGCGTCTGCAGCAGGATGCAGGGTTCCAAGAGGAAAGTGTTTGATTCCTCCAGAGCCCGGGCCAAAGGCACAGAACTAGAGCAGTACTTGAACTGGAAGGGGCCAGCCTCAGCCAAGGTAACAGGGCCTGATGGATTTAACTTTGAGTAAGGGGTCAGGGATAAGAGCCTGTTAAACCCTCATCAATTTTCTTTAGAAAAATTTCTTGTACCCCATAGGGAGAAAGTGAGAATCAACATTGTCTGCTATTAGCCATTGTGACAGGCTTTTCTTACGATCCTCACCACACCCTGTGAAGGTTTTATTATCTCTGATTCTATCAGTTCGAAAATCAAGTCTCAGTGAGGTTAAGTTACTTGCTTAAAATCACAGTTTGAAATGTCAGAGTTAGCCTATAAATCTGAGTCAGGATGACTCCAAAATCTAGATTTAAAAAATATATGTTCTTTTAATTATAAAATATATACTATAGAAAATTTAAAAGACAAGGAAAATATAAAGAAGAAAATTCTGCAGCATTTCATTGCCCTGAGAGAATTCCCTTGCTTTTTATAATATACTCTGCCACTTCCCCAAAGTAGCATGCTGCTACTCTTATGATTGTATCTTCTTTTTAAAGATGGGCCCACTTTGAATATACCTTCTTAGTAAACACACGAAACACAGCTGGGTTTGGAATTCTTTTTCTACCCATTTAGAGTGTATGCACTGCAGAGGTAAAGAACTTTATTTTTGGTTATCTCTCAAAACATTTCTAGCTGCAGAAAAACTAGGTTGTAAAAAGCAAGAACCTTAATAAGACACATGACAAGTTTCAGAGATCTTCACAGACACATCTGGAGAGTCAGAACAGATTGTCTTATAAATATCCCACTCTGTTGAGTTTACCGCTTGGATTTAAAGTGAGTGTTTCTCAGTGTGGCATGCTGACAAGCTTCATTTTAGCCCTTGTAGTGTATGTTAGAAGAATATAGCAACATAGTAAGCCCTTAATGTCCAGCAATCTTGAATGTAAAGAAAAACAGTAATTAACAGTAAGGGGTATAAAGTGAAAGTGGTAAGCAAATCATTCAAAGTTTGGGAATGCCTAGACCACATGAGTTCACAGGCCCCACCCATTCTAATATTCTAGCAAAATATAAGCATGTCATTCTGTGATCATTTCTTTCCAACCCTCCCTTTCCTGCACTAGCACCTTTTGTTCGTACCTGCTTTACAATCTATGTGCATGTTTGCTGGGGCCTTTAAAAACACATTTATCGGGGCCTCCCTGGTGGCGCTAGCGGTTGAGCGCTGGGTTGCGAAGCTGCCCGCAGCCTCTGCAATGTCGGTTCGATCCCCAGCTGCTCCCCGGCCACAGGAGGAGGGTCCCACATGGCGCGCAGACCTCTCCTGCCGCCCGATGCTCCCCTCAGCAGTGTACTTCGTCACTCTGCCTGGTCTGCTCCCCACTCTGGCTCTGGTGAATTCTCTCACCCTCTTCTGACTGTACCCAGTGCTTGTATAAATAAATAAATAAATCTTTTTTTTTTTTTAAACTGGCATGATTTATTCTACATGCACTCCAGAGCAGGCAGAAGGACCGAAGTACACTGCTGAGGTCTGCGCGCCATGTACCCTCCTCCGGTGGCTGGGAGCAGATGCTTGCTGGCAGCTTAGCGCTCAATAAATAAATAAATCTTAAAAAAAAAAAACCACACATTTATCGGATGGCTGTTAGAAGTTATTTGCATTAAGAGTTATTTTTCCAGTACAATTTGGAGGATTACCATAAGCAAATTCCTTCAGTTTTCAGAGATAATCCCTAAAAACTATTTTCCAATAAGAAGTCAACATTTTGCTCTTGTTGATAATTCTGTGACCACCAGTTCCTGTTCTTTCCTGTTTTATTTCTGGTCAATCCAAGAATCCACTGGAGTGCTCTCTGTCCCGTTGTAGCAGTTTACTTCTGGCCAGAACCTTAAACATCTTATTCTTCTTAAATTCCTATACCCAGTTGTAGAGAAGCAAAAGAATTGGGTTTCTGCGATCAGATACCTTGGAAAGTGATTTGGGGAATGTGTTGCTTTGAGCACCAAGGCAGAAAGGACCCGACTTGAGGTGCACTCCCGTCCTTGGAAAAGTCTCAAGTCTTATTCCCAAGCTTTGTGTTTCAGGAAGACAGGTGATGTGAGTCTCCCTGTCATTCCTTCAGCGCACTCACAACAGGTGGTTTTTCTTGTATCCTTTAATCTTCATATACCTTCTAGCAAACTCTTACTCACGTCCCTGTACTTAAGCACTTGAGCACAGGGACCACATTGTTGTGCTTTATGGTTAATAAATGCTAAGTGGATAAAATTTCAACACGATGAAGGAATAAAATGTACATATCATAGAGTCGAGGAACTTTCCCTTAATTCTTTTTGTTTCCTGGATACATCTAACACTGATGCTCTTGCCTTCATGTCTGTTTTAGTAAGAGACTTTCCCGACAGCTCCCTCCTTTGATAGCCATCTCTTCCTATTAGTCATCTTAAAAAATCACAGCTCACCAAACAGGTACTTGTCTCCTTTCTTTTATCTTCTTTTGAAAATTAATTTTTTTAACATAAATAATGTTTGACTACATTTTAAAAGCCAGATAATGCCCTATAATGCAGATCGGCAGTCTCCTGTCTCATTGCTCTCCAGCCCCTCAATTTCCCCTGGGGCAGTCCTCAGTTCTGTCAGATGACCTCTGCTGTCCAGCTCCCTATTTCTAAATAACATGCTTATTTTCTTGATTTATCAATTTTGCACACACTGTGTTGACTTCCTCTTATGGACACTGTGGGTTAAGGTCTTTTTCATATCCCTGCTCCTCCTACTATGCTTCTCTTATCCTTCTGTTGGAGTAGAATCACAATTTTGGGTTAAATCAGTAATCAGCTTTTGCATTCTAATGGCCATGTAAATTTTGTTCCCTCATGACTGAACAATTCTGTTCCTGCTCAATGCACTTGGAGTTAATAAGTGATTCAGGTTGTCATTAGTTTGCTTTCCTACGTGACTGTCTCTAATTCCCCAGCACTCCTTCCTGCGCCCCCAGGCCCATGTCTGACACCTGTTACTGTTTTTGTAAGTGTGCAAGCACCTCTCATAATCTCTCTGTCTGACATCTGTACTTGGGGATCCTGCCTTCCACCACTCTCTGTGCCCCTGCTCCAGTCTGCACTGCTTGTTCTCAATGTGCAGACCTGATGTTTTGGGGTTTCTCTTTACTTCTCTTCTGTGTTGGGTTGCTTGTTCCTGGCCTGCTGTATCTTCTTTTTTTTTTTTTCCTTTTTTAAAATTTTTATTTATTTATGTATACAAGCACTGGGTACAGTCAGAAGCGCGGGAGGGTGAGAGAATTCACGAGAGCCAGAGCAGGGAGCAGAGCAGGCAGAAGGACCGAAGTACACTGCTGAGGGGAGCAGCGGGCGGCAGGAGAGGTCTGCGCGCCATGTGGGACCCTCCTGCGGTGGCCGGGGAGCAGCCGGGGATCAAACCAGCGCTGCAGAGGCTGCGGGCAGCTTCGCAACCCAGCGCTCAACCGCCGCGCCACTGGGGAGGCCCCTGTATCTTCTTTTTTCTGGCGTTTCTCCTTTTCCTTGCTTTTCTGAACTTTACTAGGAAAAGTACATGGGAGGAATATTTTTTATATTGGAATGAATGAAAATATACACAGCCTATATTTGATGAATGATAGGGCCAGGTATAGAATTCGAGGTGGAAAGGATTTTGTTTGAACTTTTAAGGTATTTTCCCCACTAACCTTTTTTTTTTTTTTTTTGAATGAGAAATGTGATGACATTTTGATTCTGGCTCTGTTACATAAAACCAACTTTTTTTCCTGAAAGCATATTATTTATTTTCTTCTCATGCTTGCTTTTAATTTTGGCATACCAGTTAATCAGGTGTTGGGTTGACTTTCTAATTTTCTAATCTTTTCAACTTTTCATTTTGATCTTTTCCTCCCATTCTGAATAATTTCTTGACATTACCACATTCCTATTTTTTTTAAAAGATTTATTTATGCACACAAGAACTGGGGTACAGGCCAGAGGTGTGGGGGGGTGAGAGGATTCACCAGAGATAGAGTGGGGAACAGAACAGGCAGATCTGCTGAAATACACTGCTGAGGGGAGCAGTGGGTGAGTCAGGAGAGGTCTGCTGCGCCATGTGGGTAGCTTCCTGGCCGGCCGGGGGATCGAACTCATGCTTCAGAGGCTGCGGATAGATTTATAGTGCTGTGTTTAACTCCTTGCACCACCATGGAGGCCCCACATTCCTATTTTTATTTTCAGTTATCAAAGTCTTAATTTATAATAGTTCTTTCTAGTTCTGAGTTTTCCTTTTTCATATTACATATATTCTTATTTTTTAAGATTTATTTATGCATATAAGAATTGGGGTACAGGTCAGAGGTGAGGGGGGATGAGAGGATTCACCAGAGACAGAGTGGGGAGCAGAATAGGCATATTGACTGAAATGCACTGCAGAGGGGAGCAGCAGGCGAGTCAGGAGAGGTGATGACACTTAACCCCTTGTGGCACCAGGGAGGCCCCTTATTCTTCTTTTATAGATATAATCTATTCTATTACTTTTGTTGATATTATGGGTTTTATTGAAAAAAAATTTTCTTCTGCCACCAGCCTTATTGCTGCTTCCAGACTGCGCAGCGTATATGTTCATGGGCTTGTATTGGTTCCTATCTTGTTAGGGTTTTACTCAAATAACTGGATAAACTTAGCTGTCCATTCATATTTAAGCTTTTTGTGGGGCTTGTTGATTAAGGGAGTTATCAAAGAGTGAGCCTTCCAGCTGGGACCCCCAGAGTCAGCACCCACTGACTTTTCTCGCGACTGCGCGGTGCATCCAGAGAACCCTTCAGTCACCTGCGAAGGTGCCAGCGAGTGCTGGGTACTCTGGAGGTGAGTGGGGGAAGAAGGCTGCCAAGTCCACACTTCATCATGCTCTCTTGCACTTAATCCCCATTTTCAGCCCTGAGATTAACCATGTTTCCACTGTGCTTGGCTTTCCTGAGTCTGAAACATGTCAATCAATTTTTGCAGAGAATGAGCCCCTGTTCTCCTCTGAGGGTGCTGGAAGGGTTGGACACTGGCTGTGCAAGGTGGCAGAGACCTGGGGGCCAACCATTTTCAGTCCAGCATCCCTTCCCCTTGCCACACTCTGGGACTTCTGAGCCCTGAGCCTTTCCCTGATTCTGCTGAGAAAACAGTTTGCCGTTCAGTACTATCCCCCTTTGCAGGCCTCGTATAAGTGCCTCCACTCTGGCCAGTCATCACTGTGCCTTTCCTGCTCTCTCTGACCTGGCGGACTAATGCGCTTTTTATTTCCTGTCACTCTAGTGGAGCCTCAAGGAAAGGAGAGAAATGCCAAGATAAATGACCAGTTTCCTTCTACTTACAGGCTGAAGTGCCTCCAAAGAGCAACTGGAGACAGAAGCATGAATCTTTCATCCGCACCCTCCGTCAGGCTCGGGAGGTCCAGCAGATAATTGCCAAAGGTGGAAACCCCGTTGACTTGCCGCCCATCCTGCCTGCAGAAAATCCAGACTATATTCAGTGTCCTCACTGTAGCCGCTACTTTGCTCCCAAGGTGGTTGAGAGGCACGTTCCCAAGTGTAAGACCATCAAGAACCGCCCTCCACCTCCAAGGAAGCATTGCAGTTGAGCAGAAAATAGTGGCACCTTCCTCGACAGTTTGGAAGGCTCTGCTTCTCTTTAGCAGTACACTGGAGAACAATTTGATGCAAAGTAGAAACAACTAAAAATTTCACGTCTCCCAGACACGCCTGCAGCACTGAAATCTGTGAGGAGACCCACTGCTCAGCAGCATGAGGCAGAAAGCAGCCTTAGCTTCCCAGCAGATTCCCCCCTCAGGCTGGTGAGCCTGTTACCGCCCTAAGAACTAATAGGTGAAGACACTCCGCGTAGTGAGCAGGCTGCATTATACTCTTCTCACAGGTCTTTGCTTGGGGGTTGTGCTAAGTGTCTGCATGTGGGGTGCCTTCTGGCCACTGCTTCTGCAATGTATGGCTGTGGTTCCTGTTAGCTCTTCTTGCTTTTACAAGAAGTTGGCTCATGAAGATGAGTTGATGTCAGAGGATTGTAATCACCTAATTGGTATCTCTTACAAGAGATGAGATTTTTGCTGGAAGCAAGTGTAAGTCTCTCCTTGACCTCCCTGTTGCATGGTCCTGTACAAAAGCCAATAAACATATGGAAGCCAGGGCACCAGGGTATCGGAGCCCCTCCCTGTGGTGTACTATGTGACACGCGGAGCCTCGTCTTTGTGCAGTTGACAGGATGGGGTGCGGAAAGCACACTCCTAAGTCTCTGCATTTGTTCTAATTGGTTTCGTATGTTAAAAAAAAATTCAGCTATTCTAGCACTCTTTCAAATCATGTTGGTTGGAAGGCTTTCTGAAATGCAGCAACAAAATCTACCAGCAAAGCAAACTGGGATTTTGCAGTGTCATGTGTCCCTGCTGCTTGCACCACAGTAAACTTCTATTTCAGAAAGTAAACTCAAGGGACATGACCAGATCGTTTTAATATTCCTTGTAGAATCATGCCTAGTGCAAGTCACCTTTGTAATCAGGCCCTCAAGACATGCGTTTCAGGGACTTAAAATAACAAGAGTGATTTCTAGACTTAAATGGGAGAAGCGAAGGCCCACTGATAGGGGGGCTATCAGTTGAGGTGGGATGAAGGAGCATAACTGATCTGAAATAGTTAAGATTATCCCCCCAAAGGTGTCCATTTGTTAGTTTAAAATACTAGAGAAAGAGCACCCTACTTGATCGGGGCAGTGGTGACCAGGCACACAACAAATTGATGTATTACTAAACAACAAATGGCCTCTCATTTCATTTCCTCTGTGACTCGTGAGGAGTGGGGGGCTCACAAGTCAGACCAATTTGATTTTTTTTTTTAAAGATTTTATTTATATAGGAACTGGGGTACAGATGCGCAGGAGGGTGAGAGGATTCACCAGAGACAGAGCAGGGAACGGAATAGGCAGATTGACAAAATAACACTGCTGAGGGGAGCAGCGGGCGAGACAGGTCTGCTCGCCATGTGGGATGCTCTGAGGCCGGTGGGGATCGAACCGGCACTGCAGAGGCTGCGGACAGCTTCACAGCGCCACGCTTAACCGCCTGTGCCACCAGGGAGGCCCCAGACCAATTTGAAATGTGAGTTTGGCTGTGAAGCTGAGATACTAGGCTGGAAAAAAATGATTATTTAAGAAACAGCATATAATGAATTGCTTTATATTTTTCTGATGTTGCAAAGGAAAATATTATCACATAAAGGACTTCTTGGTTGTGACTCAAAAAAAGAATCTTACACAGACACTGGGTATTTAACACAATATGTATTCCTCAGCCAAATTTACTGAGGTACATACTTTTAAGTTTTACATGATAGTAAAAGCAAAGTATCAAGCAAAAGGAAGAATGAGTTGAGGCCACGAAGTGGTAGCGCTGTGGACTGCTTTGCCCCACAGCCATAATAATTTAAAAACTTTGGATATGGAGCACCTCGTGACAAACTGCGAGTTCTAGAAACACGGGGGCCAGCAACTCCGCACAGGACCAGTTAAGTGGAGTTCAGAACCAGCTGCTCCTTCAGAGCACCCCACACACCACGGCTCCATCTGGCCTGGCCCCACAGTCACTTGGGTTTGGGATCCTGGCCTGATGTAAGATCACAGGTCAGGGCCTTCCAGGGAGAAATGTGTGTGCAGGGGGTGCATCCTGTAGACACAGGAAGCAGCTATTCATTCTTCGGTTGCTAGAAAAACAGTATTAGCTAGCGCTCTAGTGTTCCCTTCAGTCTTGATGTGTCTAGGCCTTGATTATACAAGGATATCTATTAGGTCTTTTCAATTTAGCTTGATCTGATCTTTGGGAAAAGAACCCATTTTTTTTACCTATCTCTCTCCCTGGATAGCAGAGGGCGATGGATAAAATACTTGCTGCTTGTTAATGTCCATGTGTTACACTACTTTAGTGCAAGTAAATGATCTAAAATGTAAAGTTCAAAAAGTTAAGCAACTGGAAAAATATCATGATGAAACTTACCTGGGGGACTCTTCTTTTAAAAGCGTAGGCAGATGTGGCCAGACAGCATTCCTTACCAGCCCTGTGGTGAACACAGCACCGCACCTCCCGGCCAACACTTGCCTTTGGTCATCGACTTACCCACTTAGCTGTCTTCGCGCTGCACAGGAGGAAGCAGCAATCAGATAACATTTTTCTCTCTAGTGGTCATGATTCCGTGAGGTTCAGTGATCAGCACTTTTATTTCCACAGTGAATCACTGAAGCAATAAGTGATTTTTGGCTTTGCAACAAGGAGCATGTTTTACAGCCCTGACTACATACACCCCACTCTGCCCTGACACTATCATGAATAATACTTCTTTGGAGGCCCAGGGATACTCATTTGAATGAATTTATTTACAATACATCCTCACTCCAAAGTTGTCCTTTGTATTATGAATGTTTCCAAATATATGGGAGACCCACTGAAATGTGAGGTTTAGGGCTGCTTTTGCTTTAAACTTTAGTGAAATGTTTAGCCAAGAGAAGTTCTGACTTGGCTGTGCTATGCCCGGGCGACCCAATACAGTTCAGCCTCTTTAAGGGAAAACAGTTTTATAAATATAAACTGGCATTATCACTTGAAAAGGCCCACTGAGATGAGGAGATGAATACAAGAAGAGATCCTCCTTCCTTTCTTAATGGCTCAATTTTTCTCCCTCTGTATTCTGAGCACAGTATTTTAATTTTTTTTTGGAGGGGGGGGACAGGAAAGGTAGCAGCAGAAACAATTCTGTTAGCAAGAAATCAGAAAAAAGCAAAGATTTATTTCTGTGCAAATGTCTTGTGTTGTTTCTGTCACAAGGCCATTTATTTGTTTATATGAAGACTCATCGAATCAAAGATCCACAAAGGCCTAGAATTGGGTGTTTTACCCTCAGTTACTAAGGTCCATGCGTGGGCTTACTGAGGCACAGCACTGATTAAAAGTTTAAATGTTTATTTAAAACAGAAACGCCAAACCACTCCACCCTCAACCTTTCAAACATCTGGCTAACAATAAACTAGTTATTCAGCAACAATGTCAGAGCAGAGGAGTAACTCAGGTTATACTATAACTCAAAAGTAATACTACTGGAAAACTTAAACCACCTAGTACTGCAAAAAGAAGGACAAAATTTAAGGGCATTAGCTACAGAAAACCATTCCATCTACTGCAAGGCTGCCACCTTTGAACTGGTTTCTGTTTGCATAGCTGTTTGGTGGGAGAAAATAAAATGGCTGTCCCAGGCACGATTTGGGAAAGTGCAAATTGTCTCTAAGGCACAGAACTTAGATTCTCAGCCAGATTAATAGCAAACCTAGCCTTCCCAAGGGAATATGCTAGAGAACAACTCCCATCTGGAACGAGAGCAGGCTCTCACTCTCATCCCACTGTTTCAGCAACATGCCTGCGCTCCTCAGTCCACAGCAGAAGCAAATCTCACGCAGAACACCCACACGGACCCTGCCTCTCAGGCCTGCTGAGATGGTGAGCGCAAGGGACACAGGACTATGAAAGGCCAGTCAGTCCTTAAAAAAATTAAAGCTGCATTTACATGATGAACCAAGTCCCAGTGTTAGGGTTTCTAGCAAACCCCCAAGTCCCCAGAACTTAAAACTTTAATCCAGGGTTTCTGTCGGCCCCTTCCCTTATCTCAAGAAAAGGCTTCAGGGACTACATTAGTACCATGGTACTAGGCTTCCCAGAATCGAGAAAACAATGGGAACATCACACCAACGGCGGTCCCATTGAACAGAGTTGCCCATCCCCAGCCCCGGGGTGTCCCCCGGTACAGCCTTTACACCAGTTCTAGGGAGATGGCTAGAGCCCCCTGCTCAGGCACTTCCAACATATTAAGCAGATTGCCAAACATGAATCTTTTGGTTTGGAAGAAATGAAAATGAATTAAGCTGTTTGTAGGGGAGGCTGGATGTGAGACTCATCAAAGCAGCTCCTAGGACCCACGACGCTAGAGGAACATCTCCTAAGGCGAGATGAGCGGCTAAGCTAACATCCTGAAGTAAAACGCTCGCCTAGAACTTTGCGACGTCGTCGAGCTCTAGGATACTATTACTCTCTTCGGGAAAGCTAACTTGCCTCTGTCTACAAGGCCACAATGAATATGGGAATAAAAGGGAGCTCTTAGCCAAATTCCTTTTACTTGGCAGGTTCTACTGTTCTGTTAGGCTTCAGGGACTACCAGGGTTTGGTGCTGGCTTCGGGCCACTCAAACAGGAAAGATGATACAGATTCACTGATAAGGCTTCATAAAACATCAAAAGGGGAAAAATACTGACTAGACATACGGAAAGGGAGTGGTTGGGGCTGCTGATGTCAAGATTAGGACCCTAAGAGTCATGAAGGCAGAGGCACAAGCAGTTCTCTTATGAGCAGGAGACTCAGTCTCTCTAGGCCTCTTGAAGATACCAAGCAGAGGTAGCTAAAGGAAGACCTCCTCTCCCTCACAATTTTCTCTTAAGGCCATTCCCACTGCCCCACTGACCTCAATTCTCTATGCGACACCTCACTCTGAGAGGCATCTTCCAAAGCTGGGAAATCCACCCGGCATCAGTCGCAACCTGAAACTCCAGCTGTGTGATGCGGAGGGACCTGCCCTTCTTTCTCTATTCCTCACTGAAGAAATTTCAATCAACCCTCAGAGGAAAAGCAATCTAAGCCCACTTTTCCTCCTAAAGCATTGAGCTGCACGAAGGAATTGAACTTTCTGAAAACAAGCCCTAGAGTGACTCCCCAGACATATTTTCCTCAACTCAGGGCTTTGGAGAGAGCTCACAACACCTCACCCCTCTCCAGATGACCCTTGAAGGGCCAGGCTTGGTTCCAGCTCACTCCAGCTTTACACTTTTCCCTCCTCCACCCAGAGGTGCAATGCCTGTTGAACTCCCAAGGCAGCTACCAATTAATGGTGAAAATGATAAATGGGATATAAGCTGCTACCAGCAAAATTAAGGTGAGCATTGTGTTTCCTCTTCAAAGGTGGGATCACCAGATGAGGTACTGCGCTGCTGTTGCTATGGCAGTCACTGAGGACAAAGCCAGGGCCACAGGCCCTTCCATTTTCCAAAACAAAACCACTCCTAGATCCTATCTAAAAGGCAATGCCACTCTCCAAGTGTCCATGGAAAGTGCTTCAGAGCCTCCGCCTTGCGCTCCTTGTCTGCAAGTGAACGAAGCCAGGAAAGCGCTCTCTGCATTCAGTAAGTGTGCTGTGAAGTTCTTTGGATCCCAGTTTCCTGGAGGTTATACAGTCTCAGGAGACTAGAGGCTGGGTCGACAGGAGTCTGTTCCCAGAAGGCACCAGGAATCTGAATCTAAGTCAGGCTTTGGATCCATTTCCATCTCTTCCTTTGCTGTCTGCGTTCCTTTGGAATGCATCCCCACCTGTCCAGATAAAAAAAACAGTTGGATATTAACAGCACTGCTACCTACTCACACAGTTTAGGACCAGATTATGAATGCCAACCTCTTAAGATTCCAAGCCACAGTTTAATGAGACGCTCATAATACTATCTTAGCTAAAGTCATACCTTTACACTTGTTGCCGGTGAACGTGACCAGCTATTCTGGTCTTCCCAAGACTGCAGGACTTTCTGGGATGCATAACCATCAGTTTAAAAACTGAGATGGTCCGGGCCTCCCTGGTGGCGCAAGTGGTTAAGTCTCAGCACTGTCAAGCTACCGGCAGCTACTACGACATGAGATCGATTTCCAGTCATGGAGCTGACCCACATAGTGCAGTAGCCCTCTCCTGTCTCAGCAGTGTATTTCAGTAGATCTGCCTGTTCTGCTTCCCACTCTGGTGAATCCTCTTACCCCCCACACCTCTGGCCTACACCCCAGTTCTTCTACTCATAAATACATAAAATAAATCTTAAAAACAAAACCCCAAAACAACTGAGATAGTCCTAGGTAGAAAATTCTGCCTGCTATAGCTGTCAGTCACCCTAGGCTTAACAACAAATGTGTATTATTTTCCCAAGTACTTTGTCCCAAGAAAATAAGACATTGCTTATTTTTAACATATGTGGGACATTCTGTTAAAAAAACTGACCAAGTTTCTTCAAGTCAATGCCACGAGAAAAATAATATATATAAATATGAATATACATATCAATTTATATACATACATATACACCACCACATATTTTAAATACAGATATATAACCACATATTTTTAACACATACATTATCTGAAATATAAGCATGTTAATAATTGTTGAATTTAGATGACTATATAAGTGTTAACTGAATAATAATGTCTAAAGTTTTTCATATAAGAAGCAAAAGAAAAGCAGAGTAACAAAAAAAAAAAAAAAAAAAAAGGAAGTTAGGTAACAAAAATGATTCAACCCAGGTGCCAGAACAAGGCCCAAGGCTTCTGGAATTAATTACAGGAGTTGCATCATAGAAAGGTAAGTACTTGTGAAAGAATAAGTCTATTTCAGTCCTTGGTGTTTTATTTCTGATTCTTCAGGATAGATTTAGAAATTAAATTATTCTTTTCATGTTCGTACCTGTTGCCCTCCTTCTAATTTCTTGTTCAGCTTCTGTAGTTGGGTAAAAATCTGGAGGTTTTCTTGCTGTAGCTTCTGTTGTTCAGCCAGACACTTCAACACCAGACCCTGCAGTCTCTCAACTTCCACCTGCAGCGCGCTGCATGCACAGGTAGGAGTCAGCTGTGTTCCCTTCCCAGCACACGTTCCTGCAGGAGTTAGCCGAGGTGGCTAAAGAGAGACAGAGGTCACAGGAAGTTCTGACTAAATGCCACTATGTCCCAATTCCAACTTCCTCTAAGTGCTACTGGACTTCAAAGTAACAAGACAGAACATCTGTACACATGAGGTACATGTAAGAGAAACAGAAAACTGCTGGGATTATAAGAGCACCTGACTAACATAACAAGTTCCCTTAATGTCTCAGTCCCCATTACGTTAAGGTAAAAGAACAATTATCTATTTTGGAGAATTTTATGAACAATTTTAGTTAGCTGATATTTTTCCATTTAAAATGCTGAAATAGGGAAAAGCATAATGTGGTTTGGAGGATACTATGATTCCAAAGGATCAAACAATTTTCATGAATTCAGCAAACACACTTCAGAAGAGACCTGAGATGTGATCAAGTAACAGGACTGCCAAAGCAATTCAAGAAGGCAAAATACTCTGGATTTTTTCCCTTCTTCTAGCATACTTTGTTTATAGCCAGCAAATGATATTCCATATGCCATATACAATCTACTGCCTATTTTTATAAATAAAGTTTTATAGGAAAACAAGAAAGCTCATTCATTCAGTATTATGGAGGACTGCTTTTTTTTTTGCTACAATGTCAGAGTTGAGTAGTTGCAAAAGAGACCTCATGGCAGGCAAAGTCCAAAATAGTTACTTATGGCCCTTTGTAGAAAAAGTTTGATGACCTAATGGTTGACAGCGTTATTGAAGTATTTACCACAATTTGATTTCTACCAAGGTCAGGTGTACATGTGATGTTACTCACTTATACTATAAGCATTACTTCGTATGTTTGGTCCTTCCACCGCCCCCCACCCTCCCAATCAGTGTCTTGGAAAAAACTGGATTTGAATTTTGGAATTTCAATTTTGAAATTTTTAAGGCAGGGAGAAAAGATAGACAATCATTAGGTATAGAAAGGTGTTAGCCGGTCAGAAATGTGAAAAGTCAAATATCTTTTCAAGGCAGCTCAGCTTAGCCTTGGGCTGAGGACTGAAGCACTACTGAATAGTGTAATGAGCTGATGCAGGCAGCAGGGAGGACAACGGCGCTAGAGGTGGAGATGATATGGCCAGGAGAACTGGGTAGAGCTCACTGCCACTGTTTACTTGGTTGAGGTTCAAAGGCAAAAGCTCAGTTACCCAGGCTCCTCCTGGGGGCTTGTGTTCCGGAGGAGTTTCCGAGGCCACTTTGAGTCCTTGTAGCTCTTCATAGGGCAGAGTGTCTTTCTCAGATTCTGAAAAAGCTGCACTTAAGGGAGATGGGCTGTCAGGCATGGGGATGAATTCTGCATTTTCCAGCTCCTACGTATAAAGAAGAATCTCATCAGTTCTGTTTGAGTCACTTCCTGCCTCCCAAATTACCTTCTCTCTCTCTCTCTCTCTCTCTCTCTCTCTCTCTCTCTCTCTCTCTCTCTCTCTCTCTCTCTCTCTCTCTCTCTCTCTCTCTCTCTCTCTCGCTATCGTTTTCACTGTTATGACATCAGCACCCTCTAGTGGGGCAGGACAGTTGTGATTATAACATTGCTCATCCCACATGCTCATCCTCAGAGGAGTATCAGTGATGCAAATTCAAACTCAAATTCAAGAACACCACTTGAAGTACATGGTATGTTTTCCCAACACACTTACTCTAGACAGTGATTTGGGAATCTCATAGGTTTGGCAGTGAGACTGAGGCTGAAGCTTTAGAGAGAACAGTGTGCTGCTTCTCCCATTCATACACCTAAGAAACTATCAAATTAGTCTTATCGTACGGGGAGCTTTAAACTTATAGTCCTTTTTATTTTGGTGAAAAACTTAGAATTTCAAACCATAAATGTTCACTGTAAAATATGAGATACAGGGCCTCCTGGTGGTGCAGGGGTTGGAGACAGCTATCCCCAGCCACTGCAGCACAAATTCGAGCCCCCGGCTGGCTAGGGTGCAACAGACCACATGGTGCAACAGACCTCTCCTGTCTCACTCACTGCTCCCTCAGCAGTGTATTTCAGTGGATCTGTCTGTTCTGCTCCCCACTCTGTCTCTGGTGAATCCTCTCACCCCCCTGTACCACTGGCTTACACCCCTGCTCCTGTATACATAATAAATCTTTTTAAAAAAATGAGACACTGGTAGGCAAAGGGAGGAAAAAAAAAACCCACCAGCAATTCCACAACTTACAGATAACCAGTTAAAATAATCAACATATAGTCTTGTAGATATTATTCCATGCATTACATAATTTTTAAAAGAATGGACTTAAACTACAGAAACACTCCATCCTTACCTGAACAGCCATATACTATGGCCAGCTTTCTACACAAAGAGACATACTCCAAGATTTTTACTATCAGCACTTCAACTTTCATAAACAATTTCTCTATTGTAATGCATTCCAACTGCCCCAATATCCTACTTCTACAAACCATAGTATAAAATCTATAAGCTTTATTTTCACACACAAGCACTATAAAAACTGTCTTCAAGTGACGTTGCATTAGTTTATATTCACTTATGTATTACAGGTATGAGAACACTTTGTGTCTTGGCAGCAAGAAAAAAGGATTTAATGATCTGGTGATTTTATTTATTTATTTATTTTTTTAAGATTTATTTTATTTATACAAGAGCCAGGGCACAGGCCAGATGCGTGGGAGGGCAAAAGGACTCACCAGAGACAGAGCAGGGAACAGAACATGCAGACTGGTGAAATACACTGCTGAGGGGAGCAGCTGGCGAGGCAGGAGAGGTCTGCTCGCCATGTGGGTTGCCCCAAGGCCGGTGGGGATTGAACCAGCACTGCAGAGGCTGTGGACAGCTTCACAGTGCTGCGCTCAACTGCCTGCGCCACCAAGGAGGCCCTGATTTGGTGATTTCTTTCAGGCAGAAATCAGAAGCCTAGATGCCTGCTGCAAAACAGGCATGTGGGACACTAAGAGATCCTGACAGCTCCTTTCTAGTCCTTCAGAAAGACTGCTATATTATCTAAGGTACCTCTACCAAAGGAATTACCTTTCGAAGCCAGCCAGGACAGGAACTGCTGGCCCCACTACTGATCCCTATGGCTTCTGTGGGACTGACTAAGCCTTCCATTCCTCGGTCTGCTTCCATTGTTCCTCGGAAGCCTCCACTTGGATCAGGAGTTTCAGATTCCTGCTGACTGTCTTCCTCTTCACCTCCACCACCGCCACCGCCGCCACCTCCGCCTCCTGGGCCAGAGCTCTGAACTACTGACAGACACACAGCACAGAAATCAAGAGCTCTGCTCCCCAGCAAGGGAGCTCTGCATTCCTATAATCCTACTGAACCCTGGAAGATTCTTAAGTTTCCTTGAAGTGAAATATCAACAGTGTAAGTCAGCTATTTGGGACTAAATTTTGAGTTCTTACAGAGGGGTGTGTACATTAGTATCTTCATAATGATAATTCACTTCTACTTTTCAAATGTGTGGAAAGAGATGGATGTCCCTATGTCCACAGCAGACAACCAATGTTCTAAAGCTTCATGAACAGTCATTCAAGCATAGGGCACCAAATCTAGCACCCACACTTTAAAAGATACATTCAACACTGGCATCCTCCATAGAGGTTCATCTCAGAGACAAGGTTCTTTAACACTTGAGCCAAATACCTCTTAAAGTTGCCATATAAACTCAGCATTAACTAACTACCTGTCTGGGCAAACAGGCAAATGGAGAATTCTTCAACAATTAGTTTCATTAAATTTTTTTGGTGATTACAGGTAAGAATTTTTAAAGTATAACAACTGGCTCTTTTATGTTATGCATATTCCAAGTTACCTTAATAAAGACTAACTGATGTGTAATCAGGAAATGAAAGTGAATTTTAAAATAGGCCACAGAAAATGTAACTAAGAAAGTAAATTTTCCAAAGCTAAAATTAACAACAACTGCATAGCATATTCTAAAATCAAATATAAAAGACTGTGATTCCCCACTATTCTGGCTTGAGGACTGAAAGTGCTACACTGTGATCCTACTGAAGTAGCAGAACTGGAGGTGCCAAAATAAGTTTGGAAGCTTGCTTTGTGTTAAATGGCTTTTAAAAATTGTTATATTTGAGACATATATAACACTATTTTTAACACATGTGTAAGTTTTGATGCTAACAAAATAAACATACATGAATTTGCCACTTACAGAAGTAGACCTGTTTTTTCCCAATATGGCAGCACTAGGCATATATGGCTATTTGAACTTAAAGAAAATTGAACTAATTTTAAAATTCAGTTCCTCACTCACAGTTGCCACTTGCCAAGGGCTCAAAAGTCACATGTGGCTAGTGGTGTCCATGCTGGACAACAGAGACAGAGAATATTTCTACTGCTACAAGAAAGATCTTTCAGACAGTGCTGAGCAGGACAATAACTTATTGTTCTATCAGCCTCGTGAATTCCTTCCTTCTCTGGCCTCTGACCCAAATGTTAAGCAATATATTCTTTATTTTGCCTGTTTTTGAACTTTTTCAGAAGGTCTACAGTCTGCTGCAACTTGCTTTTAAACACTTCGCAATATGGAAATATTTGTAGATGTTGTTCATTTTCATTCCTGTATAAAATTCCACTGGATGACGTTATAACATGCACTCCAAACATGCTTATCTCTATGTCCACAGCAGATTATCAGTATTCTAAAACATTACTGAACAATCACACATCCATTCAACCAACAAGTATTTAGTGAGCATTTGCCATTTGCAAGGTATTCATCTAGGAAACGTGGACAAAACTGATGAATAAAAAAAAAAAAGACAAAAATCTCTGCCCTGGCGAAGTTTACATTTCAGGCCAATGACATATGCTTTTAATCTTATGCTTTTCCTTTAAAAACATACTTTCAGCCAAACAAAGCTGTAACAGAATACTGTACTTAGCAAAAAGATATTTTATCATTTGTGACAGATATTAAAACATACAAATAGATGCTGAGCAATGGATTACTAAAAACAACTAACACAAGATATGATACATGTGTGTAGGGGTGTGTGTATATAAATGAAAGTTCAAATCTAGATCAGATTTTCAACTTTTTTTTTGAAGGTTAGTCTGGTTTTATTCTGGGTCTTTATCTGTATTTATTCCACAAAATGTCAAAATCCAGGCTCTGTGACATCAAAGACTACAGGTTCACTGGCAAATGGAAAACCACAAAGGGATATAGATTCCATTCCATGGTCCAAATGACAGAGAACCATGAAGAAAGCAATCAAATGAAAACTATCAGAGAGCTGTAGGCTGGTTTTTCTAACCACACTGATAGTTTAGCCAACATTTAATTCTAAGGGCCTGTTTGTTCTGAAGGACTATTTCTATAGACCCCTGGGAGTACCAGGGAAGTAAAGGATAGACACAATGAAGTGCAGTAGGGAAAGGGACAAGACATACGTTACAATACAACACTGGGCAAACCACTTAATTACTTCCGTATGCTTTGTGGCAAAAAGGTGATCTCCCTCTGATTATAAAGAGTCACAATTTATTGTGAAATATACCTAAATACTGTCCTCTTCTCATGCTTTTCCCCGACTGTAGGAAAACCAGCTGAAAGACCCTTACCTCAGAAAATCACAGGTGCCTGAGATGTTGCTACTTACCAGTTCTGATGGATAAGCTGCTGCTATTGGAACGGATGGTCTTAGAATTCAACACTTTCTCTAAGGAAAAATATTCCATACATAAGCATTTATACAGCCACAGAGAGGGAAAGTGAAAAGCCTATGATAGGAAGTTAATTTAGGAGATAACTGCTAGCCCTGACCCAGGTAACGTTATAATTATTCCTTATTGTTTTAGATATTAATATCATATGTCAAGCCCCACTAGCTATTCTAAGCATACTCATTACATAAAGGTGCAATTCTCCATCTTAGCTGTACTTGGAATTATCTGGGAAACTTTATTTATTTTTATAAAGTCTTTTTTTTTTAAAAGATTTATTTTATACAAGAACTGGGGTACAGGTCAGAGGCACAGGAGGGTGAGAGAATTCACCAGAGACAGAGTGGGGAGCAGAACAGACAGACGGACGGACAGACCAAAGACACTGCTGGGGAAGCAGTGGGCAAGGCAGGAGAGGTCTGCCGCGCCATGTGGGAATCTCCCTGGATGGCCGGGAATCAAACCCGCGCTGCAGAGACTGTGGACAGCTTCACTGCGTGGCGCTTAACCTGCTGCGTGCCACAGCGGAGGCCCCATCTGGAAAACTTTAAAAAGCAACAACATCGAGGTCCCACCCTCGTGGTGCAAGGGTTAAGATGCAACAACCTGTGAAGCAGTCCACAGCCACTAGAGGTCAAGGATAGGGTCTAGACGATGGGATTTCGAAAACTTCCTTGTCCTCAGGGATTCTAATGCATAGCCAAGGTTGCAAGCCACTGTTCTAAAAAATGGACCTGTTAACCCTCACACTGGCCTTTATAATCTAGTTTATAACAAAGTAATTCCTATATAGAAAGCTGTGATAATTTAGTTTCTTTCTAAAGGTATATGAAATTATCACAGAAGCATGAAAACAGACAAAAAATTAATACATACAGAGTAGAACTAATAAGTCTTATGGTGGGAAGGGCAGAGTGCAGTTATATCAAAAAATGGTCAAGAAGTAGCAGGTGACAAAGCTCAGGAAAGGACAGTGTTCTCCCCATCACTAGGTATGGCTTCACTGACCACTACACACGTACAGAAAGAGGTGTTTTTCCTCAGGACACTTTTGCTTCCAACAACGTGACCATTATATCTTAGGTGTGGATCTATCCTCTGGTCAAATACACCCCCACACATATGAAATTCTTACCAACAATGAGAATGGTGTGCCAGCCACGGCAAGATAGGTCCGGGACGTGATGCAGAGATCCAAAAATAGGCCGAGGCCACGAGGTACAGATATCAGAGCCATGTGGTCTCTCCGTGGGGGTCATTGCCAGGCGACCATTACCACCATTGCCCCAGGCAAAAATGTGATTATCTATAGAGAAAAAAAATTAAATAGCCAAAAGTTTAACAGAACACTAGCTTGCTAACATTTTGGGTCCCCAATCTTTGTGTCCTAGAGCTAGAAAGATTTCCCACTATGTATAAAACAAGGGAAAGCTGTTTATTCCCCTATATAAAGCCTAAACTCTTCCTGACCCCACCCAGGTAAAACATGACCATGGCTCCTAAGTACCACCATTTGTCCAGTCACTCATTCGACAACATGAACTGTCATTTATTTATTTTTTTGTGTATACAGAAGAACTGGGGTGTAGGCCAGGTTTGGGGGATGAGAGGATTCACCAGAGACAGAGTGGGAAGCAGAATAGGCAGAGCGACTAAGATACAGGGTGAGACAGGAGAGGTCTGCTGTACCGTGTGGGTTAGCTCCCGGGCTGAGGATCAAACTAGGCCGTAGCAGTGAAAGCGCTGAGACTTAACCCCTAGGCCATCACGGAGGTCCCTGGGTTGCCATTTAAATAGTTGCTAGGAATCTACTGCTAGGTTTAGGAGCAGAGACTAAAACAAGTCTCTGCCATTGTGGAGCTGACATTCTAGTGGGAGGAGACTGATAATACATAAGTAAATAAATATCTAATACTTTAAGTAGTGTTAGTGCTATAAAGGAAGACAAATAGCAAAGAAAAAAATAAGTGGGGCATAAAAAAGGAAGTGGAAATGGGCCTCCCCCGTGGCGCAGCGGTTGAGCGCTGGGTTGCGAAGCTGCCCGCGGCCTCTGCAGCGCCGGTTCGATCCCCGGCTGCTCCCCAGCCACCGGAGGAGGGTCCCACATGGCGCGCAGACCTCTCCTGCCGCCTGCTGCTCCCCTCAGCAGTGTACTTCGGTCCTTCTGCCTGCTCTGCTCCCCGCTCTGGCTCTGGTGAATTCTCTCACCCTCCCGCGCTTCTAACTGTACCCAGTGCTTGTATAAACAAAACAAATAAATAAAAAAATAAATAACACATGCCTCTATTAAAAAAAAAAAATTTAAAAAAAAAAAGGAAGTGGAAATAAAGAATAAGGGGTATCATTATTTTAGATACAGTAGTCAGAGAAGTACTTGCTGACACTTGAGTCTGACCGAAGTGAGAGAGGGAGTGAGCTATATGGATATCTAGGGGAAGAATTTTCTAGGCAGAGGGAAGGGCAAAGGCAAAGTTCCTGCACAGGTAATGTGAGTATCCATACCAAGGATAAAAAACAGCCCCCTGTGGTTGGAACAAGTAAGGGAAGGGAGAGAGGTCAGAGAAGAGGTCAGGAGGTGGTTGAGGTTCTGGTCATGTAAGGTCACACAGGCCATGGTAATGACTGTGGTTTTTACTGATTGGTAGGTGAAACCAACAGAGGGCTGAGAAACAGGTTTTTAAAAGGACCCACAAAATATCATGAGAAGAACCCACTGCAGGGAACAAGAATGGAAGCAGAGATCAGCAATAGTAGTGAAGATGTGAGAAGTGGTTGGATATATCTGAGGATAAACAATAGGGTTTGCTGACTGATGGGATGTGGAGTGTAGGATGGAGCTGTCATTTTCTGAACTGGATTGGTTGCAGAATGAACAGATTTGGGCAGAAAATCTGAAGTTTAATTTTGAACATACTATTTGTTCGAATGTTTGTAACATCTAATCCAATCCAGGACTTTTTTTTTTTATGAAAACAGGGTGCTACTAATGATAATAGGTGCAAATCAGGACTGACCCAGGAAAACACCATCTCTATAAAGTCACCCTGTCATTAGCCATTTAAGTCAAGGGGCTGCTGAATAAATGAGGTCAAGGGTGAAATCAACGTACAGGAGGTATTTAATTAAGGTAATGAGGTCACTTAGGGAGTGAAGGAAGGGAAAGTGTCGAGAGAGGGGGTTTGAGCCCTGGGCATTCCAGGGCGTGGAGGAGGAGGGCACTGCTCTCACAGCACTGATCTATCTGCCTGCACTGGTCTGTTTATACGGATGTTTTTCCTATCCTATTAGACTATGAGACTCCTTTATATTCCCGAAGCCTAAAAAAGGACCTGGAACATAGTATGTATTCAGCTTATGTTTGCTGCGTGAATGAGGAAACTAAATATAGAGAGTACAGGAACATTTACCAAGAGTAAAATGCCCAGTCACAGAATCTAATTCTATACTTCTCATTCTGAAATTTAATTCATGAAGTACACAGATTTACTGGAGGAACATTCCCTCTTTGAGTCCCTTTTAGAAAGTGCTACTGACCTTGCTGCATTAAATTTAATCCTCAGGGACATCCTGACTCTGTCTTTTAGGTGACATTTCCATTTATCTACTATGACCTAAATAGCTTGGCCCCTAAAATTCCTTTTTTGGGACAAGCAGGGAAGGTCACTGTGCTACTCTGAAAGCTGGTTCACTTAATTAAACGTGCTAACAGATTGCTGATCGGGCACTAACCCTGGAGTCCTAATCTGTATGTACAGGCACAGACTGACAGAAAACAAAGACAGCTCAGGGCATGAGCACGGAAAGAAATACTGAAATGAGTCAAAAGATAAGATGAAATGTGATTTGTTATCTACCAGTCACAAAAAAGAAGAGGCTACAAAAAAAAATTCAGATGAAAGAGAGAAGAGAACAGAGAAACAAAGAAAGTAGAAGAGGGAAGGAATGAAGACCCACTGAAGTAGTAGTAAAGAAGAGAAGTGGTGACAGGAGCAAGTAGCTACTAGAAATAGCTATGAGAGGAAAGAGAAGAAAATTTAATCACACCAATTCAGAACGCTGAGAAACACATAGCACACCACCTTTCAAATCTTAGCAGCCCCACAGGACATCAGTGCACTGCAGCTGACCCTAACCAAGGAGTAAGGATGATACTGTTCTCTCTCCATCAACCTAGTCAACATTTATGAAACCAACATGGTGCTGGGCAAGGTATATACAGACATATGTAACAATTCTTAAAACATTTTTTCAGACAGATTTGAACATATCTTTTCTAAATGCCTATCAAATTATTGGTTAGATAAAATTTTGCAAGATGACTGCAGGTTTTCCTATGTGTGTCAAATTAGTGAAGACTGCATGAATAAAAAAAAATTTTTTTACCCAAGAAGTTAAAGTAAAAAATTAGGGACTTAGAATATTAACTTGTCATTGTCTAGAAAACTCACACTTTAACAAGTCTACCACTTTCCCAACCAAGATTTAAAACACAGCCATCAGTACAGAAAGCTTGAAATGATGTACAGACTCACCGTCAGTGGCAGCAATGGTAAATTCATCCCCACAGGAGACCCTGATCACCTGCTTCCCTCCTAGGGGTCCCCCCAATAAGTTAATTCCTAGACGCTTCTTATAATTTCCAACGCCCAGCTGTCCACATTTGTTGCAGCCAAAGGTCAGCAGTCGGCCTCGCTCTGAGAAGCAAAAATAAATAACCAGAATAGTGAGAAAGCATGGAGAAACACTACAGAGTCTCACAGATCAGCCTCTGGTTGTGACATGCACAATTACAGAGATAACGCTGATATCCTGGACCTAGTGCAGACAGGGCATCTAGTAACTATGACCCCTTAGACATAGGAAGTGACTTAATACTCTATTTTCTCTCCAATATTGTACATAAATGTGGAAAACAGGTACTATCTAGATTAGAATGCTTACAGAAGGTGCCATTTAGAGATAGTAGTTGTCTGCATTCTAAGTGTGACATCCTCACTTAGGGATGTCTTGATTATGCATTTATAATGATTATCAACAAAAACTTGTAGTTGAATGTCTCATTTGTTAAAAAATAGTAATACTGGATACTAGAGGGAACATTCAAGAGAATGTTCAAAAAGCTAATACTTGACAGAATAAAAGAGCCTGGGCTAGTAAGGCTTGTGCCAGTTGTAAATCAACTCACCATCAATAGCAGCTGTGTGAGTCTTGCCTGGGGCGACTGTCCGGATCTTATAGAAGGACAACTGCTTGGCCAAGGTAAAGGAAGTTGTGTAGGGAACTTCATGGTATGCCTAGAACAAAGTAAAACATAAAGCCAAGACTCATGAGGTAAAAATAGAGGGTAACAGGCTGAAAATGTTGTCCTGGTGAACAAAAGGCTGTTCTAGCAAATCATGTTTCTAAGAAGGTGCCAGGTAGCTCTTCACCTCCAACAGAATCTAAGAAGACATAAACTCGGTATGTAATCACTGAATTTACTGTATATAATGCAGGACTTTATCTCAACAAAAGTTTTAGCTCCCTCATTAGGGTATGCAGAATGTGAACTCTCAGTCCTAGAAGGATTTTACATAAGACAGAATCACAGATATTTGTCTTGGTTATACAATCTGCATACCTAACGAGGGCAGGGCAAAGAATTAAAATCCTGAGGACTTTCTCCAGCGCGCAAAGCCACCAGATTAGTTATCAAATTTCACCTAGGAGGTAGTGTTTTTCAACATGTTAAAATCCCTGTTTCCTTTAAGTTAGCACAGAAAAAATCCTTGAAGTTTAAAATTTCACAAAACTCCATATTACAGAAAAACTACAAATCAAGTAATGGCAATTCTGAAAATGACTTTACAACCTACATAGATTTTCTCCCCACACTTGCTCCAAATTTGCACTCTTCTCATTTTATCTATTTATTTTTAAATATTTATTTGTACATACAAGAACTGGGATACAGGCCAGAGGTGCTGGGGGTAGTGGTGGTGAGAGGATTCACCAGAGACAGTGTGGGGAAAAGAACAGGCAGACTAACTGAAATACACTGCTGAGGAGAGCAGCAGGTGAGATAGGAAATGTCTGCTGCACTATAAGGATAGCTCCCTGGCTAGCCGGGGATCAAACTTGGGCTGCAGAGGCTGGGGACAGCTTCATAGTGCTGTGCTTAACCCCTTGCGCCACTAGGGAGGCCCCCTTCTCATTTCAGAATCACTATATCATATTGTGATTTATAATATATATGCATATGATGACTCATATGATTGATGTTTCTCATATATAGCTGGTCTTTGTCTACTGTTTCTTGTCCAGTTCCCTAGACTCTTGAAATGTCCTATGCTAAGATTGAGAAAGAAGATTTTTTGTTATATTAACAAATGACTTTTAGACCTATTTCAGTGATAAGGTAGAATCTAAATCCTATCACTTGATTCTCTGTAATCAATTTATTTAGTGCAGTACAACACACTGTAAAATGTTATAGGGCTTGCATATAAATGTAAAACCACCATCCAGATCATCATTTTCATCAACCTAGACTCTCTCCCACCCATTCTGTTAATATCTCCCCATAATCTTCCTCCCAGAAATAGCCACTGTTTTGACTTATGCCATCTTCAGTTAACTTTGCCTGTTTTTAAACTTCATATAATAGGAATTATATAGTAATATACTTTTTTTGTATTCAGCTTCTCTAGCAGAACATAGTGGCTGTAAGATCCCTATTTTATTCTTAAGTCATATTCCATGGTCACAACTAATAATAATATTCCCAAAGAAATCCCAATCTGGAGAAGTTCTGACTGTGGTTAGAAAGACATAAACTCAGTATATGTAATCAGTGAATTTACTGTATATAATGCAGGACTTTATCTCAACAAAAGTTTTAGCTTCCTCATTAGGGTATGCACAGGGGTACTTACTTCATGGTTGATGATTCCAGACATACATTGATTCAGACCCAGTTTGTTAAACTCATTGAGTCCACAGGCCAGCACTTTTCCTGACTGGGTCAGCAGAAATGTCCCATCACAGCCACACTGAACTGCAACAATAATCAAGGTCTGGGGAACATCCACCTGACAGAAGAAAAAAAAAATCCCCAAAACATAATCTGTATTAGGAAAAAACCCTCAAATTCTTCAAAATGATGTTCTGCATTTGGCATAATGACTGCAGGGAAGTAAAGGTTGCTCTATTCTCTTTAGATCTGCCCAGTTGCTTAGAGGCTACTGTTTTCAACAGGAGCTCAAGTTTTATAATAAATGTGATTGTTCCAAATCAGCTAACTAGACTGACCCTGTCAAAGTTTGTTTTAGCATTAGGTCCTGAAGACTTCTCAGAAAATGCTGGCAAAGCAAAGCTTCCATCCACGGCTGATTTTGTTCTCCAAGATTGACAAAATCATGACAGTCATAGACAAAACTCAGTAGCCATGTGGGGTCCTAGTCTGTTTGTATTATAAGTGAGGTGACAGCACTGAGGTAGCAGTTATGTCTTCCAATGCTCACATCCCCCAGCTGCTCACTAAATAGGGCTGGAGAGTGGTGGGGGACATGATGGACATCTGTCAAACCCGAAAACTCAAACCTCAAGGTTTCAATTACAGCCTTTTCAGAAGAGGAGGAACAATGATAAATCCCATTAAGAATGGTACTACAAATACATAAGTTAATTTTTAAAAAGTAAATAAACATTGCTAAAGTGAATGGTATAGATGACTAGTCGACCTTTCCAAGGCGAGCCTGTGCCCTAGGGCAGTTGTGAGAGACACGTAACCCTGCTCTTCCCTCAGCTGCTTTCAGCTCCCGTACCAGCTCCTGCAGAGCTGAGAGTAATTATAGATATTATGCTTCATACAACATGCCCCCCCAAAACAAAAAACTATTTTATCTGGTGTTTAACTATAGAAAATGGTTGTGTTGGGTTAACAGAAAGTATACTGCTTTCCAGTTTCACCTCAAGGAATTTTCCAGAGTGTATTGTGCTCTATATGACTTTTTCACCATACATACTGTTTTTAGCTCTCATTTCTGAGTAAGATGTAACATGTCCATGTCCATAGGGCCTTTATCCTCTTTCTCAACCTTTTATGATTGAGCTAGATGGCAAGATCACATAGTGCTAAGCCAGGAATCCTGGATTGGATAGGAAATATTTCAGAAATAAATGCCTTGATATGAGGAGTCAGGGAAAGAGGCCAAATCACTCGGGTCTGTGTAAACCAGATAGGCTTTAGGAAGAAATTATTTCTGATTTACCTTTTGTGGTGTGTAATAATCCTCTTCTGAATCCAAACCCAGTCGTCCTGAGACACACGAGACAGAAAATCATTAAAATGAGGGCTCCCCTCCCAATGAAAATATTTCCTGTAAGATTCTCTTTACTGAATAAACATTTCTCACTTGGAGTCTGCATGATGTGTTTAGCTGCACAAAAGCCCGAATTTAGGTTGTGCACCTGGGAATAAGTGGACAAGACAAGATTACACCTACCATATTCCCCACAGCCCCAAGAATAGACTTCCTTGTTTCGTGTCAAAACCACCACATGATTATCTCCACAGGAGACCTGCTCCACTGGATTGTTCAGGAAGAATTTCAGCTGCATAGGTTCTAGGACTTCTTGGCCAGCAACCTTGTCCACCCCCATGCAGCCATAGTAATCAGATCCAAAGGCATAGATCTGACCCTCATCTGCAAAAAAGGAGGAAAGAACCCATCATATAAATGACTTTGTCCAATCAGAAATGGGGGCAGGGCTGGAATTAGGACCACCCTAGTCAATGACCTCACACAGTGTGATTACACTGGAGAACTCCAAAGCACTAAGAGTATGCAAAGTCTCGAGTCATGTGTATTATTATTATAATTTAAAATAGTGGTAGCGTTAGATTTTATAGGCTTAAAATATTCCTGGGGTCATCTTTATTTTATGGAGAAATAGAGAAAAAGAGAAGTAGAAAGAAATCATAAAGAAAGTAATGACAGGAACAAAAACCAAATTGCAGCGCTTGATTCCTGATTTAGTGTTATCCATTCCTGACCAGCCAGTGAAATGATTTTTCCCTTATTGGGACATTTGACATCTTTCATCTGACCCCCCACTTCCTTTCTGCTATCTGTCTTCTCCATGGTCATCGTCCTTCTAATACTATAAGCAAATTAATTATGCTATTAATGTGTTTATCTGTTCAGTTCTTTGGCTCTCTGAATACTGGCTTTTATTGTAAAATTCCAACTAAAACTACACAGAATCAAGTACAAATCCCACACCAAACACATCTGGATGCTTTCTGCTGACAGCTTACCTGTCACACAGACAGTGAAATCATCACCACATGACACCTGGCGGATAGCTTTGCCTTGCAACTTTTCCACATGCTTTGGCTGTCTGTAGGAAGCTTTGTCTCCATGGCCCAACTGACCATGGAGTTTAGTTCCCCCCTGCATGTTCTGTGAAATAAAGAGGTCTCATGAAGTCTTAACATTTCATGCTGAACACTCATCTTCAATACAACTTTTTATTAAGAAAAACAGTAGGAAAAAAAAGGGAAAGATTAACTCTCTTAATGCTAGGTAATATAAAACCCCTGCCATAGGTAAAGAAAATTTAAAAAGTGTCTAGATTGATGTCCATCATGCCTTAAAAGGACACATTCCAATTCTTTCTCTTTCAAGTCTAAGGTGAACTAAATATTTACAAATATGCATGATGGTGAAAATTCTTTATTTATTTGATTGTTTTCTACAAAAGTACAACCTCTTATAATCCTTTACAAACTTTAATCATAGTTTCCCTGAAATATGACTCATTATAAAGAATCTGACAATATGAAATCGGCTGCAATACAGCGCTGAAGGTAGTCCTTACTGCCAGTTGTAAAGAGATAAGTAATTTTTTTTAATATTTAATTTTTTTAATTTAAATTTTACTTTTATATTCCCTATACAATTACAACCCCCTTATTTTGACCCAATCCCTCCTTTCCCTGTCCCCCAACCCCCATAGAGTGTCTCTGGTTCATAGTTGTTTGTTGATTTTGATATTTTCTTTCTTATAGTTATTCTTTTTCCTGGTCCCTTATTTAAGTTTCCTAGATTCCTGCTATGAGTGAGACCATCCGGTATTTTTCTTTTTCTTTCTGGCTTATTTCGCTGATCATGATCCCTTCCAGCTCCATCCAGATAAGTAATTTTTTTATTCAATGTCCCAAATGTATGTTCTTATACAGTGTTTTGTAAGATACTAATTTTACTCCCCATCTGGCAGTGCTCAGGGGATAGTTCTTTGAAGGATAGGATCTTAGGATATAACCAGTCAACAGTCTGTGATAGTGGCCAAATCATTCATTCATGCTTTCAACCAATCAATAGTTGAATGTCTACTCTGTCACACACTGGGGATAAAGCCTGTCCTCATAGAGAAAGTAGCTAAAACTACTGGGAAAAATGAGCTCTTTCAGGAAAAGGAGCAAGATAGAGAAGAGCTGAGGTCCAAAGAGAGGCGCGGGTGAAGGAAAAGCAGCTTGAAATGAGCCTGAGAAGACACAGTCAAAAAGACGGGAGACAAGCCAAGAGAATATGACCTCATGGAAGCTGAGGGAAGACAAAGCTTCATGGAGGAAGGGGGTCAAATAAGGTAAGGACTAAAAACTATTTGTTTTATTTTCAAAATTTATAGGTTATTTTGTCAAGAACAGGGCCTGGTGGTGCAGGTGGTTGAGTACAGCCCTGTGAAGCTGTCCACAGCCTCTGCAGTGAGGGTTCAATCCCTGCTGGCTGCGGAGATGCCCACATGGTGTGGCAGACCTGTCCTGTCTTGCCCGATGTTCCCCTCAGCAGTGTATTTTAGTCAGTCTGCCTGTTCTGTTCCCCGCTCTGTCTCTGGTGAATCCTCTCACCCTCCTGCACATCTGGCCTGTACCCTGGTTCTTATATAAATAAATAAATCTTAAAAAAAAAAAAAAAGTATAGGTTCAACTGAGTGTCAGGGATGGAAGTTGCACTATAGGTGAATGAGGAGCAAGTAGGAGTTAAGGAAATAGATAGCAATCTGTTCAAGAATGTGAGATAGGGTGGAATCCAGAGGAAACAAAGGGATATTCCCCTCAGGAGATAGAGAGTCCATCCTCAATCACTGGTAGAGGTCTTGGAATTTTCCTTATGTGATGTAGGGCTTTGTTCATTTACAAAGCTATTTCACAGATACCAGCTGCTGTGAACCTCATGATAACATAGTAATCATAACATGGTAACAGAACAGAGTAACTAAGTGACTTTGTGAAATCACCAGCTGTAAAGTCCAATCTCAAACCTAGTGCCCTTTTTAATTTTTTCCCTCGAAAAAAGTTTATAGGCAACCCAGTATGTACCAGGTACTGGGGACACATCAGTGAACTAACTAAAGAAAGAAAATCCCACTCTCATAAGAGCTTACATGCCATCATCCCATGTTGCCAACTCCCACACGGGTTTGGCTAACAATACTTGGGCCTCCTGGGTCCAGCAAACAACTAGGCTTACAGTACCGTTCTAAAGACTTAGTTTTCACTTACCACCCAGGTGTACAGTTCCTTCTCCACTGTGACCACAGCAAAGTGGGTGTTGCCTGCACACACCTGCCGGGCACTACAGCCACTCTTGATAACATCCAGTTTCTGGGGAGTTGATTTTCCGCCACCCCAAACATAGACTTCACTGGTTCGTGATGTTACCACAGCAATGGGCGCTTCAGTCACAGTGCTCGACCTGCCAATAACAGCCAGAACAAAGGTACATTTAACATAAAAACTGTATCAATAGAAAAATGCTTCCAGTCTGTTCCCTGAGAGGAACTGCTAATTATGGTATAAGAAAGTATGTCTTTTCTTGACAACTTATCGACCCTCTATCATAGCAGGCTTTGCAGTTCCTGCCTGAGGGCTTCATCTGAGCTCAACCAGATCAGATTCCAGTCTGATCCACAACACCTACACTTTTCAACATCCATTATGATAATGATGTTCCCTTTAGCACTGAGAGTGAAATTATAACTTTCTTTTTCTCAGAAATGATGATCTGACATTTAAGCAGATGTTGGCTTTTGAAAGGATGCCAAAGGCTACTTCCTGGGATTGAACAATACATAAGACCAAGAAAGACCTGGTGGCAAGTTAAAATATATTAATTTTCAAGAGTCTCTTCAGCATTACCTTGGTCTCTTCGTAGGTGCATTAAGCAGTGTGACTTTCTCCTCCATCTCTCTGAGAAAGAAAAAGACACATGAGCCAAAAATAAATAAATAAATAAACAAACAAACAAATAAATAAATAAAAAGGTTCCTACAGTGTACCAGCATCTCTAATACATTTCACAGGTTTAATCCTCTTAAAGACCATATGGCTCCTATAATATTACAATACTTCCATATGACTCATATAAGTTAAATAGGTCTTGTATTAAACAATTCATTAAATAAAAGGGGGCCAGTAGTTTGGGGTTATTGATTTCCTATCTCCAAGAAATGTTCCAAGCTGGAACAGGAAGCCTTAACAAATTCTTTTTTTTTTTTTTTTTTTTAAAGATTTATTTTATTTATACAAGAGCTGGGGTACAGGCCAGAGGCCCGGGAGGGTGAGAAGATTCACCAGAGACAGAGCGGGGAGCAGAACAGGCAGACAGACAAAAGCACTGCTGAGGGGAACTATGAGCAAGACAGGAGAGGTCTGCTGCCCCATATGGGTATCTCCCCCACCGGCCAGGAATCGAACCCACGCTGCAGAGACTGTGGACAGCTTCACAGTGCTGCGCTCAACTCGCTGCACCACCGGGAAGGCCCAGCCTTAACAACTTCTGATGCACATTTTTAACCACCTGCTGGTCATCTCCATCTAGTCTGCCAACTGAGCCCCACAAAGTAAACATTTCTAAATCTTAGCTCATCTCTTTCCTTTTTTCAATATTCAAGTTCTACAGATTCTACGTCTATAGTCCCTTTTATATTCACCTGTCCTTTCCAGACTCATTATCTTAGTTCTGGGCAGCCTTCTTTCCCACCTATACAATGGAGCACCTCCTAATCTGTCTCACTGATCAAAGGTTTACTCCACTTTAATCAGTCCTAGATTGATCCGGGAGTCCGATGTAAGTACTGTTAAATAACTCCTCCTCAGGCATTCCTTTCATCACATGACTGCCCTCTCAGAAACTCTTAATACTTCTGTACTGTATCTTCAATTAGGCACAAATTCTTCTGTCTGACATTCAAGACTCTCTGGCTACCTTTCTAGTCTTTCTTCCCTCTACTTACCCCCAAGTCCTTCCCCAGAGTTCCTGTTCTGCCTAAGTCAATTATAGCTGAATTCCTGATGCTTAGGCATCAGTAATTTTTAAAAGCTCCAGAAGTGTTTTAAAAGCTCCAGGTATAGAACCACTAAACTAAGCCAAACATAGTGCTTCCTGAATATTTTCCAAAACGTCCTGTATCTGTGCTTTAACTGAGAAGTTCTTTGTCTTTGTGCAAACTTCTTAACAAAGTACTACAAATCTATAATTACCTCAATAAAAAATTGTAATTAAAATTTTCAATGGAAATATTTATTTATTTTTTAAAGATTTATTTGTTTATGCGTGTAAGAACTAGGGTGTAGGCCAGAGGTGGAGGGGCGGGGGGTGGGGTGGATGAGAGAATTCACCAGAGACAGAACAGGCAGATCTACTAAAATACACTGCTGAGGGGAGCAGCAGCGCAACAGGAGAGGTCTGCTGTGCCATGTAGGTTAGCTTCCTGGCTAGCCAGGGATCAAACTCACGCTGCAGACGCTGGCAATAGCTTGACAGCGCTGTGTCTTTAACCCCTGCCCCTCAAAGGAAATATTTAAATAGTGATAATATAGCTGGGAGATAAGCCACATAAAAAATTTAAATATACTTAGCCAGCTCCAAAGGGTAATACTGCTGGAATATGCATAGAACATAAATGGAAGGTCATGGTGCTGTCTTTAGAGTATTATACACAATTCTAGGCACTAAAACACTGGCTAGAGATTAACTGGAGAAGAACCAGAAAAGATTAATTAAATGATACAAAAGACTAAGGGTACTAAGGCAAAAACAATGAATGGAATACAGACTAAAATACTTAAAACAGATAAAGAACAGGTTTTCCTTTAAGTTAGGGTTTAAATTCTCCTATAGGAAATGAAAGATAAAGAACTTCCTTCCTACCTCTACAACCCTCTAATACAGAGCAAATCTTAGGAAATAACCTGTCAAGAATCAATCAAGCTTGATGTTGGGATCTTAGGATATCTGAGTCCAGAGTCCCTCTTGCTAATTACCATATACTATGCTTCAACTCTATATTAAAACCTGCAGATGTGGGGAGTATAGAGCTCTAGAGTCTCCAGTACAAATTTAGAACACAGCAGTACAGTCTAAGGCAGGGAAAGTCAGCAGCTACCCCCAACTAATGAAAGTAGAGACACAGACAGAAAATAGTATCAGTGGCCAGGTCAGGAAACACCACCCTCTCTGCGGTACTCTGATGAGGCCTCTAACAGTCAACCATCTACGGAAAGATGACGGAGTGACTTCTTAGTACTTTACCTCCTGCGTTTCCTGAGAAGAGGGCGATCCAGAAGTTCATCTGCAGTGGGTCTCTGCTCAGGATCCTGAAAAGGACAAATGGGACTTAATTTAAATGGAGGGCAACAAAGAATCTAATTAGACATTTTACTTTCCTGCAGAAGGCGATAGGTTAATTAGTAGAAGATCACTAGTATATTACCCTTTTGTTTCAAAAAAAAATTTCTTACCTCACATTCAATGCTTAGTGATTATCATTTCATTATCATCAACTCTTGTACATGAATGAGAATGTACCTTATTCACTTGTTCAGTCAGGGCAGTAACTCAAACTCTAATATATAAAGTACAAAAGAATAGCCTTTGTTATAAATAAAGATTTCTAGGCTTTATAAGAGATTTCATCTGTATGGGGCCCTAAATCTTCTTTTTTTTTTTAAATTTTATTTTTTTGTGTGTGTAGAGCTGGGGTGCAGGCCAGAGGTGTAGGAGGTGAGAGGATTCACCAGAGACAGAGTGGGGAACAGAACAGGCAGACTGACTGAAATACACTGCTGAGGGGAGCAGCAGGCGGGACAGGAAAAGTCTGCTGCGCCCTGTGGTTTAGCTTCCGGACCAGGGATTTAACTCAGGCCGCCCTGGTGGGCCTTCATGGTGGTAGCACTGAGACTTAACTCCTAGGCCACCTGGGGTTTATTTGTAAAATCTCCCTATCCTCTGGCAATGTTAATGGCTGTGGTTCATGGACCATACTTTGAATGCTACTAACTTAGCACTAAACTGCAAAGCAAATGTGAGATACCAGAACTATATATATTCTGTATCTATGTATTCTGTATTTATAACTACATAATTAATTTACAGAAGTTAATCTTGATCATAAAAAATGGAGCAAATTTAGATGATAAAATCACTTCACAAACTAAGTAACAATAAAGCAGAGCAAAGTAAAGGTTTGTTGGCTAAAGCACACATGAATTCTCTGAGCTGCCAATGCCTGTTCTGCGTATAGCCACAGATACATCCTCCCAAGGGAAGTGGATGTGGTTTTATGCAGGTTCATCTATGTCAGTCTCTAAACACTAAGGGTAGAAGGGAAAAGACTACACTGAAATCCATATGTAAGCCACACTTACCTGGTCAAGGCACACATGGACCATTTGGATCAATTCTAAAGAATACTGGCTAGAATCAACTTCCATGGCCCGGATTCCTTGTACAATCTTCACACACAGGTTCAGTGGATTCTATGAGAAAGTGATGATTGTGGTTTTCTTGGTTATAAATATGACATTATATTCTATCTATCATTATGGGCTCAAAGATGTCTGTAACTTTATTATTTAAAGAAGTAGCAATACTTCTGCATTAGATGGGACTTCTTTTAATAACTATCAGTATGCATCAGCAAGAAATGGACAGGGATACATTGTTGATATCAGATGGAATGAAGCTAAATGGTCAACATGGAGATGCGACTATGTGGCCATAACATAATACTCAAGAGTATCCACAATATGACCTTCCACTGAATCCCAAAAAGGAAAGCAAAGTAAACTATGCTCCTTGGCTTTAAGTACCTCCTTTGCCAACAATTTGTCTCCTAATTTATATATGCTAATAATGGCTATACAGGTGATACTCTATTGCAACAGACAGGGCAGTGAATAATAAGATGACAATGATAAAAAAATAATAATACCATCACCTTTATTGAGAGACCACTAAGTATTAGGCAGCAATGCTACATACATGATCCTTTTTAATTCTGGCAAACACCATGCAACTACCCGATTACAAAGTAACAAATGGAGCCAAAATTCCAATCCAATTCTATCTGACTCTAAAACTTATTTTCCTCCAACTGCATGATTTAGGAGAATTAGACTACAGCAGCATAAACTTTAGGACTTAGAAAAATAAATAGGTCTCATAAATGCCAATGAATTTGCATTACTTTACATTTGTAGATACATTATCAATTTTACATACATTTTACATACATTACCTTACATTTTTAATATACATTATCAGAGTATCTCTGTGAGAGGGAAATATATGTTTTTCTTGTTATAGGTAATGAATAGAGGATCAAAGAGAGAAAGTAATTTGTCTAAGTTCTCACACCTGGCTTGTAGGGGATCTAGGAAGTGAATCCTCTTTTGCCACTCAAAATGGGCTGCAAGTACTAGGACCATAAGCATCAACTGGGAGCTTGTAAGAATGCAGAATACTGGCTCCCACTCCAGACCTACTATAAGAGAATCTGCATTTTAACAGATGCCCATGTAATTTCCTATTTGTATTAAAGTTTAAGAAGTATTGCTTTACATTGGATTTTACTTAAAGAAACAAAAAAAATAGGGCCTCCCTGATGGCGCAGGGGTTAAATTCTTAGAGCTATCAAGCTATTGCCAGCCACTGTGGCATGAGTTCAATCCCCGGCCAGGGAGCTAAACCACACAGCACAGCAGACCTCTCCTGTCTCACCCACTGCTCCCCTCACAAGTGTATTTCAGTAGATCTGCCTGTTCTGCTCCCCAATCTGTCTCTGGTGAATCCTCTCATCAACCCCCACCTCTGGCCTACACCCCAGTTCTTGTGTGCATAAATAAATAAAAATAAATCTTAAAAAATTAAAAATGACTTAAAGGAATTTGTTGTCTGATGAAACAATAACAATCTTTCATAAGAGACAGAGGGTAATTCTTTATTTAAAAGAAACACTCTAATGGGTATTATTATATCATTTGTCTCAGTTTTGAAAAAAATGAGGGTGTAGAAACCTAAGTGATGAAATGGTTTATCTATCCAAACAGCGGCATCACAGGCAGTCCTAGAGCCAGCTGTAATTACAACCAACAGATTCAAGTACAGTGTTCAAGCTACTTGATTATGGTTATTTCAGCAGAATTCAAGCTGCACATAAATCTGGTCTATAGCAATTTAATAATATACCAAGTGTGTTATTAAAGGCAAATTCATTGGTCTTTATGAGACCTATTTATTTTTCTAAGCCCTGAAATGCCAGAACATTGGTTATTTTTGCTTACAGCTCAAGGATAAATGAAATTAATTTTCACAACCAACTTGTATCATGTGCAAGGACAACATGAGGATAGTGCATCCACTTACTGTAGCATCAAATGTCCTCTTCAGAGTAAGCAGTTCAAAAATGACGCAGCCAACTGCCCAGATGTCAGACTTAAAACTGTATTTTACTCCTTGGCAGAGCTCTGGTGACATGTAATATGGAGTTCCCACAAGCTAAAACAAAGAAATCGATCAGAGAATAACTTTTTTTCTGAGGTAACTGTAGCACTATTTCAACAACTAAATTAAATGTTTCAGGAACTAGTGATAATAACCATAGAAATTCATCAGTATATCCTAAAAATGGCTTTTACAGGATGAGCCACTATAAAGAGAAATTTTATTCACATAAAGTCTCAGGCCAATTTTAAAAAGACAATTTGAGGGGTGGGACAGTTTTGTGATTCCTGGATCAGAGGCTCAGGCTCACTGAAGACTTCATACAGATAAAGACATACTTAGTGCCAGTTTACAAATGGAAAAAAAAAAAACACCTCAAAAACTGGTATTGGGAGAAGATAACTATATAATGAAGTTGAAAGTTCTAACTGAAATGGACAGTGGTGAAACTTGTTAAATGGCTCAATTTGCAGCTTATAATATTAACAATGAATTTCTTTAAATTTAAAAGGGATCTTCAAATTAAAAAGGGGACTTAAAAAGTGGGTTTGGAAATAAAATATCCTTAACAGGATCATGCCTCTTCAAAGCTGAGAGACAGTGAGTACCCCAGAAGTTCCAATAAAACTGAAAGCCATCTTTAATCAGCAAAGCAATCTTTAGATGGCTTACATGGCATTTATAAATTTCCCTATTATTTCTTCTTTGCATTTAGCTGGCTTAAAAAAGTCAAGTCTTGGTTTCATGAGATTATTCCTGATGAGAAAAATCCATCTAAGGAAGATTGCTTCCTCAGAAGCTCAATTTGGCATCATCACACAAGCAGAGTCCCTGAAGCAGAGACTCCCAGTCCTGTTTATCTGCATCCTTGGATATCACTAAATTGTCTGCAGACATATCTTGATGTTATTAAAAAAAAAAAAAAACCAAGACAAGATTATTTTTATTAACTTACAAAGTACTGAGAAGAAGAGTAATAATTTCTAAAAGGATGAGAACACTGTCCTAAAGATCAAGTTATGTCTCCTCTCTACTGAGGGTCTTCCAGGTGAGAATAGAGTCCTGCAGTTCAGGATATAGGGTTTCTGAATGAGAACTATTCAAAGGAAACGCAAAAAGAGATGTTCAATATCCCAGGTTCAGACATTAAATAAGAGATAAAGTGAAGTCCAGTACAGATCCCGATAAAGTATTTTATTGCATTTAAGATCTCTGATCAGTGTTGCAAAGGGCTGTGAGGGCAGAACTGTAATGTGGAGAGTAATTCTTGAAAGAACACCTGAGCATGTGAGTTTGTCAGTGAGCCCAGGAGAAGGTCTCTGAAGACTTGATTTACACATATGGAGAACTTGCAAGAATACTGAAAAGAGTGTGCACAGTGACGTTTCGTGGCACTGGAGAGGAAAGGGGGAGCGGGGGAAGCAAGGGTAACACATACCGTCTCAGCCATGGAATACTCAGAGTTAAGTTTCTTTGCTAAGCCATAATCTCCAAGTTTTATCAGGTTTGCCTTGGTCAGAAAAATATTTAACGTCTTTATATCTCTGAAAAAAGGATGCAGTATATTAAATTCACATAGCCAGCTGTTTTCACCTCATCCCTACCCCATCTAGGATTACACAGTAAAAAATAAGTGTGTTACCAATGCTTAGACTGTATGGGATCCCAAACAGTGGTCATCACTTTTACACACCTGAACACTGAAAACAGACTTGGGGGTCTGGGGGCAGGCAATTAACTTTATCCTTCAGGGCTTCATAGCACAGGAATAGCCCCCATACCACTGAAGCCATTAGAAAAAGTTGAGAGTCAGAGGAAAAACTGGTTTAGAAGGTAATCACAATTCGTATTGGATATACTGTCTTTCCAATTATCACTTATGCCTTGAGTTAATGAATTAAAACTCTAAAGTCTCTCTTAAAGAAATGACTAAGCAGTACTTAGCTATTGAGGAGAATTCTTCCTACTTCACAAACATGATTTAACTTCAGGAAGTGAAGCTAACACCTCTCATCACTCCCTCTTCCTTTCCAAATTCTATCAGCGGAAAAGCTTTGACTGCTTAATCAAGAAAATAATAGTGCTGATGGGAAGTACTAGGTGGGAGATGGATTGGAGGGGAGGAATTTATCCTGCATTTTCATTCATTACCTATGAAGGATTCCAGCTTTATGGATACAGCTCACTGCTGAAACAATCTGAAATAGGTACCAGACCACCATCTGCAGGGATAAAATAAATTATATTTGGACTGCAAACAAAAAAATTCCATTCAAATAAACACAAACACTCACAAACAAAACAAAGGAAGCCGCAACCAGAGGTTATGATCAACATGACTTGACATCTCTTGTAGGTTGAGTAGGCAGAGAAAAGTGGTAAGGTTAAAAAAAAAAAAAAAAAAAAAAAAAAAACAGATCATAAAATACAATGTCATTATAAAATATAGTATGGTGAAGCAGACTTGTGGAAAGAAATCCAGGAAGAATGCAAAGGTAGAGAAAACTGGGCATACCAGTATGCAGTAATAGAACCGGGAAAGAAAGCTCATAGAGAATCATGATGTGGAGGTAAACCGCTTAGGAAGCAGCTATAGATAGCTTCCTTGTTAGAGGTTTCCTTTCTCATGAATATCAACCAGAGTCTGGAAGGAGTCTGAACAAAAGGAAAAAAACACTCTTCATTGATGGAAGAGTAAATACAGAACTAGAATGTAAAGAATCACATTACAATTCTAGCTTCCTTCTATAGAAATGTGAATTACCTCTTCCTCAAACAGTTTGTCCTTCTGACGAAGAATTTTGTCATATAGATTCCCTCCTGCAATTGAAAGGCAGATATGAATTACTCATTAAAGATCAAAGTGTAGCCCCTATAGCTATTAGTGTTTTAACAGATGACACCAGGAAATCAAGGATTCTGCTTCCATGCCAAAGGAAATCCCTTCTCCCTTGTAAGCTCTTCAAATGGGTACAAAACTCTTCTCATCTCTCAAGGATTGTATCAGAAATAATATTGAGATACCCGTCCCCAACAAAAGAGGCTCTGTACAAAAATAGGAAGTATGAAAATTTTAGAAAAGATGAGAGTAAGTCCATTCCTTTGGTATCCCAACTAGCAAAATTACCTTAATGGGTCTCTAAAATCAGATATTTTCTTTTTTAGAGCTCCTTTAAAAGGAACCTAGAATATTTTTGTAACAATTGACTCACTATGAATACTGGAAACCGGGTATATACAACGTTTTGTATATACAGGTGTTTATCATTGACAACTTTCATTTTTTTCATTTCACACTGAAAAGGATTCCCAAAATTTAGGGTCCACCTCCAGACTGTTTTCAATCATTAATCCCTTTATGAATTCCTTCCTGCAGAATAAGTCTGCACTTGCCTTTCCTTTATCAAGTAATAAAGACCACAAATGATCATGGCTCATTTTATTTCCTACCTGCAACTACAGGTTACACTTTAGCCCCTGATAAGTATCACAATTTCTCTCCCCCAACTCCAATAATTTAGTAACTCAAAGTTTCAGTAAGTACACCATTTGCTCTAGTTCCTCTTAACCACAAAGGAAGTTGACTACTTGTGGCTTCCGCTACTTCAAAAATCTCTAACATAATCTTGTACATTTAAAGTCAACCAGAACCAGGGACAATCATAATACCCATGAGCTAAACAAGAAAGTTAGAAGTCTAAGAGCTTTTTCTTAGAGATTTAAGTGAAGAACATGCTAGGTGTTAGTAGACAGTTCAAGAAAGGTCTCTGGGAGTTAAGTCCTAAGAAGGATAATAACTAGGAGAGTATGTATCAAACATTTGCTACATAAAAGTACTATGCTAGGGGCTTTATATACTCATTTAATACAATAGTTTAGGATGTAGGTACTGTTGACCAACTGTCTTATCAAGATGAAGAAGCTGAGGCACCGAAAAGTAAAGTTTCTTGCACAAGCTTACAAAGTTACAAAGCAGTGGAGCTTGGGATATCGGGTCAGAGTCTATTTTCTTTTTTAAAGATTTATTTATTTATGCATACAAGAGCTGGGGTGTAGGCCAGAGGTTGTTGGGGGGTGGGTGAGAGGATTCACCAGAGACAGAGTGGGGAGCAGAACAGGCAGATCTACTTAAATACACTGCTGAGGGGAACAACGGGCAAGACAGGAGAGGTCTGCTGCGCCATGTGGGTCACCTCCCTGTTCGGCTGGGGAATCGAACTCCGCTGGGCAATCAAATTCCTGCTGCAGTGGCTGGCATAGTTTAATAGCTTGATAGCACTGTCTTTAACCCCTGCGCCACCAGGGAGGCCACACGCAGTCTATTTTCTTAAAGATTAGGTGATACAGCTAGCCTACCAGCAAAATGTGTAAAGAAACCAATGATTAGATAAATAAGGCCATGCTTTACTTCAGAGAACTTTCGTTAAGTTATGTCTTTGGACCACTTTTCAGTAGAGAGCTTAAGCTGACGTTATCATGTAAATATCATTTACATGATTTCATTAAATATTGTATCAAGCAGTATGAAGCCCCACTGTCTCTAATGCTTAACAAACATTTTGTAAGGGGAAAAAACCTTGAAAGACAAGTGCAAAATCCAGCTAAACAAGTAATTTGAATATGGAGCTACGATCACAACTATGCAGGTTAAAATCTCTTCCCTTATTTTGGGTATCTTTTCAAAACTCTGCAGTGATTGAACTATAAGTTTTTTTATTTTTTAAAAATTCATTATAAGTTTTTTTTTTAAAGATTTATTTTTATACAAGAACCGGGGTACAGGCCAGATGCGTTGGAGGGTGAGAGGATTCACCAGAGACAGAGTGGGGAACAGAACAGGCAGACTGACTGAAATACACTGCTGAGGGGAGCAGCGGGCGCGACAGGAGAGGTCCGCCGCGCCATGTGGGACCCTCGCTGGCTAGTTGGGATTGAACCGGCGCTGCAGAGGCTGAAGACAGCTTCACAGTGTGGCACTCAACCGCCTGCCACACCAGGGAGGCCCTCATTTTAAGTTTTTATTACTGAGTATGTGCTGTCTTTTGCTCTCCCCCTCAGAGTAGGGATTAACGTAAGCCATCTTGCTGGAGGAAGTGCCAACTAATTCTATCTTACCATTACAATACTCCAGCTCAATCAGCAGGGTGGTATTGTCCATGAAATGATTGTAGTAGGCAATAATGTTGTCATGCTGCAGCAGCGCCAGAATAACAATCTCATTCAAAGCATCACGACGTTCCTTCTCAGATAGTCGGGTCAAATCAACTTCCTTCCACACAACCAATGAGTCATCCTACAACACAGCAATAGAGGTACCGTGCTTTTTTTCTTTCTCCTGGCAAAGAAGGCATCCATATCTGGGACTGTAAGCCTACAGAGAAAGCTTCCTAGATGGACAGAGACTGACTCCTTTTATTTTTTTCCTTTAAACGAAACAATAAACAAACTTTAGTTAATGGTTCTGCATACAACTGGTCATCATAATTTACTATAAAAATGAGAAAAGTAAAGTATTAAGACTCATATATTGTTGTAGCTAGATGGAGAAAGATCTTAAAGATTCTATTGAGGGACATATGACAGATTGCTAGTCATGATGAGGACTGTAGTAGGGCTACAATAAAGGAGTAACTGAGAAAGCAGACAGCGGTTACCTACAGCTGCCCAGTTTCTTGTCAAATAGAGATATTAAACTTGCCTCATATTTTACAAACTTAAACTTCTCTAGTACCTTTCACTTCCCCTTTCTGGATTAATGTCAGGTCTAAAGGGTTTATTTCCCTCACCCTGCCCCATTCTGCAACTCTGTATCTCCTGTCACTTGATGGATGGCTTTCCTCTTTAGTGATGAAAACTTACCTGCAGCTCCCAGTGTCCACACTTACATCTTATTCTTTACTGATACCGCTCTCCAGTCCAAACGCATCCTCACCTAAATAACCTTCCCTTTCCTTTAGAAACAGCTCTGCTTGGCCTTTAATATTTCTTTTGAAGACTGTGATGAATCTTCTGTACATTTATTCAGTGCAACCACTCCCTTAATTTTCAGAGCTCATACACTGAAATGGTATTTGTCCATTCTTTCTCATTTGTATACATAACTTAAATTCTATTTATTTACTAACAGGGTTAAGCTGTCTTCCAAATGAAATACAAGCTGTTGAAAGGACAGCTTCTAGCAAACCTTTGTAAAGTCACAGATCACATATCACAGGGGCTGTAGATAATGCTGTGCAGTTCTGCGATAACTGCATCTATCAGTGTAATAAAATTTAACTTAGAACCTCAGTAACCATAATGGAAAGGTATATAGGCAAGGAGATCTAAAACTCCATTGTAATCCAAGATTTACTTGTAATTTAAGTGGGGAAGTGACTTAAAATATACCCTTCGTTTCCTTAACTATAAAAAAGGAATTACCAGTGTTTAGCTCCTCTTTTTAATGTTGTGAGTACAAATAAGAAAGCAGAATACTAACAGTAACTCTAGCATCATACATTAATGCTGTTTTAGGATAAAAAGGAACAAAGGCATCCTCTTGCCACCACTGCTTTCAGCTTAAATATGCTGCAGAACTGCAGGTAGTTCACTGATGGAGAACCACCTTTGAGATCCCAGCAAGTTCTCATTAAATGATTAGCTAGCTATTCTATAGGCAGAGTTTTAAGACTTGAGTGATCTAACCCGGTTTATGGTTAGTTTTTGAAAGTGGTCACCACTATGAGTTTCAAATCAGCATTCTTAAATGATCCACTTATCTCTTCAAAGGACGTGTATATAGGCAAACGTGGATGGCAGGGGATTACGTTTACATTAGGTTCTCACGGGAGCCCTGGTCCCTCCAAAAGTTAAGAACTAATAGCTTAGAATATATCAAAAAGTAGTTCCAATGCATAAAAGCTGCTGGATAAACACCAATGAAGACACCAACACAGGGCGCTTTCCCCAGTGATCCTCAAGAAAAATTTCCAACCGAGTGTTCATATGTGAACTTAAAGAAAATAGAAAAGACAGCTAAGCTGCCCCTTAAGGGGGGATTCTGAAGCTGTGCCCTGCTCCCCACCCTCATCTGAGGGAGCGGTGCAGCCCGAAAGGAAGGAAGTCCTGGCACTACCTCACATGCCTGGGCCACTTCAAAAGCAGTTTGCAAAGACCTTCGTTTCCTTCCCCAATAACCCCAATAACATTAACCATGAACGATTATTTTGAAGCCAGTGAGGACTAACCCCATTTCACAGATGGGGAAAGTCAGGCTCAGGGAAGGATCAACGACTCGCTCGGTTCTCCGGGTTAAACAAAAACGACCGGGCACGGAAAGCAGCGCTCTCCAGGCTCCGCAGAGCCGCGCACCGCGGAGGGGCCGCGCCCGGGCCGGGGACCCGGGGGGCCGCGCGCTACGCGGGGGGCGGCGCGGGGAGAGGGCGGGCTCGCGGCGGCGCAGCGGGGCCGCTACCTCGGTGCGGCGGTACAGCGTGGCCTCCCCGAAGGCGCCGCGGCCCAGCACGCGGATGGGGATGTAGTGCAGCTCCTCCTGCTCCACCGCGCCGCCGCCGGCCCGCGGCCCCGGGCTGGCGCTGGGCCCCGGGCCCGCGTCCCCGCCACCTCCGGACTCGCTCCCGAAGTCCGAGTTGATGGAATCGCAGTGTCGCTCGTACTCGCCCAGCACCGACATGGCGGCGGCGGCGGCGGGGCCGGCCCGCGAGTCCCGCGCGGCGCCTCTCCGGCCTCAGACCCCGGCCCGCGGCTCCGTCAGCCCCGCCACCCCGCGAGCGGCCATGGTGGCTGCGCTCCCCTGCCCCGGAAGCAGTTCCGGGCGCTTCCGGCCCGCCGGGGTGGCCTCCGCCTTCGCGGGGCCGCGAGCCGCGGTTTCCCGCCCGCGGGGAGAGCGGGCTTCGGGGTGGCGGGCGCGAGGGGGCGCCGCCTGGAGCCGAGGGCCCCGGCAGGGCCGGCGCGTCCCCGACGGGTCTGGAAACCCGCCCCCGGGGCCCTGGCCGGGTCCCCAGGCGGCGTCGAGGGCCGGAGGTCGCTCCGTCTCCTCCGGGCGCCGGGCTTATCCCCCGGGTCGCGCCTGGCCGTCCAGCGGCGGGCCCCGCTCCTCTGGGGGCGACGGCGTGCTCGAGGCGTTGCGGCGAGCCGGGCTGTCGGCCTCCTGCCTGCGCAGCTAGTGGGTCCAGTTGTTTCTCCCACGACTGTCCTAGGGCCTCCCTTTCCCACACAACTCCAAAAAGTTTTTGGGTTTTTTTTTTTTAGGTTTATTTATTTATTTATTTATTTATTTATTTATACAAGCACTGGGTACAGTCAGAAGCGCGGGAGGGTGAGAGAATTCACCAGAGCCAGAGCGGGGAGCAGAGCAGGCAGAAGGACCGAAGTACACTGCTTAGGGGAGCAGCGGGCGGCAGGAGAGGCCTGCATGCCATGTGGGACCCCCCGCCCTGCAGGCGGGGATCGAACTTGCGATCGAACTGGTGCTGCAGAGGCTGCTGGCAGCTTCGAAACCCAGCGCTCAACCGCTGCGCCCCTCCAGAAATATTTTCGAACTGGTGCTGCAGAGGCTGCTGGCAGCTTCGCAACCCAGCGCTCAACCGCTGCGCCCCTCCAGAAATATTTTAAGCCAACTCTCCTGACACTCTCTTTCACTCCCCAGACTTTTAAACATTATCCTTCTGCGTTTATTCCCGTCTTTGATCATCAGATTTCATGCCGCGTTCTTTGTTGCCAGACACTGTGTATGGGGAATCTACTATAAGACGCTCCTTACCCTCAAGTCACTAAGAGAATTGCAAAGTGAAAAAACGTGTTCCATCAGTTTTGTGACCTGGGGCAACGTCACATCTTCCAGCTTGTTTTTTAATCTGTAAAGTATGGGAATATGGCCTACATGCAGAGATAAGATAACATTTATTGTGTTATGTTCCTGGCACTATGCTAAAGGTTTTCTCTCTGTATTATCCCCACTCAGTCCTCATATTATTTCCATTTTACAAAAGAGGCTGAGGGCCTCCCCGGTGGCACAGCGGTTGAGCGCTGGGTTGCGAAGCTGCCCGCAGCCTCTGCAGTGGCAGTTCGATCCCGGGCCGCCAGGCAAGGGTCCCATATGGCGCACAGACCTCTCTTGCCACCCGCTGCTCACCCTAGCAATGTACTTCGGTCCTTCTGCCTGCTCTGCTCCCTGCTCTGGCTCTGGTGAATTCTCTCACTCTCCTGAGCTTCTGACTGTACCCAGTGCTTGTATAAATAAATAAATCAATCTTAAAAAAAAAAAAAAGAGGCTGAGATACAAAGATGTTAAGTAACCTGCTCAATGTTGCAGTTAGTAAGAAGGGCTGGGCCTCAAACCCAGTAATAAGGCTTCGGGTCTCTCTTGGAGGGCATGGGTTGAAGCTAAGAGAAGGTCTTGTGGAGAGCTCAGCTTCTTGTGGGGTAGAGGCAGAAGATAGGGCCTCAAATGTTTATTTTTTAATAGAGTTTGACTTCCTGTGAGCAATGGAAAATGATCGGAGAGTTTAGAGAAGGGGACTATTGACTCTGTGTCCCCATTTGCTGAGGAAGCTCCAGTTTAAGCCTTTCCCTCCAACGTAATAAAGTCTTTTTTGCTTAAGTGTGCAGCTCAGACAATAAACAATATGGTCACTTTGCATAAGACCAAAGTTAAATTTTACAAAGAATTCTGGTAACAATTTGGAGGGCAAAGACTGGATGGAGGTAGAGAGTTTATTAGCCAATTTATATTCCAAGAAGAGACATTGAGGTCCTATCAGTGTGAGTGGAGGGAGATCCAGAAACTCAAGAGGTTGCATCTAAGGAACATTTAGAATGTTGTGATCCGCTCGGATAGGCAGATTTGAGAGTCAGATGTGAAATTCCCAGAGAGTCACTTTTATGTCTTTAACTAGGTGGATTGTGATAGCAAATATAGGAGGAAACGAATTGGTGGAATTGGGTGAAGGGTATGAGCGCTTAATGAGTTCATGTTCTTCTGACTGCTACAATTCATCCGCATTCCTTTTATAGTGTGATTATTCTACACTCCACTGCTCCACATTGGATCTGAATTAGATTTCTGTCTCTCTTGATCTGGACCTCATGTTTCTATTAATGTACCACCTTCAGATGATGGTCAGCTTATGCTGTGCTTATGCTTAGCTAAATCTCCAGCTCTTTTACATCCAATCTAATTCAAAATAAAACCACCCCCCATCACCTCTTATTTTTTCCCACAGTGCTTATCTGTAAAATACTGGCGTCTCATTTATTATTTATTGACTATCTACATTCACTAGAATATGAAGTCCACAAGAGCCTGATTTTTACAATTATTTAGTTATATATCATTACTACCTAGAAAGTATTTATTATGGGCATAAATATAGTTTGTTGAATATCATGTTGCTGCTATCACATATGTATGTTCAATTTGTTTCATGTTATTGTTATAGATTTTTTTTGAACTTTCATTCATTCAACAAACACTGAGTACCAGCTTGTACCAGGTGCTGGATTACAACAGAGAACAAAATAAACACGATTCCTACTCCCAGGGAGTTTACAGTACATGTAACCACCACCCAGGTAATTATAACAGTGTGTAAGTACTATTATAAGGAAAGTACAAGCTTCGAAATAGACATTCAGAAGGGGCTTTTTCCAAGTCAAGCGTCCCAAGTTAGTGAAGACATCCTGAAGGAACAGCCAACACATAAGTCAGTGACAACTACCCAAAGTAAGGAGATCATTCCAGAGAGGCTATTTCATCTACTCTTTGTTTAGAAAGCACTATGAGGATAGGCATTGCTTCGTATCTGGATATACATTACCCAGAATAAATGTTCAATAAATTTGTTATTAGCAAACAGAATGGGAAAAAATGATCACTTAAAATCTAAGTGGTGACTTTCAGAGAAGCTGAAGGTGTCAAAGATAAAATTTTATTTTTTTAGCATCTTTTGCAATGAGGAACTAGATAATTTTCTACAACTTAGTCTGAAATTACAAATTGTTTGTGATAATAGTTATTGCCTGAAATTGTGAATTTAGTAATAGAAATCATAAATAAATGTCCTGTCACATCTTGGAGAAAACAGAAACACTTATGTTGTTATTCATTATATTGAATACAACTGAAACATATGTAACATTTTAATATTCAGAGTAACCCCAGAAATACTCAAGATTTATAAGGCATAACTGATTATAAAGTGCCTTTGGTCAAAAATGGGTATTTCCAGATTATATTCTAACAAATTAGTTAGGAAGCTACATAGTGAAAGCTCCCACTTGTGAATGGCAGATCCTCAGGGCTGAGGAATTACTGTAAAGATTTAAGAATCTACTGATGTACCAGGCAAGGTCTATCCTTCACTGTTCTGGATGGTAGCCACTGGCTACACATGGCTGATGAGCATTATGGCTAGCCTAAAAAGATATGTGATTAAGCTGTGAAATATGCACTAGGTTTCAAAGAATGTATGAAAATAGTGTATAAACTACCATACAAATACTTTTATATTGACTACATGCAGAAATGCTATTTTAGATCTATTAGTCTAAATTATTAAATTTTACCTTTTTAAATATGGAACTGGAAAATGTTCAATTACACATGAGGCTGTCATGTGGGACACCACTGCGACAGACTGAATAACATGTCTTATCACTTAAGAAATGACACATTCATAGAGTTTTTTAAAGATTGATTTATTTATGCATACAAGAGCAGGGTACATGTAGGCCAGGTGCGGGATGTGAGAAGATTCTCCAGAGACAGTGAGGAGCAGAACAGGAGACACCAATACACACTGCTGAGAGGAACAGCAGGTGGGCAAGACAGGGGAGGTCTGCTGTGCCATATGGGTCAGCTTCCTGGCTAGGGATCGAACTCATGCTGCAGTGGCTTCCAATACCTTCACAGTAATGAGACTTAACCCCTTGTGCCACCAGGGAGGCCCAGACTATTAAAGTCATTTATAAGTTTTGCCGAATTCATGTTCTCAGAACATCAGTGGAAATAACATTTTTGATGTTAAAATATTTATACCCAATTATCGGGAGCCACTACTTTTATAGATTGCAGATTCACTAACAAATTTGTTTTTTGGGGGAACGAAGGTGGGTAAGTAACAGCTCACCCAGTGAATGTGCAGAGCATTTCATATTCACACTCTTGGAAATGCAGCTTTAATTTGCAAGTAATGAAAGGAGAAAATGGCCTGTACCTGCTGTGATAGGGTGTACACAGAGGTGATAAGCCAAAAAAAAGTAGTCCCAAGAGGTTTTAAATTGGAAGGGGAATTTTAAGAATGGAGGCATAGGAGAAAACTTTTTCTAAGAAAAATTTCAATAGCAGTTTCCAAAATAGAGAATGGCTGATTTAACAGACCCCCTATTTGGTCTTTCTGAAGATCTGTATTGTTTCAATATACATATAATCTGTAACAAAAATAATAGACATTTACTAATTCACATAAACTTTACCCATCTGGAGTAAGTTATGGACACTATTATTTTCTTTTTTTTTTTTAAAGATTTATTTACTTATTTATACAAGCACTGGGTACAGTCAGAAGTGCGGGAGGGTGAGAGAATTCACCAGAGCCAGAGCAGGGACCAGAACAGGCAGAAGGACTGAAGTACACTGCTGAGGGCAGCAGCGGGCGGCAGGTGAGGTCTGCGCGCCATGTGGGACCCTCGCCTGGCGGCCGGGGATTGAACTGGCGCTGAAGAGGCTGTGGGCAGTTCTGCAACCCAGTGCTCAACCGCTGCACCACCAGGGAGGCCCTGGACACTTATTTTCTAATTCATCATGTTTAAGTTGCTATACTTTAACACTGAGGCTATGAAGGAATTATTGCCAGTCCAGAGAGGTACTTAAAACAGAAAATACACCTGAAGTGTTTTCTGCTAGCCTTTATTTGAGAAAATTTACACAAAAATCCCCAATCCAACACTTAACAAGTTAATCTATAAATCCCACATGCCTCTTTCCATTAAACAGAAAAATGGCTTATGACAATGGTGTAACGAGGCTTGTATCATTCTTATTATACAGACCATGTTGAACAATAGGCTCAAAAATGGAAGAAAGCAGCTAAAATCCTCATTTTCAAAGCTAATTTGCTCTTACACTAATCTATCAAAGGCAATAAGTTTACTTTTTAGACAAAATCCAGGTGTACTATTATAATGAACTTTAAACCCAAAGCACAAATGTCTGTGTTGGTAGTTTTGGCATAAGTAAAAGGAAAGGACATGGAAACATTTCAGTTTCACAAAGTCACATCTGGCAATGAAAACATCAACAAAATAAAATACTCTCCTCTCCTATCTTCTTTGACATTTTGTCAGAGTAGAAGACTGTAACCAACTGAATTGTTTCCATTGCTTCTATAAAGGGGGAAAGGCACCAGTCAGAAATGTTAAAGCGTTATCTTGTTAGATTAATGGTAGAGGACAGAATTTCACTTTCAAACATCTTAAAGGTGAATCTTAACCTAGGATTTGGTGGTAATTTTCCCTACTTGGATGCATCCTCCATCATTCAGTATGTGTAATATACCACAGATAGCCTTTCTCAAATCTGCTGTCCTGTGGTGAGGATTCTGCAGCCAGGTTGTCAGAAGCAGGGCCTACCGGATCTTAACAGCAGATGGCGATGTCGCACAAGTTAATAAGAACCACTTTGCTACACCAGAGGAATTCATACAGGAAGTAAAAGTTTTGGGTTCACAGTAGCATTAACAGAACAGCTTGAGATTTTAACAACACATTTCACTCCCTCTTCCACCTTTGTATTTTATCTAGTCATCAAAGCAGTATTTGCTATTAATTCTAGTGGGCTACTTCTTCACTGCAAACTGCATGGCTCTAAGCCCTGCATTTCTTTTCTTTTTTTTTTTTAAATAGAGGCATGTTTTTTATTTATTTATTTATTTGGTTGGTTGGTTTTTTTTTGTTTATACATGCACTGGGTACAGTCAGAAGCGCAGGAGGGTGAGAGAATTCACCAGAGCCAGAGCGGGGAGCAGAGCAGGCAGAAGGACCGAAGTACACTGCTGAGGGGAGCAGCGGGCGGCAGGAGGGGTCTGCGCGCCATGTGGGACCCTCCTCTGGTGGCCGGGGAGCAGCCGGGGATTGAACCGGCGCCGCAGAGGCCGCGGGCAGCTTCGCAACCCAGCGCTCAACCGCTGCGCCACTGGGGAGGCCCTCTAAGCCCTGCATTTCTTGCCACTATGATTAGACGAGCCCTGTAACAGTCAGAAGAGTTCAAATAGAGATTACAGAAAGGACAAACTGCTACCCATTTTCTTAGGAAAGGCGGGGAGGGGGGATGTCAAGTGATAGTATTCTTCATAACTGCTTATGAGTATGTCCATCTGTATCAACACTTTCTCTTATTCCCATTAGTAATGGCCTGCAGGCACCTCATATGCCAACAGTGATTCTTTGCTATCCTCACCTATGTGCAAGTTTCTTTATACCTTGTATGTCTTAATTCTTCAGCTGAAACACATTAGGGTAAGAATTAAGTTAGTGACTAGCACATAAAAAGACTTCGTGAACTACTTATTTTCCTCAGTAGATGTTATAAGTTTAAGCAACCACATATCTGACATACATCTAGGACTTACATCTAGGATATATAAGGGACTCTCAAAATGCAACCGTAAAAAGGACTCTAATTAGAAAATGGGCAAAAGACAAGAACAGGTATTTCACTAAGGAAGATACGTAGATGACAAGCACATGAAAAGATGTTCAACATCATGTGCCATTAGAAAAATGCAAATTAAAATCATAATGAGGTATCACTACACATGCCTATTAGCATGACAAAAATAAAAAATAGTAATGATAGCAAATACTGTGCCTGCTTAATTAGCACATATAATAGCAAATAGTGGTGAGGATCTGAAGAAAGTGAGCCAGTCGTACATTAGCGGTGGGATGTAAAATGGCACAGCTACTCTCTGGAAATAACAGCAATTTCTAACAAAAATTAGTATGTGCTTACCATCCAATCCAGCAATTTGCCCTGGGGGGCATTCATTTCCAAATTAAAATTAAAATTATGTTCACATAAAAACCTATATACTAATGTTTACAGCAGCTTTATTAGCAATGACCAAAACCTGAAAACAACCCTGATGTCCTTCCATGGGTGAATGATTAATCTGGGGTACATCCAGACCATGGAACACTACTGAGCAACAAAAAGGAGCAAGCTATTGATACATGCCAACACTTGGATTTCCAGGGAATTACAGAGTGAAAGGTCAATCTCCAAAGGTTACACAATGTATGATTCCATTTATACAAGATTCTTGAAATGTCAACATTACAGAGATGGAGAGCAGATTAGTGGTGCCAGAGGCTGGAGAGAGGAGGCTGTGGCACAAAGGACCCATGTGATCTAACTGTTGTGCATCTTCCGATGGTGGGCACATGAATCTGCACAGAGCTAAATACACACACACCAAAAAAAAGTTCAGGCAGTTAAGCACAAATATTTAATTCTCTAAAAATGAAAATTTCTTTGTTTTCTATAGTTCAAAACTTATTTCTATGTGGTGTCACATCCATCTCCTTTTAAGAAACATAAAATTATGAAAGGATACCACCAGAAGCTACCTAAACATTCAACCAGGAGAGAAAGTTAAGGGTATTGCCACGAGAAATCCAAGGAGAACAATTAGAAGAAAACAAGTTCAACATGGTCGTACAAATCTTGGTAAAGGACCCAGTGCAGAAGCCCAAGCTGATGAGTATGTGGAGAAGGAAAAAACATGGTTCAAACAGATCACACGAGGAAACCCAGTACAAATGCTGGCTTTGGCGTTATCTAGGTAACCCCTACATTTTGTCATAGGTGACTTTAATAATAGTCCTATTGTTGCAAAACCAGTCCAAATCCTACCAAGTTAAAAAGCGGTCCCTCACTGATTTGTTGGGTGGAGGTGGGAACCCAGGTCCTCCCACGGTGAAAGAGATCAGTTCCAGCAAGAAAGCTCCGATGTGCCTCAATGGTGCTTCTGGTAGGATGCCGGAGGCCAGGCACATCCCAGCGGTGTTCTGTGGCTGAGATACAGGTGGGAGGAGACTGGGTCTTATTACTCAATCAACTTCTTGGCCTTGAAGAAGCGACGCAGGTAGAAAACCTGCCAGGTAGCTAGTCCGATGAGACAGAACATTGAAAAGATGCTGAAGTACAGGACCCGAGTGTTTGTTGATTCTAAAAAAACCAAAAACAAACAAAAAATGTAATGAAGCGAGGCTCTGCAAGTGAATCAAGAGTGTTGGGGGCAGTAAACGAGGCAATTAATAACCTTCACTATGTCCCTGGGCATAGCTGGCATTTCAAATAATTTTCCTTTAAATTTTCATTATATGTAAATGTTAAATTTACAAAGATCAGTTCTATCAATTTTGATATACTATAAGCAAACTGAGAATATGGCCAACTGCATAGCACAGAAGAAATTCCTATTCCCTTGAAAATCTAACAAGGGTCACTTACCTATACTAGCAACAACAGTGAGGTAAGCAATTATTCTTCCATGTACCTCCCCACCTCCCACTTGCCCCACTTTGGCAAAACTGAGAAAGGGTACACCAGAATTTATAGGTTGGGGATCTGTCTCCTTTATGAATCCCTGAGAGAAACAAGAGCTGAGTTCTCTCACCATTGGTATCACGCATCTCCTCCTCACGCTTCTTCATGTAGGCGAAGTCATTAACGATAGATTCTGAAAGGTCTTCCAGGCGTCGCAGCTCTACTTCTAAAGGTTTGAGCTTCTCAACCTTTGCAATCTGGGAAAGAAAGGAATTATAAACCTACTCCCTGAGAAATATGCTGTGGTCAAGAATACAACAGAGGAACGTTGACCAGTTTTACCAAACTTAACATCTCTCCTGTCATCATTCTAACACTTTTTGACGTTTGGGTGTCTTCCCTTCCCTGCAAATTGTGTTTCCATCTCAGGCTTTCTTTACACTTTACTTTTGATTAAAACCTTTAAAAAACATAGTATGGTAGACTGTAAAGTAAGATGTACTGTTTCTCGCAGCTTTCAGAACCAAATAAAGCACTTTATTTTGTTCTATTCATGTCTAACACATAAACATTATTATTAGTACAATAAACACAAGAGTCATAACATTAAGTCAAATGTTGTTTTAGAAGAAAAACTACTGGATTCCCCATAGGGAATATATAGGAACGAAAGACTATATATGACTACAGCATTACAATAATACTGCCAACTACAAAATCAGGGAATTCTGGTTTGCTCATTTAAATCCTATAACTACTGTAAGGTTTCTATAACAGCACCAGAGCCCAGAGGAATCCTAGGTTGTCTTAAAAAATAAAAAAAAAGGGTACTGCAGTTTTTTTCTCTTTTAGAATTACACCATTATCAGACGAAATCTCCAAGGAGTTCTCTGTATGCCAAGGAATAATGGATGTGAAAAAGAAATAAACTATCTTCCTTTCTCAACCTAGATCTCTGTGAAACCGCCAGGAGTATCTAATAACTAGAGGTTTATTATAATAAAAAGTTCATTATTCTATTTGTTTTTCTTATCAATCAGACTATAATGTGGGATTATATTTAAAATGGGAATATACCATCAGAATTTTCCAGATCTTAAAAATCCTGTGTACCAGTTGCTCTTAAATTTTTCCACATAGGGAATTCTTCAATTCTTTTTCTACATTTGCATCTTTACTTCCTAAGTTACCATATATTCCCTACAGAACTTTCCTTTTTGGGGTCCAATCTACCTTGTTCCTTTTCTGTTGTTTACAATTAACGCAGGATGAATAAGTGTGTTCTTATGTTCTCTTTGCTTATCTATTGTCTTCACTAAACATGTGAAGAACAAGACAAAGTCTATTTAAAATTATGAAAAATGAAACTGCTGTTAAGATAGGGGTATAAAAATTGAGTTTATATATAAGGTACATAAAGAGCTGGATCTGCAATGATCCACTTCAGTTTTCTTACACCAGATATTCATTTTCTAATATGTCTAAAATGTTGACTAGAGTTAATGACTTGACTGCTGGCAGCAAAGTAAGAGTAAAATTAACTGAATATAAGATTTAACCAGTTGGTTAACACATTGTGCTAACAACTCTCCTGCTAACTGCACAAATGCCACATTTTACCATTAATCTAGAATATATATCTGTTGATTAATTTCTTATAGAACCACAGAGCAAAGATATTCCCTGGAAAAAAAGATACCAATACTAGAGATATCTACTAAGCTGAACCTCAGTTTGTTTAACATTTTCCCTCCTGGTCTATATTCCCCCCTCCAAAACTTCCTAAATGAGGCAGTATAAAGGCAAATGCCATGACAGTTTTTTAGTGATAAATGATTTAAGGCTCCCTAAATAGCAACTTGCAAAAGGAACTGGAAGTGAAACTATGGCTGTGCCTTTGCCAGCTGAAAACAGTATTTTAAAAAATTACTTCGAAAACTACTACTTTTTTACTTAAATGACATTGGACCCCCAAAACCTGTTTCAAATCCTTTTCCTTTTGTTGTTTATTTTTCAGCTGTATAAGCAATGTAGAATTATGTTCTCCTGGTAAAGCTGTTACACTGCTCAGAAGCAGGAAAATCAAAACCATAAAGCCCACCTTCTTAGGTCCTCAATTCTCACACATTCCTTCTCTAAGGGAACCATGGTTAATGAACCTATTTTTATCTTTTCAGTCCTTGTTAGAAGATACACACTATGCTTTTGCATAGTAAGTACACATAGAAAACTATGACTAGAAACCTATTTGTAAGTGGGATCATATTGTATACACTGTTCTCCAGCTTGCTTTTTTCATTAGTAGGATCTTTCCAAAAACTTCAGTGCTTATTCTTTTCAACCGCTGCATGGCTTCCATACGACATATGGGCCATTATTTCCTTAATCATTCAATTCCCAACCCCTTTTCTAGGATAGGTCCTACTCCAGGTTCTATACCTCTATTCACAGAACAGCCCAATTCCTATCTTCCAATGAAATCCTTACTCAATTCTGCCTTTAATTCAGTAAATTATTTTCAAATTTCTGAGTATGATAAAAACCTCATTTCATAAAAACAAACAAAAAAACCCCTCTCCCTGATACCTGCCTTTTTCTTGATACTAATTTAAAATCTAGGGAACTAAAAGAAACACCATGAAACTTAAAACTGTCAAAACCAACTTGCTGTTTCAACCATCTAATACATCAAGAGTACTGAATGGTCAACAGCAACAATAATGGATCTAGTTCCACATTTAACCTAAACCTAGAGATAAAAACAAGTGCAAAATTTGTTGTTTTTAATCTTTTAAGACTCCAACCACAAGGTTTTTATGTGTGCTCATTAGGTGCACAGCACCAAGATAAACTATAATCTCCATCCTAAGATGCTCACATTCCGGTGGAGAGGCTCACATGAAAAGCTATAATAAGGCATTATGTGTTATACATGCACAAAAAGGTTCACATCAAAAGAGGAATGAAAGGTGGCGTGAGATTAATTACAGTTGGAAGGATACAGGAAAGCTTAACAGGAAGTGGGAAAGTTGGCTCTCACAAGCTTTTTGACAGAGATGAGAGAATTCAAGGCTGAGGGGAATCTGCAAACCGAAACATAGGAATGTGCTTATGTTTAGGACACCGTGAGTAGAAGAGTCTGTCTGATGTACTAGGAGCTAGAGGGTGTGTGTACCCGCACGTGTATGCATGCCTGCACTCGTTTCCACACACACTGTGCTTGGGGAAAGGTGGTGGGTAACAGCACATATAAGGCTCAAAAGGAAGGCTGCAGTTAAATTAGGGAAGATGAAGATGGTGGGAGTGCAAACCATGAGACCTAATAGAGTGTGTGTGTACTACATACACTCAGAACGTGATAGGTTTTTCTGTATTTTTGTAATCTCAGTTAATCCTCATAACCCTATAAAGCAAGTATTATTATGCCTAATTTTTTCTGATGAAGAAATTAAGGCTCAGATTCTAAATAACATACCGAAGGTCTCAAAGTTACTCTTTATTTTGTAGATACTACAAATCTGATGAAAACCAGATTGAGTGTCTACATTGAATTTTTTCTCAGTCAAGGGTGAGGTGAACAAGATATATCAAGATGCAAAGATCTGGTTAAGTTGTCCAGTTTATTAAACTCCCTAGGTTTCATATTGCTATCATTTTAATTTTTACAGACTAATAATGGTAAAATTTTGAAATAAATTATGTGTTTTCAGAGCAAAATGGACTGGAGTATGAATGCTCATGTGATCAAGAAAAATTACTGGGCCTCCCGGTGGCGCAGCGGTTGAGCGCTGGGTTGCGAAGCTGCCCGCAGCCTCTGCAGCACCGGTTCGATCCCCGGCTGCTCCCTGGCCACCGGAGGAGGGTCCCACATGGCGCGCAGACCTCTCCTGCCGCCCGCTGCTCCCCTCAGCAGTGTACTTCGGCCCTTCTGCCTGCTCTGCTCCCCACTCTGGCTCTGGTGAATTCTCTCACCCTCCAGTGCTTCGCACTGTACCCAGTGCTTGTATAAATAAATAAATCTTTAAAAAAAAAAAAAGACATAGACGGTTCAACATTAAAAAAAAAAAAGGAAAAATTACTAAAAAAAAGGAGGGGAGAGATAATGAGGAAAAACTGAAGAACCTCAACACCTCTCTCTCAAAAAAAAAAAAAAAAAAAGATCTTCACTGGAATTGTGAATTTTTGCATGGAATTCAAGTAACATGGGCTTGTTTCCATAAGAATTATTACCTTGGGAATCACTATTAATGATACTATGAGTTTCTATACTCAGTGGTAAAAAATAAAACAGTACAATAAACTCTACAAGCAGCATTTAAAAATAGAGTATACTTATTTTGCCCATGAATTATTTTCTTCTTAAAGGATTTCACATGGAGTCCAAAGGAGCTTCCCCTCAGTCCAGTCACACTGACCTCCCCGTCAGACTGCAGTGTATGCACATCTTTCGACTCTTGCACTTAGTGTTCGACATTTAACAAGAGTTAAAGGCAGTGTGTAAAAAAAAAAAGTAATAAAGACATATGTTGTGGGGGAGGAAAAACTGACGCCCTCCTCCCTTGCCTAGGACAAAGCAGCCAATTAGTGTGTATCACCATCGAGACTTTATGCACAGTCAGTATAAAAAGCTTACAAGAAAACCTCTAGCCAAATCTCACTGACTGTTGTTCTGCTCTTTTAAACATCTGATTTAATGTTTAAAGTGTCTGTATAAGTGTAAACCTATACATGTTTCAGAAAGGCAAGCCACGACTCTACTCTACTCTCTTGGATGAAAAGGAGGATGTGTTTTGCCAAGTGCTTGAGAAAATCACAGCCTGGAGAACAATGTGTCCACTAGGGGGCAGCATTACCTTGGTAGGTTGTATTCAGCCATTTAGGTAATCAAAGAATATTATAGATACAAAAACTTCCTTTTCCAATAAGTTACTCAGTCCTTTGGATGGCCAACCAGGATTAGCAGGAGCACTGTCTTTTAACTCCCTACTCAGGGATGCCAAAACGGCACAACTTTCCTATAAAATGCAGGTAATAAGGAAGCCCTGACTTCCAAAAGCACACCTGGCTCAATGTTATCAAAATACTACCTACCTTTGAAATCACAACCAATGAAGACTTTTTTAATTACTCCTATCCACAGATTTCCTCTCTCCTGCAGCCCCAGACTGTACCACACAATTATTACTCAACTCATACATTGTCATAGTCAATTGTTTTGATTTTTATCCTTTTTCCAACACTAGTTTTGCCCATGAACTCAAGAAAAATAAAATGTATACTTTGCATAGAGCCACATACCTAATACTCAGTAATTGCAGTGACTGACCTGTTAGGTCCATTCTATGCTTTCTTCAAAGACCCATTTTCTCATAGAAGTTGGTTAAATGGAAGCAAACCTTGTCTGTGAAGAGCATTCTGTTTCTGTTCTCACTCAGCATTCATTTTCATGAGGCCCTGTATCTAGGAAAATCCCCTCAATCACACCATCACTTTCATCTGCAGTGACAGGTACTATTTGTAGAAGCTACAAGTTATAAAGACTTTCCCTACAAACCTACAACACCTCCAAAAGAACTGTAAATTTCTCTTCTATCATATCCAAATGTTCCACTCCTCTAAGTGATTACTTTAATCTAAAGAGTTCAGAGAATCATATGTAATTATACCAAGGAAAGGTGTTAATGCTCTGAAAAACTGCTTCTTAAAACACAAGCTGAGGGGCTTCCCGTGGTGGCACAGCGGTTGAGCGCTGGGCTGCGAAGCTGCCCGCAGCCTCTGCAGTGCTGGCTCGATCCCCGGCCACTGGAGGAGGGTCCCACATGGCGTGCAGACCTCTGCTGCCCACTGCTCCCCTCAGCAGTGTACTTTGTCAGTCTGCCTGCTCTGCTCTCCGCTCTGGCTCTGGTGAATTCTCTCACCCTCCCGCGCTTCTGACTGTACCCAGTGCTTGTGTAAATAAATAAATAAATCTTTAAAAAAAACCAAAGTTCTACAATGATTTAAAAAAAAAAAAAAACCACAAGCTGAAATCAGCCTCTGGATAATTAGCAGATTTTTTTCCTTGGTGCAGCATTGAGACTGGAGGGAGAAGCTTCCTCCAGTGGTAAGCCAAATTCAAACCACTATTACCTCCATGTTCCCCACCACAGTCCCTGTGAATTCTAGAAGCACAGCAATAAATGTGAAGACCCAGTCTAAAACAAGATAAAGAAGGCAGACCTACGCTCAAGGGTGATCCTACTTGTGCACAGGGGTATGTGAATCATAGGCTTCTTCCAGATGCTCAAAAGGGTAACAACATGCCTAAATAAATCCAGATAATGCCACCAATCTTAGGACTAAATGACATTTAGCAAGTTCCTATTTTTTTCTGTTATATAGTCATTTGGTAGTTTCGAGAAAGGGGAGAGAAGGGAGCTAAAATCGACTAACTGCCAACTTACGTGTCAAGTGTCTTACCTGTGTTATTTAATTTACGTCAAAAAGGAATTTTGGATGTAGTATCAGAGCTGCTCCTTCCCAAGAACATTCAGATAAGAGTGACTGGAAGTTTTCAGCTGTTGCTCCAACTAGGGCAACTGCATTTTTGGTACATCTGTTCATAGCAAATAACAGACCAATGGAGCCCTCAGGCAAAAAAGGATTTTAGTTGTGTTGAAAATGCTGACAGCCACACAAGAAGGGACATACATAGCCCAGAAGTTAAAGGATGTGTTAGATAGCTCCTTCTGCAAACAGCTGTGCTAGTTCACAGACCACAAACTAAAAATAATTGGTTCAATTCCTATACTGATTCTACAAAGATATCCCTCACTAATGGGCAAAAGACAGTGGTAAGAGATCCTTGAGATACAACACAGGCAATCAAAAATGCTTTATTTCTGAGGACATAAGCTTTCTTTCCCTCTATGCTTCTTTACAATATGGCAAGCACCATCACCTTTCATTTGTACCACGTTTACACAGCAAATCTACACGTAGTTAACTGATGAAATTGCTCATAATAGCCTAGTGGGTGGTACAATATTCTACCCATCTATTCAGACACTGATTACTATTGAATTTTTTTGCAAGACCATGAAGGATTTCAGAAATATTAAGTCCACAAATGTGAGGGAGCTGGATGTAAAGGAAGTTAAGAATAGTGTCACCTTCTAAATACTGATGCCAAAGGGCCCAAATCCTCTGGAGATAAAGGTGCTCTAATTACCCCATGGGCCTGAAATTAAATGCCTCAAAAGCTCTACATATGCTCAGGGCTCTCTGGTAATTAGCCAGGTAACAATTGCTTCTAATAACCACATTCTTGTCATAGGAATTAGCCCAGAGACAACTGACAGCTATTTCTAAGCAAGAGTCAAGGGACCCTAACCATGACAGAAAGGAATGATCTTTGCTCTGTGTCATAACCACTCTTCCTGTCTCAATATGGTGCACTTTTTTTTTTTGGGGGGGGGTGAGTAAGGAGAAATGGTGAGAATGAGGGGGTCACTAAAGAAAACAGTGTAAGCGTTTCTTGATTAAGAAACAGAATTTTGAGCTGTATTGTAATAGTGAGTACAGATAAGGGTCTAGGCACACCCAGACTTCCAAAGCAGGAAGCAGGAAAAGGAAACCCTGTGGTTTTCTTTCTACTAGGGATTCCCCTTGTTGGGTTAAGAAAAAGGTCAGGAAATATAAAGACTCTTTCCCAATGTCAATAAAGTCCAAGGGTGATAGAAATTCCAGGAGGTATAGGGTTCTAAAATTCTACATACAGATATCTACGTCATTCTACATTCAAATCCATAATAATGTCATCTGTTTTAAGGAGAAAAATCTGTATTCAATATTAAATCAAGTGTTTTAATATTTAACAAATACCACCAATGACAGCCATCATGTCAAGGATAAACATTATTATCATGAAAAATTGCACAGTAGGAATTCAGTACTTGCTTAGAGTATGGTCTAAAGCTGAGGACAAGCAGCAGTAATTGAAAACTGAAAATCAATTTATCTATTCTTGTACCTCATAATAACGACAACACTTTTTTTAGTGTTTTATACTGTATGATAGCATTTAACATACATTTTCTTAAAATTTAATTCAGAATCTCCTGAACCATGAAAATTTTAAAGAATTTTCAATTTTATTCTTAAACTCATCAAATAAGTTTTACTTTACTTCTTTTAAAGTAGCTTGGAAGCAGAACCAAGCAATTCAAAGCATCCAGAATTGCCTGTTCCTATTTATTGTCTACAAACAACTCAATCTAGTTTTGTTCAACTGAACACTTGAACTAGAACAAAAAGGACAGGCCTGAAGAGCTGTAACTGTGCTACTGCTCCTGTTGCAGATCAGCTAGCTTTCCAGTCTCTTCCACTTTAGGGTATTTCCCTCCTAAGTCTTGACCAGAGGTAGAGCAACCTGTATTGCTTCATTTCTAGAAAATTCTCTTAAATCATTAAAAGCAAATTTACATTTCCTGTATCCTACTTCTTCACATTCTTGGGCACTACTGTAGACTCTAATCTGGGTAATACTCTTTACCTTTCTGTAAAGAACAATCTTCTGGTTTTAAATAGTTCTTGTGGTTTTTCAAAGGTGCTCCTCACTTAAAGAACCATTTTGTGCTATCCCCAAAGTCTCATAATAAAGATGAAAGAGGCTCAGCCCACTTCCCTTTCCTTCTATACATCTCTTTAACATCCAAATAAATGTCAGTCTTTATTCTCCGCAATCTACTTATCAGCAAAAATCTCTCTTCATTACTATTATACTAGTCTCTTGTAGTTTATTCTTCATCCTGCTCTCTTCCTTCAAAGCTTGAAATTATTTTAACTGAAACTATTTTTGTATTGTTTTTGAAAGCTAGCACAGTTGTTTAAGTGTAAACAGCAATGAACCCAAGCCCTAGATGTATGTGTGTGAGTACATGTATAGGCTCATGTGTGCACGTATGTGTGTGTGTGCGACACGCGCGCACACACACATATACACACACGCACAGCTGTCAGTTTGGGAATAAAAGCCTTAGGAATTAAAAAAAAAATCACTTTTCTTAGCCTTAGATGATAAATAAAAAAATTTCAGATTTTAAAATGAAAACTGCATGCAAAAAGAAAAAAAAAACACTACTCAAGAGCACTAATGACATAAATGTGTGTGTTTTATCACACCAACATTTCTGTGGGACAACTGGGTCAGTCCTTTAGTTAACAGCACAGCAAGAGTAATTGTTCAAGGTTGCTAATACAACTTTTGCATCAATAAGATTTTAGCTGGCTGTCATGTGACTGCTGAGAAAAGCATAGTTTTCTGGGCAAAGCAAAACCTGTTGGCCTGACTAGGTCACGGAAACCCTGTAGTGCAGCAGGCTACTGCTTCCTCTGGCTGTTGGAGCAGGGCATACCTCTTCGTAATTTTTCGCCTCCACGCCATGCTTCATGTCTAGGATCACGAGTTGGTCAGGTATCCGCCCTGTTCCTGTGAAAGAAATCAAAGGATTCATTGTGTAGAATATTTAAAATTCCGGGAAATCACCCACCTACTCTCCCTCTCCCCAACTCTACTCTCTCAATAGAGGGAAACAGCCGCAACTCCTCCCCCTACTCAGCTGCAGAAAATTCCTGGCTCTGGGTAAAATCACAAGCATTCCAGACAAAGCCTCTATCTGTGTGGGGTGCCGGAAAGTAACAAGAGCATGCTGCTGGCAAACATCTCTGAGCGGGCAGGACACAAGATACTGCAGCTGGTACTACAGAGGAGAGGCGATGGGAAAACACACAGGTTTACTGGATTAGGCACTAAATCACCAAAGTCAATAGTGTAAAATTTTTTGTATAGTATATAGGTAGTGGGTAACAACTTATGCATTTCCACATCTGTCCTATCAAATTCTGAGAGGTCATGCTCAACTAGGATTACTGGATATATGCTAAGCTGGGGTTTACTGAATACAAGTATGAGTACTGAAAAGAACAAAGGCTTAATTAACTATTATGCCACTTTAATTCAAACACTTACATAAATATAAGTGGTCTTACATTTACCAAAATGTAGTGGTCTTACATTTACCACTTACATGTACGACATACGACTACTCCCATAAAGTTCTTTATAAAGAGAATGGCCCAAGAAAAAAACTTTACAATAAAAGTACAATGCTCAGGGATGCTTCTGAGAGAAAGAATTGTCTGTTTGGGATAGTAAGGCCAATATTGCAACACAGCTATTAGAAAAGTTAATCCGATTCAGCGTGATCAAAATGGAATTTTAACCGTATAAAATTCTTCATCAAAGAGAAGAAAGGGGAAGACCCAAAGAGTCCTAGAGAACTGCTCAGCCCCAAACCCCTGGAATTCACCTGACTATATACAAACAGCCTGTGTGTTTTGGGAAACAGTGCCATGTAATCACTGAAGTGCTTAAGCCACTCGTGAAACTATAAGCCACAGAGAATGGTGCTGTATCTTCTCGTGCCTGAGACACTGCAGGTTTTCTGAAATGGCTGAAGTTAATCTAGAACTACTCACTGAGAATGCACTGGGTGCTAAAAAGTGTGCTGGAGTGTACAATCTCTACCTCTAAGTAGTTTGACAGGGATCTAAGACATTAATACACAGAACAGCTAAAACGAAAACACAAAACAGTATAAAACTTAAACTACCACAAACTGGTCCAGAAAATCCTAGTTGGGGAATTAAACGTAAATGGAGAGAAGAGATTAGACAGACTTCACAGAGGGAACACCTGCACACGGGACAAAGTATTCTAGGCAGAAGGCAAAGCATGGGCAAAGTCTCAGATACTAAAATGAGTATGGCATATTTAAAAGGCAGCAAAGAAGTTCTTCTGGCTCGATTAAAAAGATGAATTTGAAAGCAACAGAAATAAGACAGAATCGTTAGGATAAAGAACAAATGGAAAAAGTCATAGATGTCTTCTGAGCATTAAACCACTAAGTCTCTAAGAAACCTCCCCCACAAAAAAATGGAACCCTGAGAGTTCTCTTCTCCAAAGTCCAATGTGTATTTCTGATCAAAGCATTCTTTATCACACATGCAGTGACAATTTTTGCTTCTCTTTCCTCATTTAAAAAGTTGTGAAATTCAAGCAGCTCACAGTCCCACCTGGTCCATTTCTTCCTAACAGAGCCTTCCCACTATCTCTGTTTGCCAGACAGAGTATTATTAGCATTATTCAAATACAAGTGAAACCACAAGGCCACAGAATCCTGGCTGGTAGGAGTCCAGAGCAAAGACTTTTGCCCAGAACAGTCAGCTATCCCCATAGCTGACATCATGGTCCTAAAGCGTCTCCTTTGTAAAAAGACCCTTCAGTAACTTCTCTCTGCATTTGCCTGGCAAACAGACAATCTTTTCATAGGTGCTCTAAAAACCTCAAGGAATAAGGTCTCATATAGACAGAACACAAATGAAATTAGAAACTGACTGCTGACTATAATGTGTGTGTGCAAAATTTTGTATAAAAATAATAAAATTCTGGCCTCCCCGGTGGCGCAGCGGTTGAGCGCTGGGTTGCGAAGCTGCCCGCAGCCTCTGCGGCACTGGTTCAATCCCGGCTGCTCCCCGGCCACCGGAGGAGGGTCCCATATGGCGCGCAGACCTCTCCTGCCGCCCGCTGCTCCCCTCAGCAGTGTACTTCGGTCCTTCTGCCTGCTCTGCTCCCCGCTCTGGCTCTGGTGAATTCTCTCACCCTCCCGTGCTTCTGACTGTACCCAGTGCATGCATAAACCAAAAACAAACAAACAAACAAATAAATAAATAACATGCCTCTATAAAAAAAAAAAAACTTAAAAAAAAAAAATAATAAAATTCTGCGTAATTTTTAAACAATTAGTTCCAAGGGATCTACATGCACAACACCAGCATATAAGAAATTCAGAAGAAACAAGCTATTTCATAAACTCCACCTCCAAATAGTTTAAAATTGCAAATGTATGACAAAAATGCATGAGACATTTATTTACGCAACACAGGGCTTCTTGAACACACAAGCGCGCACAAAAACAGGGATACACAATCCAAGATAAATAGTCCAATCAGTGAGTGATGTGCTATTTGGAAGAAGCCACATTAACGCCCTGCTGTTCTGAGATAAGCACAGTATCTCAGCATATTTGCTTTTTCTCTACCACTTGACTTATATTTATTTGTTTTATTGTCTGTTTCAAAAGAATATGTAAGTTCAGTGACAGGAAGGACTTCTGTTTTATTCATGGTTATACTCCCAACACCTAGAACAATGTTTGATATATAAGAGCACTAAATAAATATTTGCAGAATGAACCAATGAATCAATCAAGTATATGAATCAACAGAATAATTAAGTATTCTAAAAAAACCAAAAAGAAACTCATGTTTCTCCAACAAATAAACATCATGATGTGTTTAGAGGACAGAACAAACCAGACAGTCTGAAATCTGGTTAGTAGTGGAAGACAAGGCTAGGGTGAGAGTACAGACTATTAAAAGCTAGATTTTAGATAAAATCCCCCCCAGCCACGAGCTTGAAAATCTGATGATTCTGAGGTTTATTCTATAGCCAGAGACATTACTACCACTACAAAGAAGGGAAAATTTTTAAAAAGGGGATGTCATGAGAAAAGATGTGTTTTGTGAAATACATCTAGAAGTAGTGCTAATAAAAGAATCCATGAATTAAAAGATTGCAGCTCAGATTTGGGTGGTAACAGATACAGAAGATATTGTGAAAAAAGCATCAGCATAACTTGATGATAGCCTGGAAATGGTTTTAAAATGATTTTAAAAACATAAGCCAGAGTAACTGTAAAGATGGAGGTAATACTGATGAAGGGGATTAGTTTGAAAGAGAAGCTCATGAATGCAGTCTGGTATCTTGGTTTTGAGTTAACAGTGGGAAAACCATGTGGAAATGTCCAGAATATTGTTGGGAGAGTCTAGAACTGGCAGGGGTGGGGACAGGAAGAAGGATATAACCATGAAATCACCGTAAAGCCCTTCAACTTTCTATTTTTAAACGCTTATTAATCTGTTTACTTCAAGTGGATGCACCATAACTTTTAAGCTAAGTTGACCCACTTTTCGATCAAGGAAATCAATTCTTGGTTAACTGTTAAAAGCAACTAATTGATCTGCTATTCCTGAGAATCAACTGGTGTTGTGGGCAAAAGTGCTTGCTCTTCTATCCTCTAAGATCATATATTCTGGACAACCTGTAAGTGTAAAATTGTCAGGTGTCCTTTTTGCCCCTATATGAAGAAAACTTGCAAATAAAGTCAAATGGAAGCAAGGAAAGGAGGCATTAAAAAAATAGGGTTCCAATGATTCTGTCAAAACCCTAAGATCCAGCCACGCCTGAGGTGAGCACATTGTAGACTCACCAGTTCAGAGAGTTAAATGGTCTTTCTCTCCTTTCTCTGATAGCCAGTTTGAGTTAGGTTCTATGTCTTCCAGGCCAAAATAATCCCAACTAATACAACAAGTATAAATACACGCAGCTTTTGGGGTCTAGTGTGCTTAAAGTCAAAGAATAGCGAGTGAAAATGTTTTTTCACCTACTGCTGAGCATAGATGTGATCAAATAATTAATAAGTCTAAAGGTTCTTAAGGGATCTGGGCCAAAAAATGCACAGAAGACTCCATTGCAAGATATCAGGATTAGGAAACAGCAAGTGCTCCAGGGACCAAAACTGCTTCTGACTGCCAAATATTGGCAGTCTAATCCCCAAGAAAACATGTCATTGGTATATAAACATGTCACTAGCATCCATACATCACTCAAGTCAAGTACTTCCCAGCACTGATGAAATGCCTACTCCTTCCCGCACATGAAGACTACTACTCATTAGCCAACTTTCACTTACATGTGTATGCACCCTGGCAATTATAGTTTTCATTTCCTCTTCCTGCTAGACAAAGAGGGAAAGTTCATGCTCTTATAACCTGGGAAGGATGCTTAATTCAGGGAAAACATTCTGATTACTTACCCTTACTCTCAAAACATACTTCAAACATGTCATAATCTTCAGTGGTAAAGGCAAATTTCCCCTTGGTCGCATCCTCTTTGGAGTATAAAATATGACCAGCAGAATCTGTAATCTAAAATAAAAAAGAATAGGCATTAACAATCAGAGAAAGAACTTATGGAAAATTAAAAAAAAAAAACAACTGTCTATAAAACAGTTGCTATGTCTCAGAATGATGACTGTTTCAAACATTCCTTTAAATAGGAACTAGGAGATGAAACCCCCACACAGAAAATTTCATTCAAACAGCCTGACAGAACTGCAGGCTAGAATCTGTTGCAGCTATAGAATGTCTTACCATACCAAACGATTGATAAAATACAGGCTTATTAGCAAAAGCTCATTTTACATACTGTAGACCAGCATCATTCCCTAGAAAGGGACACGTCACAGAAACCAAAGTGGACAATTATCAAAAGAACACACTACATAAAAGGGAGGAAGACATGTAAGAACACATGTCTTCTGTAAAACATATCTTGATGGGGTGGAGAGGGGAAAAGGGCAACTGACACAAGGACAAAAGGAAAAGGAGCACATGTAGAGAAGAAAATCTGGGAGTGCTGTTCCCACAAATTTCATGTCCATTATGTCAATGGCAACATGGGATTGAAGGAAGATTCAGGGGTAAAAAACAAGAAGTTTCTCCTGAAAGAGACATCCCTGGCTTCCACAAACGATAATTTCTTGAGGCTAGGTTGTTAATGTTAGTACTCCAAACTTAAGCTGCTCCATTGCTACAGAATGGCCTAAAGGACTGACGATACGACATATACTGGCAAAGGAATGATCACATATAAAGCAAGGGAATGGCAGAGTAACATAAGAGACTCAGGCTTCTTTTCCAGAGCACATGTCTCACTTAGCATAAGGCACATCTCATTACCTATGGTAAGAATATGGAACACAAAAGTAGTGTCTTCGTTAAACTGGAGGGTCTAAAGCTGTCTGTAAAACAAGATTTCTTTTTATTGAGATTTAAAATAGAAAAACTGGGTAGCACATATTAAGTTTATAAATTTAAAACACTAGTTATTTTTGAGAGGTGAGATCTCTTTTTTATACTTTAGAATTTTCTTTTGATTTTCTACAAAGGCACGTATCACCTAAGGTCACAATGTAGACCAGTGTCAACCAATGATAATGTGGTATCATTTCTGGGGAAAAAGTAACTAAAGAGGGCCTCCCTGATGGCGCAAGTGGTGGCTAACCGCAGCCACTGCAGCACGGGTTTGATCCCCAGCCAGGGAGCTACCCACATGGCGCAGCAGACCTCTCCTGTCTCCCCGATGCTCCCCTCAGCAGTGTATTTCAGTCAATCTGCCTGTTCTATTCCCCACTCTGTCTCTGGTGGATCCTCTCACCACCCGCACCTCTGGCCTATACCCCTGTTCTTGTATGCATAAATAAATAAATATTAAAAAAATAACTGAAGAGACTATTATCACTGCTAAACAAATTTAGAGTTAATAAAAAAGGTTTTATGGTACATCTTCTAAATTCTCCAATAACAACAGTTAATATTAATCAAGTATCTTTTGCCATGATGTTGATCATTAATTAAATCTGTCAAACATTTAAGATGCTTTTAGATCTGTGCTGGACAATGGGGATGCATGGATATGTAAGACAGTTCCTGTATTCAAAGGGCTTAAGAGTCTCAATGAGGTGTGTAATAGGAAATAAAATAACCAATCCCAATGACTGAAAAACTATACCAAGTGCAATGCCTGAGGTAAGCACAGCTGCCACAGGATTATGGAGGCTGGAGAATATATCCTGGAGGAGGTGACATATGAGTGGGGTCCTGAAGGATGGGCTGCAGTCAAAGGAAGAAAATGGGTGAAGATATTCAGGACAGTAAAGATGGCAAATATGAAGGTCTGGGGTCCAGAAAACAAAACAAAAACACAGTATCATCATAATACTTATAGCGAGTATTTATTGAGCATTTACCAAATGTTGGGTACTGTGCCAAGTGTTTTAAATAAGCATTTAAAATTTAATAACCACCTTCACCCTATAGTAAGAACTATTATTTTCCTCATTCTTCATAGGAAGAAACTGAGGAACACAAGTTTGCTGGCTAGAGAGGTATGGCCAGATCCTGCAGAACTGCAACACCATGCTATGTTTAAACTTCATTTAGTGCAAAAGGAAAGGCAAAAAAGAATTCAAAATGAGCGTGATGTGATTCTAAGAAAGGAAGAAAGGTTCCATGCTGGTGACTATGCATTACTTAGGGTTTTAGAAAGAAGAACCTGAATAGTACTCAAGAGTAACAATACTAGAGATAAGACATAGGTTAGGACACACTCCCAATACTCCAGGTGAGAAATGATGAGGGTTTTGGGTATGGAGACCAAGTTTGAGGGATTTTAAAGCCCATGAGACAAGACAAAAAAGTAAATGCCCACAGGGATCAGATCAGCAACATGACTTAATCTATGGACCAGTATAAACCCACAGGGAGTGGTGGACAACATGGCAGGCTGGGGAACACGGGTCTCTCTCCAGGCAGAAACCAACACGGCCAAGGCATGCCAGGTTTTCAGATAATCCAATTTTTCAAAAGAAGTTAGATATTTTAATCTCTATTTGAATCATTTTAAATTTTAGATCCTTGAAACCAATCCCAATGATTGAAAAACTATGTCAAGACTAACCACAAAATGTCTACAGAACCAAATTCTTCTGGGCCACCAATTCCTGACCTCTGCAAAGGACAGGAAAAAAGCTGACTAAAATCACACAAAAATGCTGGGCAGCACCGAGGTCTTAGCTGAGATCATGGACCATGGATTTCTAGTGGCAATATGTAGCAGTCAAGATGCAGGAGCAAAGAAAAGTACTAACTGATTTAGACTCGAGGTTCTACAACTAAGTGTTTGAAAGGATAGGGGGATTAGTAATTATGTTATAAACTTTACATAATCATCCATCCTTACAACAACCCCATGGATAGTCTTAGTGTCCCCATTTTACTGATAAACTATTCAACTTGCCCATCATCACAGAGTTAATAAATTGTGGATTTGAGGAAAAGTTATAAAATCCATTCCACATTCTATGTTGCCTCTCCACAAAAGGAATGTCTTAAAGAAGTGGAATGCACAGAAGCCAAGAAAGACTAGCAGAATCCGATGGGCTTTTTGGATCAGTACAAGTCAGAAAGCCTCAGTGTCCTCCTGAGAGGGACATAGCGCTGCTCAGTCTGCATTCTCCACCTTAGAGGGATTAGCAGATAGCCACAGAGTAGTGGCCTTGAAGTGGATAATAACTAAATAACCTACCAGGGAAAACTGAATCAACCCTGAAGATTCCTAAAGGGCTCTTGTTCATGTGGTACTGACAGTACTTATTCTGAGTAACTAACTAAAAGTGAAAAGCATAATAAAGGACACTGGAACCTTGGATGTATACATATTATAGGGCACAAAGGTCTGGGAACTAATCAAACCCTAAGTAATGCATAGTCACCAGCATGGAGCCTTTCTTCCTTTCTTACGAATCTGTTCACTCACCAGAAACTCAAACTTCCCACTCCCTATCCCCCAAAAGCACAATGACAACTCTTAAGAGCAAAGAGAAAGTTCGGAAAGATGTAAGGCAGGAATACCAGATTTTCATGTTCCAGGCTAATCTAAAAATCTTAATCTGGATTTGGTGCTTATGAATAAAGTTGCAAACAATTACCAAGGCAAACCTGTACAAAAACAATCTTCCAGATCTGCTCAGTGTACTAGTTTAATTCTTAAGGGAGAAAAGGGAAAGGATTACAATTTGCTAGAAACATTTAAGTGTAAATGAAAGCAGCAGAGGACAGAAGACATGGGGAATACATACCAAAGTTACAGCACTCACTAGGTATCTCAGATGTTATCATCTCCTCATTCAGGCAAGGAAAGAGGCTCTGTCACCTGCCTCTGCTCTGCCACTGGCCTCAGGCAAACAACCAAGCCTAATGAATTTTGTAAGATTTGGCAAATATGTGCCTAAAGTCCTCATATCCTAGAAGAACAGATCATGATCTTTTTGTGTTCTCCTAAGATACTAAGAGATTTCTTAAAAAATTTAAGGATGGGCCACTGTCGATGTTAAAGAAGCCTAGACACAGGTCAGAAAACCCTTATTGAGGATCTGGTAAAAAGCCTTCATTGAGGGCCTCCCCGGTGGCACAGTGGGTCGAGTGCAGCGCTGTGAAGCTGTCTTGCAGTCTCTGCAGCACAGGTTTGATTTCTGGCCGGCCAGGGAGCAACCCACATAGTGCGGCAGACCTCTCCTGTCTCACCCGCTGCTCCCCTCAGCAGTGTGTTTCGGTCAGTTTGCCTGTTCTGCTCCCCACTCTGTCTCTGGTGAATCCTCTCACCCTCCCACGCCTCTGGCCTGTACCCCAGCTCTTGTATAAATAAAATATTTAAAAAAAAAAAAAAGAGTTCTTGTCACTAAAATAAAACATAATCTTATAAAAAAAATTTTAAAAAGTCTTTATTGAGTGAAATGAATTAAGACTGCCAAGTTTTTTCTCAAAGACTGCAACGGATACTCCGAAGGGGAAAAACTGATTCAATTGTCCTCTCCTACATTGTACATCTTGGAAGAATCACTAATTTTGATTCTTCTATGACATCTGAATATTTATTAATGATTCATTCTAGGGTAAAGACTCAAATGCTCCATTTACTATCACTACCTAGACCTATGAAATTTACCTCTCAGATATAGTGTGTAATAATTCCCTCATGGCCTCCATATTTCTACACTTCCAACAATTCTCAGCTAAGGTTATTTATCTGGCTATTTGGAAATCTAGGTAGGCAACTTAACTGTCAGGTTGAGCAAACTCTTATAAAGACTAATGAGCATTCTAACAGATCTCAGCATTTTCCTGAAAATTAATAGGTTTCCCATATAGTTCATAACTGCAACGATTTAGGAGTCAAGCCATTGACCTTAAGGAAAAACAAATCACATTCCCTAACACTAACAAAATTAGATTAACCAGCAGCTAGCTAGAATTAAGGAGTAGAAAACTGGGCCAGGTTCAATGACTAGCCAGAGGTGGTAAAGGTT